GGACAGGGGTGGCCGCCTAGTTGGCGTTCTGGCAGCTGACCACACGGACCCTTCAGTGGTCTTTGTCCTGGCCAGGCACGATTACTGTGTACAGCAGGTCTGGATGATGACTCTTCGCCTGTGCAGCAATTTCGCAGTACGATCATGTGGGACATGTGTCAAATTCTTCTGCCAATCCGTGCGCGCATCGCACATACCGGTAGGGTCAGATACCTGTCAAAGCGGCAGCCTGTCTTGAATCTGTCTCAGATTTCAGATAATTATTGTGTGTTTCCGAGCCCGCTCGGACAGCCCGGGAATGGGACGACTCCTGTAACAGCACTTACACCACAGCGTTCGGTACGAATTCGAGAAATCAATCCCCAACATTTCAGCTGCATGGATGTGTGGCTGACAATATCGATGCCTGCTTTCGGTCGCTCTCTTTCTTCTTCTTTCCCTCACCCCTCTACTATTTACAATCTCTCTTATTTTTAGGCAATAAAAATTTTCTCTGTAATTTTCGCTGGGCTCGACCGCTTGTTTCTTCTACCCAAAATCTGCCTCAACCCCTGTTTGAAATGACCGCCAGCAGCGTTTTTAGCTGCTCCACTGCTAATCACAACAACTGTGTGTGGTAATTTTAGGTACACGGAAGGGGGAGAGGGGCTGTGGGCTTTTCGGGCATCTGCATCGACGTTCTGTGAGGCTTCCATTGTTCGGCGAGGTGGGGACATCGTCGTTCATACTAAATGTTCCCTCATGGGGCCAGCGTCCACAGCATCCACTCTCCATCATCTCTTGCCAAAGTGTCAAAGGCCTGCTGGGTGTATCATGTCGGGCCTAGTTTGGGCGCTGACCGACATGTCGACCTCCCCCGCTAACACAGGCGGAGGTTAGCAGGCGGCTAGAAAACGTGAGAAGCCAAACAGAGTTCTGCCGGGTGCAAAGTCAAATCAATCATTCGGAGTCAAGTGATTGCAATATTGGCGCCTCGCTATATAGGTCGCCGTCGTAATTAATACAGTGCTAAGAAGGAAATGCGTCCAGAGAAGGGAACCCGCCTATCTGCCTGGAGGTCATTGTGCTGGTTGCCGAGGCTGTACAGGCGCGAAAGCCATTGCCTTGTGCCCCTCTTCGCAGCATGCAGATTGCCTTTGCTGGTGTGTCGCCCGCCCATGATGCACAGTTGGGCGCCTCGGCGATAACAGCCGACGCCCAAGCACCGTGGCATTGCTTTGTTGTTATTGATGGATGGCCTGATGAAATTGAGGGTGTGAACGGACAAGGGGCAGCCACATGGTCTCAATTCAGGGATAATGATAGGAGGGGCCCTTGGCCCTGTTTCAATTTCCCGTGGAGGGTCCAGCAACGGGCTGGGCCCCATCAGCGATCCTAAACCTGGGCAAGCTGGTTCCAATTCTTGAAGCGGTGACGCAGTCCGGGAAAGGCTTTCTGGTCGTACCTCACCCCTAGGCCGGGTACTCGCGCTGGCTACGTAGCGCTGGCCCACGATACTCACTCGCACACGCCCACAGGCCTGAGATTACCCCTGCTTGGCGTGTACCTGATATTGGTGCGCAATGCCCACGAATGTATCTCGATGAGTGTGGAGTCCACTTGCTACGTACTCTGTACTGCGTCAACCCCCCCCCCCCCTTTCCCCCAAGGCGTCGATGAGATTCACGGGATGCTAAATGAAATGGAATGGTTATATAAATGTCTGTCCTCTCCCCAGGTTTTCTAAGGTCCTTCGATTCGTCTATCCGACAAAAGCATCAGTTTCAAGACTCAGTCATCTCTATTCCACAGACTACTACTTCTTCAAAGCCTCTCAGTCTTGACAAGCCGCGGTTGCCTCTCTTCTTAGACCAACCAGTCAAACCTACTCTTACCAGCAACACACATCTGCGAGCGCACAAATCCAATCTGTGCCCTCAACCATCCCGGTCAATCCCACACACAACATTGCAAATGATTGCCGACTTCACCATGCCTGCTCAGCGACCTTCGCAACTACCTCCCTGCCCTGGGCCACCACCCAGCCGGCCCCTCCCTCCTCTACCAAAGTGAGCGAGTGGAAGCGACTTCGATCTCATGACAGCAATGTCAGAACAATGCGCGCCCGAAACGTCGCCTTCCTGGCCTGCTTGATCTTGACACGGAACAACGCTGGCCACTCCGCTTTACCCGCGCAACCAATACCGACAGCATCATTTGTGGCCCTGGAGGCACCTGATCGCCAACATTTGATTGGGCCCTTTCCCACGGATCAAGCTGTCGGCAGCCAACCACCAATAGCAACTACACCACCAACATCCACCTAATGTTTCCATGCATGCAGCATTTATGCATGCAGCCCAGCCCACGCGCCATATGTGAGCTCATCCTCTGCTGCGCATGAGGGCAGATCCCGCAGCATCCCGTGCTCAGAGCAACCCTAAGTTCCCACGCATTGGGACTGTCGAATCAGCACCCTTGTTTCCTCCGAGTTTTGCTCACGCAAACTCTGCGATTCTTTCCACGTTCGACTTCAACGCCTGCATCTGCAGCACGGGACGCGCACATCGTTCCCCCTCACTTGGCTTTCCCTGTCGCTTTCGCCGGCCCGAAAGCAACTGACAGGCTCTACCCCCAACACTCTGCTTCTCACTTCTCTAATATTGACCTTGCGAGCGTTGGCAATGGTATCAAGGCTTATCATTACACCTACTTTTAATTGGTCTATTGACCCATTACTGAATTTCGGTACATGCATTACGGTATTTCTGGGAGGGTTTTCATGTTTTAGATTTGGGAGATGGGGAGATCAGCTACGATACCCGTAACCTACTTGGTTGATTATGAATTTCCTGGGAATTTTTGGTTTTTGTCATTTATTAGGCATTACGAGACGCGTTGATATCACGAAGTTATACACTGGAATTTACTCGGGAACACACAATAGACTTATCTGAATGGAACACGGTATGAACCGGAATCTATCTTTACCTATCGTCCTTGCGTCCTCAACAAATCGTGCCCTCCCTTGCCGACTATCCCCTGGAGCAGTTTCCGTCTTGCCGTCCGTGTGCAACACAACTGCCGCAACTCTCAGCCCACCACAGCTGCGACCTGCTCAAACCAAGGCTATTCATTTCCCAGCCTCCGCTCACCTACATGTGCATACACATATGCATCACAATTTTACAATACAGGCAGCTAGCAGCATAGGCATGCGCATCTTCCCCATAATTGATATTGGGCGGACGCTATTTGGAGCTGCAATCATAAAATTTCGGCCTGTTTAATTAACATGTATAGCTGATCAATAACCAGTTTATTTTGGTTCGCTGCGCCACTAGCGCCCCCCTCTAGGTCTCTCCCCTCAATCCCAACAGTGACCAGCACCATGCATTAGCAACTTGCGCAGCTGCAGACAGCCAAATTACCAGCCCAGGTAGCGGGTAAATTGTGGTCTGGGCGCGTCGGGTTAAAAGGAAGTTGACGGAATAGCGGGAGGCGTGGTGTGTCTTCAAGAACTGCCTCCCTAGCTATGCAAGTCAGCTGCGCTCGACCAACATACATGACTACTGCCCCCTAAATATGGCACCACCGTTTTCTCCTGTCGGGTCACTGTTCAGCTGTTCAGGGCCTAGTCTGTATGGAGGGCCGATCTTCCAACCCCTCCGTCCACGCCTTCGCGCATCCCCCTCTCGAAAGGCCGTCTGAGGCCATTTGGGAAGTCGATCGGGGTCAGGGAAGTCGGTGTAGCAACATCCAAGGCGCTAAAGGGGGAAGGGGATAAATGGACAAAGCAGGAAATTCGAGTCTAGGTATCGAGCGGTTGTGCTGATCGCTCCTATCTTTTCTATCCTTTTGGCTCCAAACTGGCGATCGCGATCATCTTGTTGCGATCGAGTCAGTCAGCACGTGGCAGGGCAAACGCCTGGTGGCGAATCAAGGGGGAGGCAAAGGTTTAATTATCCAGACGAACTGTTTCAACCGTCAAACTCAACAGGCGCGATCCCCAGGCCGGTGCAAACATTAGTTTCACTCCGCTCGCTCCAGCTTCCCCCCCTCAACTGACACTCAATATTACTTTGGGCCTAGATAGTCTCCTCGCGCGGGGAGATGAATCTATCGCGCTGCCGTTCACGGAGCATTCACGCCGCTTTCACGCCGCTTTGCAGATCTAAAGCCACGCCTTAGACACGTCATAGTTTGGGGGCGCTATAATCCCCTCCTCGATTTCTACAAGAATGACTTGCGCCAGCCTGGGCGACCCGGCTGATATCGGGGCCTGTATATATTAGATTGTAGTTAACTAATATGACCTCATGGATCCTGCCAATGGGCCATGTGAATTGCGTCTGCCTTGCGTAGAAGCACCCCGGACAGCGGCAGGGCATCGTGGTTCACTAGCAACAAACATTGCTGCACCTCACCAGTCGAACCCTTGCTCACCCTAATACACTTGTCCCCGTATGTGCCCGAGAGATATATAACCCATGCGAGTTCTACTAGCCCTAAGCCGCCTGGGTCGAGTCTTGTGATGCGATTTCACCGTATTGATCCAGGATCGGCCCGTAAGAAAATGGTAAAAAAAAAAGATCCTATGCTGTTGGTCCTGCCTTGGCCTCCAGCCGCATCGTGAAGACCTGCTTGCCTGGGGCCTGGGGCCTGCACCTGGGAATTCAAGTCGGCCGCTTGGAGGCCGGATATTCACTTTGAGACAATAAGAAGAGGGAGTGTAGGCTACACCCCTTGAGGAGACTCTCGCTGGCCTTTATACCTAGTAATTATTACTGTGCGCGTGAGACAATAGCAGGTTCTGAAGAATTGTTGTCTTTCTTCGCATTGAACGGTGGTGAGTTGGCAAACCTCGTGCGGCGCTCTCAGTGGACAGACATTCCAATCACGTGATTCCGTGATACTCAGTCTGTATCAAGCAGCACCATGTGACGATGGCTGCTGCTACGTGCCTTGGCAAGAAGCGTCTCTAAAACGGGCCGCCGACGCCACAAGAATACCATCACAAAATGCTTGAGCTATATGTATGGGGTCAGGCTTTTGGCCTGGCCTCCATTGACCCCGAATGTCTGGCCATTATTGCATACCTTCACCATGCAGCCCCCAAATCCGGTTGGCGCATCATCCCCTTCAATGATCCCTCAACCAGCCCTTTAGGTATGCCAACTCATGCATTTTCCATTCACCTGATAAGCATCATCCTAATCGAAACAGATCACCTGCCAGCATTGAACCATGATGGGGTGTGGACGAATGGGTTCCGCCAGATTGTTAATTACGTCAAGTCTCACTCGCTCTGCCGTGACCTGGACGAAAACCTATCTGCAGCACAACAAGCGGACAATGTCGCATACAGCGCCCATCTATCATGCAATGCGGCTCTTCTCTTGGATGTAACTCTCTACCTGTCAGCTGCAAACTGGTCCGCCACAACCTTGCCAGCCTACAGCAAGTTTCTTCCATACCCGATTGTATGGACGATACCGCCCTTGATACGGGCTGAGGCTACCAAGCGGGTGGAGCATCTGGGACTGGCGGAGCTGGACTCTGACTTTGATCCCAGCTCATCGCTGCACCTCTCGACCGGCAGAGAGTTTCTCCCCGAGAGCTTCCGCCGAAATCTGCCTGTTGGTACCAAGAAGACCGTCCGTGAGGAAATGACACCTGAGCAGCTGGCTGCGATCCGGTTGACTGGTCTGACAGAGGACTGTCTCTCTGTATTGGATGATTTGTTGCCTCCATCAGCTGACAATCTTCGATTCTTCGGATCCGAGGTCTCATCGCTGGACTGTCTTGCCTTTGGCTATCTTGCCCTCTTACATGATGCCCCCGTCCCACGACCATTTGTCAAGGACTGGGTAGAACAAAACAGGCCTCGAATTTCTACTTTCGTTGTTGATATGAAAGCAAGCCTGGTTGACTTGCCCTTCTCCTCGACTGAAAGTCTAGGCGTCTTACGAGTCGGTGCCAGGACTCTGGAGACCATGATACTCAATGGCCCAGAGCTTGGTGCCCAACTTATCCGCGGAATGCTCCGGACAGAAGAGGGTGCTAAGAACATTGGCCAGAGGACACTCCTGTTCGTCATGGGAGCCCTCGCAGCCAGCGCGACGATGGGATATGGATACCACCACTATCGATCATTACAGCCGTTTGGTCTGCGAACTCAAGTGTGGACAGCGCCTCGAGCTCCCTCGCTTAGTCAATTTGGAGAGCTGGGCTCTATCCTCGACAGTGCTCTGGGGCCTATGCCCTCATCAGCGAGTAGTTTCCATGGCTTATCATCCCCGGGTCGCATTGTTGATACCGATTCCGAGGTAGATTGAAAAGAGACGGTGGCGTTCGGCTAACTTGTAACGAAAAATGATACATGTGTACATCTATATAGATACATTTTAATGTGTAAAGTATGAATAGACTTTGATGACAGCCTCTCACTACATGTAAAACAAGTCCCTGCTCCGTTGATATGATATTAATAAGATTTTCCTACTTTTTCCTTCTGGCCTTTATAACTACAGTCTATATTTGTTTCGCTTCCTTTCCAACCATTTCGGGTCTCTCAACCTCCCATTCGTCTCTAAGGACGGCAAAGGTGAGGTCAGACACCAAAAGACTCTGTCCTAAACTCCAAACCAATGTTATAGCATAGAAGAAATTGGCGTTTCCGCTGCCAGCGTAAATCCACAGATGGTAGAATGCCGGGCCGAGGAAACTGGCATACATGAGGGTCGCCGAGGCGACATAGGTGTACCTCATAAGGGGCAAGAGGTGAGTGTAGAGCGAAAACAGGCCCAAAAAGAGACTGGCGTCAGAAATCGAGGGGTATGGTTTGAAAATGGAGAATATACCCAGGAGCACGGCTAAAGCGGCCAGGGGCTGAGTTCGGAGACGGATAGTTAAGCCTCCGACATAGGATGCGAGGTGAAGCCAGAAGAGCGCGAGGAAGAATGAGCGGAAGGAGTCGAACATCTCGATAAAGAAGTACCACCAAAGACCAACAGTAGGCGTAAGATCTGTCAAAGTGAGCTGAATGCCATATGTACGGGCCAGGAATTCCCAGGAGTTGCCCGTCAGCGCATATGACATGCCAAGCAACACGGATAGACACCCTGCCACCACCAGCACATTGAGGGCCGAGAACTTCAGCACTGGAGTCTTCTGAGAGGCCCTTCTATCGTATGCAAGAAGGACCAATGGGGGTAGAAGAAGCACCGGATACATCGAGAGGTAGCTAGCAAAGGATAGCGCGACCATAGCGTGGAAAGAAAAGCCTTGGACTGCCTTCGCGATGGCATATAGAATGGCGCAATTGGTGAATACACTTGTAGTTCGTCCGACACAGCTCGCTATTGTCAATGGATTGAATAAGAACCTACAGTCAACATGTTAGTACTTGACACAGCCCAAGATACAACGATAGAAGTTCCTTACGCCGCAGCAATTACCAGCCCAGTTGACCCCTTGCCTCGTCGCGGCGATGTAAACAGCCTCGATTTGCCAGCCTCTCCAGAAGCTGCAATCTTCACAAGCGCATCGGCGCTGAGTAAATCGATGAGGATATATAAGAGCGGCGTGAAGATCGGCCAGGATGTTGAATCGGGGAGCAGCGAGAACAAGGGAAGAAGTAATGGTGCTTGGTGGTAGACGCCTCCGTCATATGGCCAAACATTATGGTTGTAAAGAAACAATCCTTCCTCCACTATTAGAAGATTCGTTAGCAAGTGCGCTTCGAGGCCGTGAGAGCTGTCAAGACTGACATCTTTTGAAGCTCGTGACTGGGGTTGAGATCTCGACGCGGCCAGTGAGCAGATCGGGCAAGCCAGGGAAGGCGAAGAAAAGGACCAATCGCAACAAGACGGCTATGGCATATATGCCAGCCTTGCCTCGAAATGTCATTTTGGCGGACATGGCATTTCTCAGCCAACAATCCGATATACTAGATCGAGGCTCCAGGTGAGGGGCGATAGCTTCGGAGCTCCCTGCGATGGTAAGGTTAAGCAAGGCCACCTGGCGTTGAACTGCACTAAGGCACGGCGATTAGATGTGGCTCAGCAGCCTGGGGAAGGGTCTGTGGCGTAACAAGGGAGGCTGCCCGGGCGGTGAGAGGATGGATCCCGGTAAAAGAGCGCTATGCCCAAGGTAGCACAGCGCAGGGCGGTACCTTCTGGCAGTAAAATCGTAGCTCGAAAAAAGTTGAGAATTTCCAGGATGCCCCACTGCTGCAGAACACTTCCAGCTTTGCCCATATCGCATCGCAGCGCAAAGAGTTCCAACAATGCCACGCATAAAGAAGAAGGGCCAGGCCGGCGCGGCCAAGAACTATGTGACGCGAAACCAGGCCATTCGCAAACTTCAAATTACACTTCCTGATTTCCGCAAGTTGTGTATTTGGAAGGGAATCTACCCTCGTGAGCCCCGAAGCAAGAAGAAGGTTTCGAAATCTTCAACCAGCTCGACAACTTTCTACTACGCCAAGGACATTCAGTATCTGCTCCATGAGCCTCTCCTGCAGAAGTTCCGCGATCAAAAATCCCTCGAGAAGAAGATTTCAAAGGCATTGGGCAGGGGTGATGTTACCGATGCAGCAAGACTCGAGGGCAATGCGGCCAGGCCAGAGAAGACCGGCAAGCCGCGATACACTCTCGACCATGTTATTCGCGAGCGATACCCAACTTTCATTGATGCCCTGAGAGACTTGGATGATTGCTTGTCCATGCTCTTCTTGTTTGCCAATCTCCCCTCGACCTCCTCTGTCCCGGCAAAGATGATTGCCCGTTGCGAGCGACTGACACTGGAATTCCAACACTATCTGATTGCGTCGCATAGCCTCACCAAGTCTTTCCTGTCTATCAAGGGTATTTACTATCAAGCGAACATCAAGGGTGAAGACGTTCTGTGGCTTGTGCCCTACAAGTTCAACCAGCGAATTGTCGGAGACGTCGATTTCCGAATCATGGGTACTTTCGTCGAATTCTACATGACCCTCCTGAGCTTTGTCAATTTCAGGCTCTATACTTCTCTTGGTCTCAAGTACCCCCCAAAGTTCGATCAATTGAAGGACGAGAACGCTGCAGAACTCGGTGCTTTCACTCTCGAGGGCATGACTCTGGTCAATGATGAGCCACAGAAGCAGATTGAGGATCACAAGCCCGATCCCAAGGTCCAAGCCGCAGTCAACAAGGTTTTGAAGCAGATTGACAGCAAGGCCGCGAACGGAGATGACGCAGGTGACGCCGTCGAGGTTGAAGGTGAAGAGAGCAACGACACCATCGACAAGTTTGAGCCAGCAGCCCCAGGTGGCGATGTTCTTCCCCAGCCATCCAACCTTGGTGGCAGCCAGGGCGCTCTCTTCTCAAATTGCACATTCTATCTCTCGCGTGAAACCCCCCGTCAACCCTTGGAGTTCATCCTCAAGGCTTTTGGGTGCAAGCGCGTGGGTTGGGATGCTGTTCTTGGCGATGGCGCATTCACTACGAATGAGCTTGACCCTGCGATCACTCACCAAATCGTCGATAGGCCACCAGTCCAGAATGCCGTGGAGGCAGAGACGGAGGGCGACGACAACCAGACATCACAGAAGCTCGGTGCCAATCGCCGAGTGCCAGGCCGTGTCTATCTCCAGCCCCAGTGGGTTTGGGATAGTGTCAACGATGGAGAGTTGAAGGAGCCCCATCTCTACGCCCCTGGAACTTCACTCCCCCCTCATCTTAGCCCCTTCGTCAAGGCAATGCCCGGAGCTTATGATCCTACAATGCCACTGGAGGAGCAGGAACCTGAGCGTGAAGCTTTGGAAGCTGAGGATGATGACGAGGAGGTGACTGCCGAGGGCATGGATGTTGCTGAGGACGATGATGCTGAGGATGACGAAGCCGAGAATGGTGACTTCAATGGCGTCTCCGAGGATGAAGAAGAAGAAGCCGATGGCTCTGACGATGACGCTGAGCGACAACGCGAGCTTGAGGCTGAGTTGGCCGGCTCCTCTGTCAAATCGAAATCAATCAGCAAGAAGGCCAAGGCCAAGGAAGACAAGCTCAAGGCCCTGTCGAAGAAGTCGCGTGAGGATGAAGAAGAGCTCGAGCGAGCCAAGGGCATGCTGAGCAAGAAGAAGCGGAAGTTGTATGAGCAGATGATCTACACCAACACCAAGAAGAACGCTGCAGATGAGAAGTTGAGGGCTAAGAGGAGAAGACTGGAAAAGGAGGGTAAAAGGGCAAAAGCATAATTACGACCTGTGAATTGTTTGGTTGTTTGTGTTTTATTCTAGGTGTCAACCTGCATAACTCGCTGGGCAAAGGGCGTTTTGCCTGTCAGTAGATTCTTAAAATCAATCTTAGATATATACAAAATACTCGAAACTCGGAATAGTCTATATTAATTCTGTGCGACTGGTTGATATATCATGAAATGCTCCTCTAAAGTGGTGAAGTAGCTGTGGCTGAATTAATTTTTTTTTTCTTCTTCCTGTAACAACCCGCTTATCCTAAAAAGTCGGCCACAACAAACCATGCCCCAAAAGCATGTCCTACCAACCCATTTAGTCGATCTAATTGAGGGAGAATAACATACATGTACTGCTTGGTCCCTCCTTGACCAGTCGCTGGGACACCAGAGACCTTGTCATGGACTCTGAACAATCCACCCAAACATCCGCCACAGCCTGGGATCTGGACAAAGATGAGATCGCCTCAATAGCCTCTGACGAGCTTCACCAGAATCGGCCCAATCGATGGACGGGCCCCAAATCGACATGGCGTACTCTGACCGAGGAAGAGAGGCTTCTGTGGCAGTCGATGAAGCGCATAGAGGACCAAGATCTCGCTATCCATCTGTACAACACGTTTGCACTGAAGAAACGCGGCAAGGATCCGGAGACTGCGCAGGACCTTATAGTCCAAAATGTAACGCCCTTCATGTCGTTTAAATAATTGAAAGGGTATCAGCTAACAGGCTTGACTTAGGTTAATGGCGAGGAGTCAATCTGGGCACCTCCCAAATTGTGGTCGGCGTGGCCACTGAAGGAGAGCCAGTTGCCAGACGAGGAGCTTGTGGCTACCAAAGATGATCCGGATGAGGAGTGCACATTTCGGATGGAGGAGACGAAACCGCCAAGCTCCATCCTGGAAGAGGAAATTGGGGCATTAATACTACGGATTGCCAAGGATAAATTCAACAAGAGGATGGACAAGGCGTCGGCAGTGTATCCTTCTGTCGAGGATGAGGAAGCCATGGCTATGTCCTCCTCCCAGGGTAGTGACGAAGATACCCAAGAATCAAGAGCTGGCTCTACGGGATTAGATCCTGGAGATAGGAGTGCGAGACGCTTGATAACGGAAGAAGAAGAAGAAGACTATGTCAACGACGACGTGGATCTCCATGAGAGGCGGTCACATCAACGGAAGACCCCAAGGACATTTGAGCCGGCGGTATCGTCAAATGACGAGCTATCATACAAACTCCTCACTCCAGCTGTTCGACACATTCTATCCCAACTAGATGATACACTCCGCAAGCTCCATCGCTCCCGTACCGCCGGGCTGTCGTACCAGTCAGACTCGTCTACCGACTACAGCTCAGACGGCGGCAATGGTGGGCAATCATCAAGAACTCGAGGACGTCCTCGCCGCGCCACCACAGACTCCGGCCCAGACAACCCGCAGTCTCCCAAACTCAAGACAACGAAGAGGGGCCGCCCCCGTAAAGCCCAAGTGCCCCGCGAAGGCGAGAGCCAGCAGGAATTCCAGGAGCGAATCGCTAGGGAATCCCATCGACGACTCCCTCCCAAAGCCAAAGGTGGTGACGATGATATTCCGCAGAATTCGGATGCCGCCAGTGATCCCCCTCACACCAAAGATGCCGCCGATGCCGCATTCGAAGCGTGGCTAGCCCAGGGGACCACCAAGACCGCATACGCAATGCGCAAGGTCAGTCGATGGGGCCTGCGCGACTGGAGCGACGTCGTCGGAGCCGCCTCGTTAGCAGGATTCTCCCCAGTAGTCATCGCTCGAACTACACAGCGCTGCGCCAGCCTCTTCGGGGAGTCCATGGTCGTGCGCCATCTCCACGAAGTGCCCGCCTCCGCCGGCACGGGCGTCCAGACGGTCAACTACCGCCCGGAGCCCATCCAGCTCGCCGACGAGAACGACATGGAGCTGGACAGCGACGACGCGAGCGACCACCTGTCCACCGCCTCTCGGCTACAGCGCCGCATCGCTTCTCAGGCATCCTCGCTCGCCCCGCCCTCCTCAGCCTCGCCGGCTTCATCCCCCAGAAGGGGTCGAAGGAGGAGCGTCTCGACCGCGAGCCGCGCCAACAGCTCCCGCTCCCCCTCTCGCTCTTCTGTCGGCCTGCACCTTTGCCCGGTAATCGCCTGCGACCGTGCTGTCGTCGGGTTCGCGAGACGATCCAACCTTAAGAGACACATGGAGATTGTCCACGGCAAACAGGCCCAGGCGGCGGCACCCGTGAGTGACGTCGATAGTGACGACGAGGTCGTAGGTGCCATCCACGTGGATGGCTTCCTGAAGCCCATTGCGCAGGGGAGGGGGTGGAGGGGCGGTGATATTCAGAAACGCCAGAGGAAGAAATTTCACGGGGAGAAGAGGGTAAAGGAATCTAACCCACGAGGAAATGCATCTCGGGATAGCGAATGAATAGTTTAAGCAGGATAATACGACGATGGCTTGGTGTAAGCCTCGAGAACAATGTATGCACAGCAGTGTCCAAGACATAGTTCACATTAACAGTTGGCTGTTACATCTTCAGGTTCAATTCGCTCCCAAGACTGGTTCGAATAAGGGTTACAATCTCTCTAACCAACAGCCATTTATACAACATGAATTGGGTAATAATAACACTCCAGGCCTTCTTTTCATCATCAATGTCATGAATAGCGAAAAACCAATGTTCTAATAAAAGATAGTCAAGAAAACGCCCCGCGCCAGGCTTCACGTAATGCGAAATCAAAATAAAACCATTCACCCTCCTCGCTCCTATTATCCTAATTCAATCTCGGGCTCTTCCTCCTATGAGTGCTCTGTGCAAGCGCCGAGATAGGCACATTCTCTCTCCCCTCACTCAAGTTCGGTTTCTTCGTACCACGGTTCGTCCGTGCACTGTGCTTAAACAGGGGCATCGTGTGATCCGAGGGGAATGGCAAAAGGCTAGCCAGGGGCTCAAATCCGATCGCCCCAATTGTCAAGTTACTAGATGACACATTTGGGTCAACTTCGCGCAAGCTCAGAGGCGTCGCCTTGTCCAGGGAAATAGACGTAGTATTTGCCGTGGATGGTCGGGGAGAGGGGACCAAGTCAGCAAGCTCGCTATGCTCGCTGTTATCCAAGTCGGCAAAAACCATGGTGTTGTTATCCTTTTCTTGGACAGCTGGCTCATCAGGTTCACTCCCGGCTTCGTCCATTTCTGAAATAATCATGCTGCGACGCTGGGTCCGAGGCAGAGATGTAGGATAGTGATATTGGACCTTTTGAGGAGTATCGCCGGTTGGCTGGTATTCTTGAAGTGATGTGCTTGCAATCTCCTCCCTCAAGTTGGCCAACGGGCGACAGAGCTGCGTCTCCAAAGGTTCAAGGCTCTCTTGTATGTCGTTGATGTCAACCTCCATCTCCTCGCCTAGATTCTTTACCCGATCAAAGGTGACCTTAAAGTGCCCAGATATGCTACCGAAAGACTGATCAACAGTGTTGGACACAGTGTTGAGCGACTGGGAATATGACTCGTGATGGGCGGTGTTCTCTGATTTGGCCCTCGTGACAAAATCATCAAGTGCTTCCATCTGCGAGTCGAGATCTTCAACTTGCTCATCCACCACGCGTACCGTCTCTGCATGAACCGACTTTGCAGTGTTCTGGATAGACGTGCTACGGTCATTGGCAGTATTCCAGTCGTCTTTGAGTCTCGTTTTCAGCTGATCGCGAGACTTCTTAACCTCTTCAAGGACCTCGCTCTCCTTTTCATCCCAAGAATCCATGCCTGCAGCGTAAGTTGAGAAAGCTCCCTCAAGAGCCACACTTGAATCGGAGATGCTCTTCTGCACCTGTGTTGCTCGTTCCGCAATTCGTGTCTCTTGTGCCTCAGCTTGGGCATTGATCAGACCCGTGATCTGAACCATGAGCTTCTGGCGATCGTCAGCAGCCTGCCGTCGCTCCTCTTCAAGGGCCTCCTGCATTCGACTGGAAATAGTGGCGTTTTGGAGAACGATAGTATTTGTAGCAGACTGGAGCTGTCTTCGTAGGTTATCAGACTCGCTACGCTGAGTTGTGATGTGTTTAACGAGTTCATCGAAGATAGTCTTGCAGTCTTTTCCAAGAGTGCTGTAAGATGTGTGAAGCTGTGTAATTTTGTTAGTTTTGACCTCTTGTATATTTGGACACGAAGAGAAACTTAAAGACTTACTTGGTTGTGAAAAGTTGCCATTTCGCTGACGATGTCTGCAGAGATTTTCTCTGCCGCCTTGGAAATAGCCTGAAGACTTTCGCCAACCCGTTCTTTCACATTATCCCTAGTTTCCTTGATCTCTTCCAGGACCTTATCCATGTCGTCCTTTGATTTCTGCTCCTGCTGAATCAACTGCGCCTTAGACTCTCCAAACACCTCCAAATGTTCATCCAGGAATGCTTGTGTCGATGTGAGTTTCTGTAATTCCTCTTGGACAAAGGCTTCCATCCGACGAGAAACGCTTGAGATGTGTTCTTTTTGTTCGTCTTGAAACTCCTGAATCCGACGTTCAATCATAGTCGTCACTTCCGCGACCTGACCCTGAGAGGTCCCCCACGCAGTTCGGTTGAGAGACTGCAGGTCGGATTTGCGCTTGTTTTTTGAGTGCAGGCCAGACACGTCGTGGACAGTCTTGTTGAGCTTGTCAATAAGCTCTCCCCCAATGACGGCCAGCTTGCCTTCGGTCTCTTGGTGTGCTTTTCTCAGCTGAGTCTCCTCGTCCAAGTTCCGCCTCGTAGCAGAGAGGACAATCTCAGTCTGATCCAGAACATTTTTCGTTTGGTCGAGTTGTTCTTTAGTGCCGTCGTGATCTTTCTTCAGTCCAATGAACGATACGTTGAGCGCATGCAGATCCTGGACCCTGTTGCGAAGGTTGTTCTCCAGCGTTTCCATTTTGGCAGTTTGCTCCTCCATGACAATCCGTCGAGTCTCACTTTGTGCTGTCATCTCCTCATACGCTTCGTTTGATAGATAAACGCCATTCCGTTGCCTCGTTGATATTAATTCGCTCTTCAGCTTCTCGATTTCGTGACTGAACTCCTTAAGTAGTGTCTTCTTGTTTAACAACGGATTCATCTGCGGCTTGTTCTTGATGTTCTTGGCGCGGAAAGCATAATCCAATGTAGAAATGGTCTCCTCCAAGTTACTCTTTGCAGGCGATATTGTGGCGATAATGCAAGTCTTTGTCCGGCCTCCTAGCGAATCTTGGAGAATGCGAGTCAGCTTTGACTCACGGTATGGTATGTGTGCGCTTCGATCAACAAGTGCGTTTATCACACGTCCGAGAGTGAGCAGCGACTTGTTGATAAGGCCAGCTTCGGCAGCACGCTTGTTCTCTGCCCCCGAGCGCTGAATGTTCTCGCTTCCGGCCAAATCCACGAGGTTCAGCTTGCCTGCGCTGAGATATTCATCGGCACCGTTCTCATTGGGTTTCTTGACGTAGGTTGAAATGGTGAAAACAGTATGACTGCGAGAACTGAGGTCGTTGCATTTCGTTGCGGCGACTTGGCGTTTCAAACTGCCGTCCTGCAGCACCTTGATCCCTTCGGCGGCGTTTTTGATGTGCTTCTCTTCCATGCCCTGGACCACGGTAGAAATATGGCCCCGTTTTGATGCGTCGTCGTAGATTTTCAGCTTGGCGCCCTCATCCGCAGACAGCAGATCGCGGAGGTCTTCATTGTATAGTTCGATAAAGGAGCACTTCACGAGGCTTTCCGTATCGCCTGCTTCAAGCTTCTCGAATAGTTTCTGTAAAACGCGTGGGATGACGCCTGCTTCGTCGGAGAGCATGCCGAGACTTTCCGTCATATCACCGGACATAGTATATGTTTTACCAGTGCCTGTCTGGCCGTACGCGAAGATGGTGCAGTTGTATCCGGCAAGCATCTATCAATAATTGTGTTAGAACCGGGCTGACGAATTTGAGGCGCAATGCTTGGTAGTAATAACAAACCTCCTCCAGAATAGGCCTGACAGTGTCCTCGAAAATCATGCTCTGATCTGCCGCCTGGGAGAAGACGCGATCGAAGCCATATGACTTGTTGCTAATAGCGTTGGAGCCCATTAACAGTTCAATGGACTTTCCCTTTACACTATCGGCCTTCACGACATAGGTGCTGTTTTCCTTGATTTCGCGCTGGTTCCGACCTCGACAACGCACAACAACATTGATGTTGGTCTCCTCGCCGGTGCTCACATCCAAGACGTCGAAGTCGCGCTCCTTGCGCTTTGTGCCCGCCGTCACCGTAGACGCAACGGAAACAGCAGGCGAGACTGCGCCATTGCGATCCAATCGCCCAGCCAGCTGTCTGGGTGCAGCCGAATGCCTCGTCGGTTGTCTGAGGTTGGAGCTGCGGGTGCTGGCCCCGGACCTCAGACTGGAACCCATGCCTGGCCGAGGCAGCTCCCGGTCGGAGGCGCGTGTCTGTCGTTGGTATGCCATGGGGCAGGTGTAAATAGAATGCTGGACCGCGAGGGACGCAGCAATCTATTAGTTTGGTGGTATTGGTCCAGGTCGGAGGTCTGCGAGGAGGGTGGGAAAAAATATGCTGATTAAATCATTAAGTTCGAGCGTTGGGCCCGTTGAAAGTGAAAATAGTGGTGTGTGGTAGTGTGGAGGGACTGTTCAGTGTGAGGGAGGGGGCCATCTGCAGGGGAACGCGGGTGAGGGCGCTTCGAGGTTCTGGGATCAAGCATCAATCAACACACTAACGGCATTCCTTGACCGCCCCGTGTTGCTGCGGCAACCAGCTCCAGCGCTTCCTACCCTAGAGCTAACACCGCTTCCACCAAAGCTGCCAACTTTATTGGCCACCAAGGTCTCAATTTCAATGTCGCAAACAATCATACTCTATCTATTAATGCTGCTTAGTCGTGGGAAATTAATCCATGGTGGAAGTTTACAATGTGAAATTTCGTGGCCTTATATAAGCTTGGATGTTCTGTTTAACGTCTGCGATGACAGTTGTCCGCCTGCATGAATGATACACGAAGCGGCGAAGCTTAAGACTAACAAGACTATATGTGTGTATTTAAATTGCGATATACGGATAACTTTATACACATTACTCATGATCTAAAGCCAAGTAGCCCCCTAGTCTAACCCGCAACCGTCCAAACTAAACCTATGCTCAATAGGTAGATGAATACCTAGTATGCCAATTCCAATGCTAATGTTGATAATGCTGACTCTACGATAAAAAACAAAACTTACAACTAATATTTAAGCTTTCTCACCCCCCTGCGTTGTTGAATTTTCTTTGTTGGACTTCAAGTTTTGCAAACCTGTCTTGAACTCCTTGTGGTCCTTCTGCAGGTTGACTTGCACAAGGAACAGACTCACGAGGAATCCAAGAGCAGTAAAGCACGTGTACACGATGAACATGGTTCTCATGGACATCCAGTACGCGCCGCGTGCGACGTCGCCCTCGTGGCCCTCGAGCGACGCCACCAGATTCACGTTACCCGTTGCCTTGGACCCGGAGAAGAGCTCGGCGAGCTCTGGTCCCAGTTCTTGCTGCAGCATTGCCTGTTGCTTCTGCATCTCGTTGTTGAAGATGACACCGCCCACGACGACGGAGGTAGACGTGCCTATCTGACGCAGGAAGGCGAAGCAGGACGTCGCAGCACCGATGTCGCGGGGTTCGACGTTCGTCTGCAGCGCTATCAGGGGGACCTGGAAGTTGGGGCCGACACCGATTCCTGCGACGATCTGGAACAGGATGATCTTGGCCCAGTTTGTTCGAGGGCCGAGATCAATGAAAAGGCCGTAACCGAGAACCATGGTGAGCAGACTGACGCAGATGGGGAGCTTGTATTTCCCCGTCTTCTTGACCAAGACACCAACACCTCCTGATACAAGAGACAGGGAGACGACAAAGGGTAGAATGTAGACACCTGATAGGATGGGGGTGGCCTTGAGGATGGCTTGGAAGTAGAGTGGAAGCCAGTAGTTGCTACCCATGAACGCGAAGGCGTGGCAAAAGGCAAGCGAGTACGCCGCCACGCTGTTGCGGTGGACGAACAGACGGAGGGGGGTCACGGGATACGTGGCGAACTTGGCTTCATGGATAAGGAAGATGCCCACGGTCACAACACCAAAGATCAACAGGCACAGAACGGTGGGCGACTGCCAAGGGTACGAAACGCCGCCAAACTCCAGACCGAGAAGGAACATAACTGTTCCGCCGATGATGAGCACACTTCCGATCCAGTCGATGGCTGCGAGACCTTGCTTCAGAGGCGTACGGGGATTGTGAAGCTTCAGGATGAAGAAGAGAGTTATGAGGGCCACTCCCGAGATGGGCAGATTGATGTAGAAGCACCAGCGCCAGCTGACCTTGCTGGTAAACACACCTCCCAGAATGGGACCCAGACTCGACGAAACGGCCCATACCATCCCCAGGATGCCAAAGTACATGCCGCGGTTGCGCATGGAGAAGAGATCCGAGATGCAGATGTTGGGCAGGACGATGAGGCCGCCGCCACCGATGCCCTGGATGACGCGGGAGCCGATGAGCATGCCCATGCTGGTGGAGAGGCCGCAGAGGAGTGAGCCAACCCAGAAGACGACGCCTGCACCGAGCAGCACGCCCTTGCGACCGAAGATGTCTGAGATCTTACCCCACATGGGGACGAAGGCGGCGTTTCCGAGCAGATAGCCGCTTCCCACCCAGATGTAGCCAAGAGAGGAATTGAAGTGAGCCGAAATGGTCGGGATGGCAGTGGTGACAATGGTGGCGTCGAGGGCGGCGAGGAAGAGAGCCAGGCAGAGACTCATGATGATGAGGAAGTTCTCCAGTTTTGATCGTGAAGCTTCGGGGGCTTCTGGACTCTGAGCTTGGCCATCGGCGGGTATCTGGGCCTCGGGGTCTCCAGCTGCAGATGGGAGATGTTCATGTTGATGCTCAGGTTGGGACTCATGGGATGGGCTGTATGTTTCCTTGTCCGTCGCCCGAGCTGCCGGTGTCTGTGTATCCAAGACATCGGACTCGTCTTTGAGTCCCCCGGTGGTAACACTGACCGAGGCTGAAGGTGTCTTGGAATCGTCCATGGGTGTTTCTTGATCTGGGAAACGACTAAGACAGTTGAGCTTTGAAACAACGACGCACCCAGCGTACGGATGTATTTAATAGAGATATATATGATGGCAGTCCTGGATATTCAAAATGAGTCATTGGACACTACGTTTGCATGCTGGTTTGCAAGGCGCGGTCAGTTTCAAAGCGAGACACGAGCCAAATGGTCAACGGCACCCAAACGACTTAAAACTCTTATTTAGGCTGCTTCTTCGGCTTCCGAGCTGGCAACGGGGTGATTTCCTTTGCAAGCACGGGATGTAATCGTCATTATACGGTGCGGTGTGTCTCTTGCGGGGCGCGTTCGCTGCCCTTTTGAAAGCGCCGGAGGTCGGAGAAACTGAAGCAAAAAACTCGGTCAATGTGAAAAATGAGAAGCCTGCCGGTTTTTAGGGGAATATGACTCGCAGTGTTTGGAGGAGGAGTATTTACGATGGATGCGATCCGGACATGAATGAGTATTACGGCAAGATGAGATTGAATCTCCACCGACCCCCTGCACCACTTTGGCGCTACAAGAAAGGAAAATACAAAAGGGCTGCAGGGAAAAACACCAGTTACCCCATGCGTGCAAATCAACTTTCTGCCCATTGCCTTTACGTAACAGGAGGGTGGGAATAGACTGGGTGATGTGATCTCTGTTCCCGCTCTTTGAAGGGTCCGGGTATACGTTGCCGATTTAGACGACTGCTGTCGAAACAGATCGAGAAGAGCTAAAATTTTAGGAGACGGCCGCCGTTGATTTCTGAACCTTTCGGTCTCCGAGAGCGGAGAGCATCCATAGTATGCTCGTCACTCATCTCAGACCCCAGCAACTACAACCAACCCTCAACTTCTTTGATTACCAATCACGACAACCATGAGGATGTAGGTGAGAGGATTAGGAAATCGCCCATCTATGAGTGCTCTACATGTTTCACTTGTGGTTGCCTTATCATATCAGAAATCTCTTTTACTCGAACTGACAATTACAGTCATTTCTCACATTGCTTGAATGTACTTTTCATCGCCCAATAGCCTATTCTATTGCTACCCAACCTTTGTGATGCCAGAGAACCATTGTTCACAGATCGTGCCCACACCCTAGATGTCTCTCACCAAGTGCTTCGAGCTCCTCAATATTGATCTCATCTGCGAAGAAATCGCTTCTCTTTATCATCGCAAGAGACGTCTCGTTCACAATAGTTTTGGGGATGAGTTCATGGCCCTTCATGGAGAGAATCGAGACCATGTGCGCCGCAGCCTAGAAGAATCCCATTAGATTGCCGATGAAAACGTGATATATATTGATGGTGCTTACCTTGGCATTGTAAGTGATGGTCTCTGCATCCGGGTTGTCGATCGTGTCACAGGCTTGATGGTAACAGTCGTCCTGCGCCACCCCTGTCCCGGTGTTGAGGAAACCAAAAGGCTTGTTCAAAATGCCCCAGAACGATGCGTAGTCGCTGCCGTTAGTGAGGATGGCAGGCGTCGTCTCCAACCCTTGAGCTTTGAACCAGTCGAGGTAGATCTGTTGAATCACTTCGGAACCACGTGGTGCAACTGAGCCGTATGCGCGCCCGTCATTATCGCTGACGCCAAAGTAGCCTCTTGAAACCATGTCGTAGTTGAGATAGGCCAGAATGTTGTTTACTTCCTTGGTTTCGAGGTTCTGGCAGTAGTGTTTTGAGCCAAGCAGACCGTACTCCTCGGCTCCCCACCATGCGAACCTGACCTTGTTCTTGAATCGATATTTCGTCAATGCTTTGAAGATTTCTAGGACTAGACTGGTTCCCGAGCCTTGTTGAGTCTGTTAGCGACCATCGAGATGTGGCACAAACTCCCAAATGGCTTGGGGAGACACTCTTACCATCATCATTGATACCGGGACCAGCCTGGACACTGTCAAGATGAGCGCCGAGCTGCGTCCATTTCGATTAGCCCCACGACACACGTCAATCGAAGAAAATGGTGGCCAACTCACCATGATCACGTTAGACGGGTCACCATCTGCCGTCTCAACAAATACATTCTGAGTGACCCGTTGCTCCACCAGCTGCGTTTGCTGAAAGTATGCCTCCACCGTCTCCCCAGCCTCAATACGTGCAATAATAGCCTCACCATCTGCCTTATGAATAAATCCAGTTGGCGCATAGGCCTCCAAATTGACCTCACCAAACGACCCAGCCGTGGGTTTCGTAGTGAGATCATGGTAGATGATCACGGCCGCTGCACCTCGCGCCGCAGCAGGCTTCACTCGGCCTGCCAGTGTGCCGCCCGTAGGACAGCGGAACCGCTGTGTCAGGACGATCTTGCCCTCTACGTCAAGACCATTATAGCTCTCTTCACTACACCCAGCCTCGCCGGCGGGACCGAGGACAACTTGCGCTGTGATGCCTTCCGGTGACGTTGAGGGGGAGTAGGCTATGCCGAAGACATAGAGATCCTCCTCCTTCACCTTCAACGAGATGGTCTGGACCTCGGCGAACCTGTGTAGCTCTTTAGTACAGTGATCTGAAAGAGGGCGGGAAGGTTAGCTGACCAGGCAGAGAAGTCTTGCTTCCAAGACTTTGTACCATTGAACCCAGAAATCTGAGACCAAATGTAGTCAACCGATGCGGCAAAACCGGGGAGGCCAAAGGCACGGTTTCCGTTCCCTTTTTCAAAAGCGATGTTGTTGAGAGCTTCCAGATGGCTCCAAAGGCTTTGTGCAAGGTTCGATTAGCTGAATGGTTATTCATAAGAGTCCAGTAATGCAGGACCTCACTTTTCAGTTTTGATATCCGCCTGCAAGCTTTCAGAATCAACCTTGGGCTTGCACTCTGCTGCTAATGCGGAAGAAGCCAAGAAGGCTAGAGCTATGGCGGGTTGAGTGTACTTCATGTTGTGTAGACAATTGGTGAGAATTCAAACCAGAACCCCACTGAACAGAAAGAAACCCGAGAAGGAAGAAAAGCAAGATAGAAAGAGAATAAAGCCATTAGGGCGTTTCTGGCTTTATATCAGACATTTATCCAAGCGGTTCCCTCCCTTGGCTTCACGATATGAGTTGCCTATTTAGGAATGTTGATCCACGTTATCTACCACTCGGTGAAAGAATGCCAAGTTCTTTTGAGTAGCAATCCCATGCGGGGTCATTCTGGGGCATATTTGGAGACCTTTGTGACTTTTACAGGTTCTGGTCTGGAATGGCGTGCTCTCATCCTAATTCTAGTGGATAGTTGACTCCTCATTTAAAGTCGTACAAGCGGTTTCTGAATCCCACAATGCGTCTATAGAGCCATTGAACATGCTTTCTCTCGAAATAATTCATAACATGTATTTGGCTTTCAAAAAGAACATTGCCCCTATCGATTAGTTCCTTTCCTACCACACTAGTCGCGCGACAAGCAGGCTTGGCTCAAGAACGTTTGTTGGAGCGAGATATCAAATAGGCAGGTGGTTGGAAGAAGTGGATGCGAAAAGTTGGTTAAAGCATTGAAGCGTGCATTAGGTAGGTATGGTGAAATATGCTTATCCTAAACATCCCCGGCTCTGCCGTTGGAGTAGTAGGAAATGGAACCGTGTAAAGGGAGACATCACTTGGTGAACAACAGCTCCGCCCGATACCAATCTCGTATCCAATGAATAGTACTCGCATACCTACGAATAACTGAATATGCCAGAAAACTAGGAATACTAACTGAGCTATAGTTAGGTAAATGAGACGCCGCAACCTGGGCGTTCATGAAAAGATAAACTTGGTGGCGCCCTGTTTATGGAATAATAGAAGCCCCACGAGGGCTTTGGATAGAAATCACTTCGCACATATTGCGCTGTCTAAAACACCGTAAGAGTATTGACATATCCGTTCTTCAAAACCTCAAACACCATACCGGGGAACCCATAAAGGGTCGTCGTCGTCGAATCGCCGTTGGCTTCCGCCCTGCGAGCACCACTCTCTTCCCAGCCCCCAAGCAACTCGCAGCTGCTGCCCGGACTGTCTCCCCAGCCACGGTTCAAGACCATGCCTCTCTGCCGCGGTCGTGCGCCCTGGCCCGGGTGAGATGGCGCCCACTTCTCGTTCATACGAACCTCTACGTCTTTGAAGAGCAGCTCAGAGTTGGCGGGTCCTTCCTCCGGCTTCTCGGGAAGACACCCAATTTCCCAGCGGCAGCGCCGATGGCGATTGAATTCGTACGACCCAGGCACGTTGCCATGAATGACAAGTTTGGTGGCGACAAGTCTGTCTGGAGAATGATTTTTGATATCACTTGGAGCTATTTCTTCCTGCCCAACCTGCCCAGGGGGCGTTGGGGATACCGGCACAGGGGTTGATAATAGCACATCAAACCCGAGGAAAAAGTAGTTGTAAAAGCACTCTCCTGACGGGTTCCGCGCAAACTCCTCGACAGCAGCTTCATTGTCCGAGTCGTCCGAACCGGTGTTCATCGAGGAATGATCCGTGTCGGTCAAGTCGTCAGGCCTTCCCAGCTCACCAGCGCTCGGTCGGCTGCGTGTATGGCTTGCCGTGCGAAGCTTGTGGATCACCATCTTCTGATCGTTCTTTCTATAAATTGCGCTTGGCGGGCCGAGCTCCCTTATTAAATCCTGCGGAGATGTTTCTCCCAGCTTAATCACGAATGCGTTGTTCGTCCACTTCCGGAACAGCTCCAGCTTCCCACCGCCTTGTATCCGGATCAGCGAAATCTCGTCAGGCGCAACATCCTTGCTGCGGGGAACAATGGACGTGAGCTTAACACTGGGGAGGATTTCAGTCCATAGAGTACTTCGGGATTCGGCCCACGAGACCCCACTGAAGATGGCCATCGATGTTGCCGTTTGGCTTGAAGACGAGGAGAGTAACGATACGACATCCTTATCTGGCGAGTAGGCTGACGCTGGCAGCGAGAAGTTGAAAGCAACACCAGGATAGGAGAGTACGTAAATCCCGTCTTGTTGGCCGTTCGTCGGTGGAAGATACTCTCCTGCATACGTTGGCCCTAGAAGCCTATGGTAGATGTGTCTGAATGTTGGTCCTAGGGATCCATCGTTGGTGTTTGTCGGGGCTGCTGCCGTCGTGCCGTTAAGGGGCCTTACTAGGTCTTTGTCGTTGAACGTAATGTGGCTCTTGTTGAAATCGACGACTTCAATGAGTCTTAACCGCTGTTCAGGTCCATCGAAGCGTAGTCGGATCCCGTTGAGGGGAAGATAGATACAGACAGGCTCTGTTACGGGGCTCTTCGGGTCATATAATATGTCGATTTTGGGGAATCGCTGAGGCTCAGCCTTGAGACGCGTTAGGATATCGTGCAACGAGGCTCCGAGGGCTGTATTTCAGACAATCAGTCCAAGTCGAAACCAAGAGGGACATGTTTACCGCCTCCCATACCTAGAAAGCCAAGCCCACGGCCAGGCTGGAGCTGTGCAGAGAAATGCGACATGACCGACCGTGGCGCGGGGCAAAGGGTCCCCTGAAACCGATCAATAGCGGGGTTCTCGTCCCTGTTACTTGCGGTCTGGTACTGGTGAGATGGGGTCGCGGCGCTTTAGCTGTAAAGAAACCAAGAATGATGTGGAAAATGGAAGAGAATAAGTCGATTGTAAGCGTGCAAGTTAATCGAAGGCCTCTCTGAGGGAGGCGTCGTGATGCGAGCCATGTGACTGCAATGCCGGCGCGCGCCTATGACGTGGGGCAGCGACACCACATGCCACCACTGATAAGCGATAACGGTGGATAACAGGCCGAAACAAGGGGCCACGGCTAACTGTGGGTGATTCACGGTTTTACTGGTCGCTAAGCAAGGGACTTTACCCACTGTCTGCTAGCGCTTGGGATAACCAAACTTCAACGGCTGAAGCTGGTCTGTGTTGGTGATGAATGGAGCACGGGGACAGGATACAGGGCTGAGCAACTACCAGTCAATAGCATCAACGCTACCTATACAATCATTTTACACCGTTACAAGCACATAGCCCAAGACCTGGCAGACGATTCCAAACGCCCGTGTTCCTTTTCGCATTCATTACCACTCGTGGACCTCACCGCTGGCAGGCTTCTGCATGCGAACCACCTTGTCGCAGTTCAACAAGCACTGGGGATCAAAGGCATTTTTGATCTATAAACCGATATCTGTCAGTAATTGAATTGTGTGATGAGTATCTAGGGAGGGTTCCTACCAGGCGCATCGCGTCAACAGTCGACTCACCCAGCTCATGGGGCAGGTAGTCTCTCTTCACTAAGCCGACACCGTGTTCTCCCTAGTACTTATGTTAGAATAATTCTCTTGAATGAATGAGCGCAGGAGAAGGATTTTATAGCCTACCGTGACTGTTCCCTCCAACTCAACTGCTCGCTTCACCATGCGGTGAACAACAGCTTCTGCTTTAGCCCGTTGGGCGTCATTGTATAACAGGATACCTGTTGAATGTTAGCACGATCCCGTTTCATATGCGTCATTGTGCTCTTCTTGTACGTACTGTGGAAGTTACCGTCTCCTACATGGCCGACAATGGTTCCAAAGAGACCGCTCTTCTTCATATCCTCCTTGGTCTCCTCGATGAGGTCCGGCAAGTGGCTTACAGGGACAGCCACATCACCAGTCCAGACCCGGTCACCCTCCTTCTTGACGGCCAGAGCGCTCCACAGAGCCTCTTTCCTGGCGCTCCAGAGCTCGTCTTGCTCTTCATGGCTCTTGGCGAAATCGAAGCTCTTGCTGCCGACTTCCTTGGCCAAGGCCTGGACCTGGCTGACCTGCTCCTTGACTCCATTGGGAGTGCCGGCAAACTTGAAGAAGATGGTGGGTGCCTCCGTCCAGTGGCGCGAAGTTGCTCCGGCTTCGTTGATGCACCTCATCTGGTTGTCATCCAGGATTTCCACGGCAGCGACGGGGATACCCTTGCCAACAACCTTGCTGACGCAGGTAGCGGCGTGGTGGATACTGGGGAACGAAGCAACGGCGACACTGGTATCCTCAGGCTTGACGGCGAGCTTGAGGGTGGCCTCAGTGACGAGGCCAAGAGTACCCTCGGACCCGATGAACAGCTTGGTGAGGTCATAACCAGCAGAGCTCTTGCGCGGGCGTTGGCGGGTCTTGATGACGGTTCCATCAGCCAGGACAGCAGTGATGCTCAGAACCCACTCACGCATGGTACCGTATCTGTAGGCATTGGTACCACTGCAGCCGGTTCCAATCATACCGCCGATCATGGCGCCCGGGCCTGGGTCAGGAGGGAAGAAGAGCCCGTCCTTGCCCAGGTCCTCGTTAAGCAGCTCCCAGCGCACGGCGGGCTGAACTACGACGTCGAGATCGTCCTTGTGCAGAGCCAGAACCTTGTTCATTCTCCCGAAATCGATTGAGATGCCCTTGCGGGTATGTGTGAAGTGGCCCTCCAGACTGGTGCCGCCGCTGTAGCCAACAACGGGGATCTTTCGCTTGTGGCAGATCTTCATGATCTCGGAAACCTCCTGCGTGGAGCCCGGGTAGACGACGCAGAATGGCCGTTCCTCGGGCTTGGGCTTGTGGGAAGACCAATCAGATGTAGCATGGTGGTCAATGTCGGTCTCGAGGGTGCTGACATGATCCTTTCCAACAATCTTGAGGAAGTCTGCCCAGGCAGCCTGCATATTCTCGAGCTTCGTGTTGTGGCGGATTTCTTTTGCGGTTGCGAGACGATAGGTCGAGGCTTTTTCTTCTTCGCGGTGCCAGAAGGTGCCGAGCCAGTATGAAATACCGACCATGCCCAGGACGACTGTAGCACACTGGTGTCAGTGCAACAAGTCCAATTGAGGTCGAGAGTCATGGAAAACCACTCAGCAACGACTGGGGATCACTCACAGATGGTCAAAGTCCAATTCCTGCTGGGGTCAGTGACCTCGCGCCAGTGCTCGTAGCGATCTCGCTCTTCACGCTCGCGCTGGATTCGCTGGCCAATACTGCCCTGGACTTGGCCCTGGAAGGACCGGCCGAGCTTCACCTCATTGCCCTGGCGAAGGGTCTTGGGGCGCTCGGGCTCGATGTCGGTCGCATAGCATCGGACTCTGGGGACGGCGACGACTCTCTGGAGTGCCCGGTACGACCGGAGAGTTGCCGGGTTTGGCATTTTTTGTCGCAGGCTCGCCATGGCTGCTCGGTTGGCAGTCATGGTGGGAATGAGGGAATTGGCCGCCTTTTGTGCTCAAACCGTGAAGAGCTCGGTAAGGCAATCGACCAGTCTCTCGCTTCCCTGAGGTTGCTGGATGCCGCTAATTCGGTTATGTGTGGTTGCGTTCGGTAATGGGAGCTCAGTGAATTTATTTGAGAGCTGATCAATAAATCCACTATAATAATCCATTGCGTGCTGGCCCCATGCAATGGTCTTTTCACAGTGGGGAACCTGCCAGCAATAACCGCCCATACGCGACCCTGGATCTCGCAGCGCATTATCGTCCCCCGCACCTCGTGCGTGGGCAAGCGTTCGATTTCAAAATCTCCGCTGCGAAATCGGAGTCCCTGTATCGCCGCGATGGACAAGGATGCAAATGGGTTGAGCACGCAATCGCGGTGTCTGCACTGAATCAACTATCATGACAGAGATATAATGGGGCCCTCCATGGATGTGTAAATACTCCTATTCTCCTCCTTGATAAGTCTCAGAATACCTGCCTAGCTTTGCATTAGGCAGAACCCCTCCATAGAATGTCTCTACCCGCGATGCAAGGCGGGGTAACATGGATAGAGTTGACAATCGGACGAAACCGATGGGGTAGCATCGGCCTTGGAGGGCCAAACTCACACCGAAAGCTTTGCAGCCATCTTCGGTTATCTCACCACCCCTTGTTGTTGGTGGCTGAGGAATCCAATAAACAACCAACATTTTGACCATTACCGAGCTTCAGCATTCGGTTATTCCCATCCTTCCTTTTCACCGAATTGCTGGGCGTTTCAACTCGTAACACCACCATAATATTATAAGCGCTCCAATCCTGACCTGTGTTATTTATGGCTGCTTCCAGACCAGCTGTACGCGGAAGGTGGGCGCAGCCCCTTGGAGATGCGACATGTAAGCTCTGAGCTCCTCGTCGTCTTCAATCTTTAGCGGCAGTTCTACTCCCATCCCACCCTTCACGATGCCCTCTATTCGAGCGCAGAATGCATCAGGGTGTCTGTCCGACACTATCTTCCTCACTTCCATGACAGATGGTTCATTCATCGTCGCGATCCAGAGAGGGACTGTAGGAAAACCAGATGCATGATGCAGGCGGAAGTAAGCAGCTACCGGCTCGACTTGCATTGGCTGTGTGTTCTGGAAAGCACTCGCCGCAGCCTGGAATAGAAACTGCTGCTGAGAGTCTCCCTGAATCGCAGGGGGGACATGGTGACCTGTAGCCGACAGGTCCGGCATGCCAGGAACTGCATCGTGGGCATGAGAGGCGGGTGCTTGGCCTACGGTTCTGAGGATGCCACCGGCTGCTGGTAGCCCAGTTGTGGTCCGACCATAACGAGATTGTAGGCTTTGCGAGGCTATTGTATTGTAACTTGGTTCATCCTCGGGTCCGGTGTTGCTTAGGAGCCCAACAGAATCGCCGCCAGCCATCTGTGAAATGCCGGCGTCAGGAATAGACGAAACATTCGAACGTTGTGATATTGGAACTGTTGGCTCCTTCTGCTTGCGACGGGGCACGTACTCGCCATTTTGCTTTTGGGTTTGCTGTATTCTTGCAATCACGTTCTTGGCAAGGAGTTCAATTGCGCGAGAGGTTTTGTTATAGTCAGCATGATCAGGGCTGAGGTCGATTGCTCGCTGCACTGCCTCACACTTCTCTCCCCATCGTTTTTTGAGCTGCTTCCATTCAGCAGCTGTGACGTCGGATTTAGAGCTACAATTCGCATCGCGAAGCACTTCACACAAGGCCTCCCGCATCTGCCTTGCTTCATTGGGATTTAAACCCAGGATGTTTTTTGCTTCTGGGAGGCCAATCTTTTTCGTCGCCACACGTATCCGCTTGGTGATATTCGAGCAGATAATTTCCAGGGCCAACATCTTCATTTCCAAGTTGTCGGGGAACCTCACCAAGGCCCTTTGCAATTGCGGAATTTCTGAAATAAGTTGGCTCTTTAGAGTTTCCCACAGTTCAGACGAGACAGAAGTCTTCTTCAGAATCCCGTTTTGCTGACAGCTTTTCTTGAATTGTGAGCCCAGTTGTCGATATTGAGCGTCATCGAGGCCTAAAAGCAGGCGAGCCTCCTCAATTGTCATTTCTGAAGGGAATCTAGACGATGTACCGTCTGATTTCTGAGAATGACGCGCTCTCCCCCGTCTCTCTGATTGGGACTCGGGCTGTATGGCATCCTCAAATTGGGTCTCTGCGAGAACGGCCACGGCTGGTTGGGCCGGTGTAATTTGGTCGGAAGAAGGCTGTGTTTCCTTTGCAGGAGTAGATGACTTATCGCCTGCCGCTATCAATGGCCGGGAGATGCGAAGAGAAAGCTTGTGCTGGGCCCGGATCTGTTTGAGATCACGGGTATCAATCTTCCATCCCCCTTCCTTGACCACAATCTCGAGAATCTCGGGGTGCGAGAAGTTCTTGGCCCATAGTTCTTTGATACGCGCCACGAGTTTCTCGTCGTAAATTTCAGTTCTATGCTGTTTTTTGAACCCCCATCGGGAGATATGGAGTTGCCATGATCGACGGCTGTTAAGGTTGTGAGTCAATAGCTGTTGTATAAATGTGTGCACATTGACTCAAGAGAGCGTGCTTGGTTTGAGAAAGCTTGCATACCTTGGGGTGAAATCGTGAACCGTTTTCATAAACTCCTGGATCTCATCGAGAGTCCTTCCCTCATCGATATAGAGCCGCTTAATCAAGGGTTTGTGTATCTCCCACTTGAAAGTCATGCTTCACATTCTTGCGCTTTTGGCTGTCTGGTGCGTCGTACGGAGTCTGGGGTAGTGGGTAAGAGGGACGTAAGAATTGCGCTTCGCGTTTTTATGGTCGACCATATTGACAGCGGTAAACCATATTAGTCATCACGACCCTCGATGTGCAGGTACCTTCCTAGGAAGTTTGTATGTCTTCACCAGCGTTTATCTTTCTGTTGAACATTGCAATTTGCAACCGCCTGATCAAGAGCACCGGACTGTCAATTCTATGCCAGCGAAGAACAAGAGCTTGACTATAGAGCTTAGAGCTGGGCTAAGCTTGATCAGAGCCTGGCATGGAATATTCAAGTGGGAACCTCGGCTCCACAGCCTCGGCAGGCTTCCCCTCATGGCGATGAACCATTCATTCACTGATGCGTCCGGGGAACGGTAAGGGGTGAAGGATAAGATATGCCGTTTCTTCATTTAAATCTTGATCCAAGTCCCTCAAATAGACTATAGTTACGCCTCCCTGCTGTAACCAACGTCTCTATCTAAACCATCTACAAAATGGCACCAAATGTACCCGAGAGCTACAACACTTGGGCCCTTCCTGGCCTGATCCTCGCACATCACCCTGAATCGTCAGCAGCGGTGACGCCTGTCGTTATTGTCAAGCTCCATCGCCCAGCCGACCGCAATGGCTTCACAGACGAGCTCTCGCAGGCCCTCATCACCGCCTTTGACACGCTCTCCGTGGACCCCCGTGTGAAATGCATCGTCCTGACCTCGAGCGACCCCACCAACAAGATGTTCTGCGCCGGCATGGACTTCAACGCCAAGCACAGGATGTACCCCTCGTACGACACCCACCGAGACAGCGGCGGCCAGACCACGCTCGCCATTTACCGGTGCAACAAGCCAACCATTGCCGCCATCAACGGCAGCGCGGTCGGCATCGGCATGACCATGACGCTGCCCTGCAACATCCGCGTGGCGAGCAACAAGGCCAAGGTCGGCTTCGTCTTCAGCCGCAGAGGGTTCAACATGGAGGCGTGCAGCAGCTTCTTCCTGCCACGCCTCATCGGGACCGCCAAGGCCCTGCACTTGACCACCACGGGAGCCGTGTACCCGGCCGACCACAAGCTCCTCGATGATCTCTTCAGCGAGGTGGTCGACCCCGACCAGGTCCTGCCGACCGCGCTGGCCATCGCAGAGGATACTGCAAAGAATACAAGTATTGTAGCATCAAGGATTAACAAGGACCTGATGTACCGCGGGCCAAGCACCCCCGAGGAGGCGCACCTGCTGGAGAGCAAGGTCTTCTACGATCTGGCCAGGAACCGAGACTCGCAGGAGGGAGTCCAGAGCTTTCTGCAGAAGCGAGCCCCGGATTTCCAGGGCACAATAGAGGAGGACAGTCCCACGGCGTATCCCTGGTGGACACCCATCGATGTTAGGGAGACCCGCCCCAAGCTTTAGATTCTTTGTTCTTGAACTCTGTTAAAACAACACCAACTGTATGAAAATACGTGATTTGACATGACTAGTTGACTCCCTTTGTTAGCAATGCAAACATGATGAAAAGTGCATCCTGTTTCCCTACCTGATCTATCGTGAAACGCCGGTCGCAACGGGCATGGACGTCCCCCCCGCGGTGAAACCCACAAAACCCCATACTCTTAAAACAAGGCTTGCTTCTTCTGGTCCAGGCAAATTGGGGCTCACCACGTGGGATCTACAACTAACGTCGATCGTTGTTTGAGATGACCGAATCTTTCTTCAACATACGTGAGGCAGGACATACTCATTTCGCTTACCCTGATATGAGCATCAAACTGAAACTCTCGATCTGTTACCTGACGTGTAAGGGATCTAAGAATAGGCCAGAGCTGGGATGAAGAACTCAGCAAGGCTGTGAGCCTCCATCCTGGAAGCTCGCTCGATGCGGAGGCCATATTCAATGATTCATGTCTTTCACAACCATAGCCATCATAAAATAAGTAGTCTCAAATCGCAATTGGTATTTGTCAACGCCTATCTCAGAATCTGGAGGGTTTTCGCAGTGTTTGTCCAACTGGCATTCAGTATCGCTATCCTTAAAATCAAAACGCAGATCTCCCTTCGCTTCCATGCTAGCCCGTAGCTCAGTCAATGGAATAAGCACCTTGGTGCGTTTTAATGTCAAAACAAACTCTCAAATGGGAAGGGCAAAGCCGACCCCTAACGAAGTCACGGTGCCACCTGATGCGCCCCGTTAATATGCAACTCGCAAATGACACTTTGGCCACAGCTAAAAGGAAAAAAAAAGAACGCAAAAAGAACATCAAAAACGTTGAATTCGTAGTTCGTGCCAGCGATACTCCCCCGCCTCCCTAAACGCCATCGAAAATGAGTGAAGTAGCGCCTTAACCGGCGCTGATAAAGTTGAGGACAACCCCGTAACACCACAAATGTAGTTGGTGATCGTATATAAGCGAGGAAATAAACATCCTCCTAGAATTTGGTCCGAAAGGTTCGCCGACGTTTGCCAATGGCAGCTGCAAAGCCTTTGGAAATTGACTCAGCTGCTGTGCTGTGAGCTCGGTCCTACCGCCTGCCCAGTTTAAGCAGCCTAGTCCTGAACCACAAGACAAAAGCCGTCCAGGTACCCGTGGTTTTGCGCTTGGTAGACCGTCGAGGTGATTCAAATTGCACGTTCTCAGCTTGGGGTTGAGGTGACTGTGCTGGGGCCATTTCCCTGTACCCTCGACTCACAAAGTCAGTAGCTTTCTCGCTGGCTGTGTCAAGTCTGCTGTTCCCCGTATTCCTTCGTGAAAACACAGGGCGGATATCTGTACTGCATGAGGTCCTTCCACTGTTGCTACCCTTGCGATGATGCCCAGCCTGGGCTCTTTCGACGCGTTGCGCCTCTTTCGTATCAGCACGCTCGCGCTTACGAGACTGCTCACGAGCATATTTCTCTTCTTTGGCTCTCTCCTTCTCGTCGAACTTTTGGCGAGCAGCACGAACCTGTTCCTGTCGAGTTGCCGTGTCAACATCGCTTCGTGAACGAAGACGAAAGTTGTTCATGTCAAGAGAGGTACGTAGAGGAGACATGGCGTGCGTGGAGATGGGCGATGCCATAGCCTGTGGGGATTGTGCAACAGGCGTGGATGAAAGGGGCGACCGCTCAATCACAGTCAGTGATGGCCGACCGCTGAGTTGACCATCAGACGAGCGATGCTGATTTAGACTCGACCCTGCATTAACCGAACGAGGTCCAGCTCCCGAGGCTGTCCAGCCGGTAGCGATTCGCAGTGGTGGCTGGGCGTCTGACAATGAACCGGCACGTTGGGCAATAGGAGCTGATGGCTTCTGCACGAAGGGTGATTTCACTTGAGATTGGGGAGGTGTATACCCTTGGAAGACTGAATCGGGAAGATCGTCGTCCTCAGTTATTGTGGTTGGAGAAGTGTCACGCTGGTCGAGCGAGGCGAGCGAGTTGGCATATGAAATCAGGGGAGGAGTGGAAGTCCTTGGTGTTTGCTGGAAAGGGTGCACGAAGGATCCGTTGCGGCCGCTGGCAGACGTGGCCAGGGATATATGAGAGGCGTTGCTTGTCGATCGCGTGTGGGAAGGATTGGTGACGTTGGAGGAAGAAGGCAGACCGGAGGTGGATGTGCTGCTGAATGTTGACGAGGGTTGAATCGAGTTGAGAGTTGTCAAGTCGGTGGCCGATAAGGCGAAGCTCACATCTCGTGTGGAGCGAGAATTGGCGGAGGGGTATATTTGATGAACCGACGGCTCCTCGTGGATATATGCAGGTTCCGTATATCCCAGCTGCGGCGAAGGCTGATCCTCCCAGCCTCGATCAAGGTCGAGAGAGTTCTTCTCGGAAAGTGAGTTGGAGTGGAATTTTTTCAATATAGGCCGGACGGAGCCTCGTGTGCGAGTTTTTGAGAACTTGCCGTGGTGGCCCAGGCTCGTTGGTTGGAAAGATGTGGTTGCCATAGATGGAAGGCTAGCGGTTGACTCGTGCGTGAGCGGGTTGGTCCAGGTCGGCAATCGTGGAAGCGGCGCGACGCAGTGGTGAAATGGTGCCTTGCAAGGTGAGCGCAAAGTGAGAGGAGACGAGTCGGTGACCCCTCTGAAGGCGCCTTTCCCCAATCAACAAACCCACGGGCCGGATGAGGTTGGCACCTGGAGATACATCTGGCGAGGAAGTGCTGCAGCTAAGACAATGGCGAACAACAAAGTCGAGGCGACCGGGTGGCCGGGATGCGAGTGTTTGCAGCGCAAGGCCTTGGCCAAAATAGCAGACGGCTCTTGGCGGCGACACCGGGTAGGGGAAGAGAACAGGGGAGTTGGCGAGATTGAAATTGACTGTGGAGGAAGACGGTGAGACAAGGCAAGTATTAATCACAGCGGTAGTACGTACGCAAGTGCTGGGAGGCGGAGGTGGAGGCTGAGCGCGTGCGGGATGATTGCCCATCACAGCCCGTCCATTCCAGAACCACTACGGCCGCTTTCGAAGTTAGAGCGGTTGTTTTGCTGAGTTAGTTGATGGACAGGGGTGCATGCCCAGGCCACCCAGTGGGCCCAGCACGTAGCGGCGGCAACCAGCCAGACTGGGCGGATGAACCTACCCACAAGGCTTTCATTTCCAAGTTGTGGCGGGCGGTCAGGCTGGCAGTCCCCTGCTGCCGTGCGGTCGCGGGGGCGCGCCACTACGAGTACTAACCTTGGTGCGTACGTCCCTGGGCAGCGCTGGGGAGAGCACTTGGCGGTATGCATTCATTTGCAGGCATCGTCAGTGCTTGTTTCCCACCAGCTCCTCCCCCTAAATTAGATGCGTGTGCCGGTTGCCTGATACCTCCACTGGATCACCGCATCAGAGAGCGTCCAATTTCGGCCTCGACACGCTCCCGTCCAGGCCTATTTCACGCAGCCATGGTCAGATTTCCTAGCTAAAGGACCGATCCAGACAATGTTCAGACTTCGGTCTTAGGAGGGCTTGGCTGCCCCACGGCCACGAAGGTTTCTAGGCCGCATTCAGCCTCCAGGTGTTGCGTTTCCACGAGTCTCGGCTACTGAACCGCGGTCCAACAGGGATGACACCAATCAGTGATAATAGCCATCACATACCTATCTCTCGCTCAGTCGCCCAGAACGAGAGAACCCAGTCCTTACGCAAGCGACCTCCGCGTATTACGACGTGCAACTGCGACGCTGCTGCGTGAGGTCGATTATCCAGCTGAATCCTTCCATGCTATAGTCTTTGTCTGCTATTGATTGCTGATTGCTGGATGCATGTGAATCAGCACCCAGGGACCCGGTACGGAAGGTAATTATAATAAATAGTACGGCTCTTGACATACATATTACATGCACACACGGAGGCATAGGCATTAGTACATTAATAGCCCGTCTGGATGGAGGCATCCTGTGCTCAGTAATAGTGCTCAGTAATAGCGCACCCCACTCGCTTGCGCACGATACATCCACCAGCGCAATGCTCGGGGCTTCCGATTCGATCAAGGCCTCTCTTGCGCACCCAAGATGTGCAGATGCAAGATTCCCTGTGGAAATAGTAACATTGATTTGCGGGACTTAGCTCTTCGCGTTGAGATATGTGATTTCCTGATTTATGCCTATCGCATACAACCTCAGAGTCACCTCCCCCAGACAAAGATGAGCACAGTCATCAGCATGCTGTTTTCAGCTGAGACCTCCCGCGCCACCTCCACGTCCAAAAACCCCTCCATTCCTCCGAATGCGTGGCCCACCTTGCCTTGCCACATTCTCGCTTCCCCTCGGCCCTATCCCAAAGCCAATGGGAGGCCATATTGTTAGCGCCAGCTGGTGATGACTGTCGAATGGGGCATGCGCATAGCTCCAGCATTGGATGGCTCCTCCGGCTCAGCTTCGCCCTGGCCGGATGCCAGCAATCATCAGCTGTGTATGCAACTGCAATCCACACTGCAAGCAAGGTGTCTCTGCGATGTCTTATGCGACAACATTATCAAGGGAAAAAGCAGGTAAAACCCCCTCTCCCCGCCCGTTTGTTCTCTCACCGCTGGTCTTCTGCATTGGCCCTGCTGTGTGATCCCAGATCTGGCCCAGCCTGCATGACGGGATTGATGAGTTCGCAAGCGTCCCCTCCACATCTCGAGGGATCCCTTATCTAAGGTGTACGCTATTTGATAGAGAGGGGGTGAGCAAGTAACTGTCTACGGCTAGTTGGTTGGTAGGCTTGCCCTTTTCCGCCCTTCCCAACAGTGTGCCGCCAATCCTCACCTTGGGTCAGGTGTGCTGCAGCGGTGACTAGATTAGCCTATCGCCAGCGGTATTTATCTTGAGACCTGGCCCCGCGCCATTGTCGGTCGGTGTATGTATGCACCCATGGCTGCAATATGGCCCCCGTTCTGGTGGCTTTTTGCCGATCCCAGAGCCTCGGCCTCTTCCTCCCCGCCCACCGTCTCCGCCAAAGCCAACACGTTCGGCCGGACCGGCACCGATAATCTCGGGCAGCCTAGTACTTGAGCCTCTAGAACATCGTGCTGGACCTCGAGTCAATAGTCAGCAGCCAATTCATCTTTCAGCTCCGGAGCATAGCTCTTGGTTCTGGCCTTTTACCTGGTGAGGCGATCGTCCACCTCAGGCCAGATGCTGCAACGTCACGCGCGGACACCCATGCATGTCTGACCAAGTGCCTCCATGCATATATGGGTACATACGATCCTGAGACAGCCTGGTCAATGAGGGTTTTCATGTTGCGATGAAGATAGCCCTGATCTGGATGCGGTGAATTCGAAGCCCCGAGGACCTAACCCCGGTGAAGTTGCGATTCTCGCGGATTGCTGGCCGGCCAATCGGTTAACCAGGCTCACAGCTCATCTTGCAATCCGTGCCACCATTTGAAACCTGTTCCCTGCCGTTGATGTGGAGATGTTTGTTGAGATGCATACTCCGCGAGTCGATCACTCCTCCATGCTCACTACATCACGTGTACCCACAGTGTCAAAGCCTTGATGCTTAATCCTGCTCCAAGGATTATCGTGCACGTAATGATGAGCATATATTCATTGCCTTCAGTTGGTTTGTTTGATGAGTTAGTCCTTTCTCCGTTCTTGGCACGGGAGCTGCGCTCCGAAGCGAGCAATCCCTCCTGGATCAGCAACTGGTGCGCGTGTTTTGACATCACAGCTAGCCTCTGGGGGGATCGTCAATGCTTGCCTCTATCTTGTCGTTGAGACTTCGCAGCTACCTCTACCAATCAGCGTGCCGCACACCCTATACATGATAGTACTTTGGAGTCTTGGGTAGGTGTATTGTGGACAAACCCCCTCCCCGACTTCTTCTCCTGCAGAGTCTCATCTACGGTGGCGTGGGGTGTGTCAAGAGAAACGATCGTCTGGTGGCAGGACCACCTTCCGTCATCTTCACCAGGCAACGAGATATGAGGTGCTTTCCAGATGTCTTGTAGACATACCCCCAGACCCTCTTGTAGTAGAGTATCATCTGCAGTGGCATCGTACGCGTCAACAAGAATGATCGTCAAGAGACACAAATTACGCAGAGACTGGAACTTTTGGTTTGGGTTTGTGCTTGCGGCACAAGTGCTTGGAATACAACATGGCACATCAAAGCCTGCTCCTAGTCTCTTTTCATAGAAGTCCTGGGCCCAGTACTCTTATGACTGACAACAAATAAATACAGAGGAAAACAAAGCATGGAACACTTAATGAGTCTTTGTTGGCAAGTAGTTCATTCTTGGGTGTCCACTGGTCATGTTTAAGTTAAATTGCAGCAAGTAAAATAGTGACTCGGACGGCTCTGAGGAATTATCACTGGAAACATAACCCTTTGCTTTGTGGATGGATGATAAATAATGAAGTTGTTAAGCACTATTACTGCTTTCTAAACATGTCTTTAACAAAAAAAAAATTCATTCCGCGTCAATCCTTCGTGCCTTCATCAGTTATAAGTATAAGCCTTGTTTTGTGATGTCGACAATTTCCGCCGACTTAACCCCACGAACCCTACAGCTCCCTTGCCACTTGGGTTCATATCCCCAATCATGCCAGGCACATAGTCCAGAACGCGCGCATTTTCAGGAGAAACAAGGTCAATTCCATCCAGTTCGTGAACTGCGTCCCTCCACTCTGCACTCGAGTCCAAAGATGCCCAAATCTGGCGATGTGTCGGCTCCTGAGTCACAACACGTCCAGTTTCCAGGCCCGGTGCCCATGACTGTAATAGCGACTTGTCCAAGAAGCTTGTACATGGCCAGGGTCATTCTTTCTGGCGAAATGGTAGGCAGTTGAAAATTCTTGGTAGTTTCGCTCAGGATGGGAACACCACGGGTGGCTGCGTTGGCAGCGGCCCAAGGGCTGCAAACGGTCGAGAAATTCTCATCACAGCTCGAATTTTGCAGATAACCCATATTAATATTGCCCATCGCAGCAAAGGCGAGCGATGTCATTGTTGTGACGCCAGGATATGCCACGATGAGACCCGGAAACCTTATGCCTCTATCAGGAGTGGACGGCTGGGGGACAAAGTCGGAAAAGGTGTTGGTCGTGGCCGAGAGGGCAGCGTGGCCGACTTCTGACAATGTCGAGCAACTTATGGCGAAGCCGGCATAGGTTAGGTTGTCAGATGCGGTTGCGTTCACTACCATCGGGTGAGTAGCGAGATCATTGAATGTCTGATCAGGGAAGTTTCCCGGCTTGAAGTTCCCCTGGCTGGTGTCATACGCTTGCCATATCACAACCTCCGCAACACGTGAATATGGAGGCTTGTTGGTGCTAGATAAATTGGCGATCAAATCTGAATAATCTCTACGTATCCCTTCAATGTCGTCGTTGGTTGCTAAGACATACTTGTAGCTCACTCCCAGTGTTTGACTAGAGCCAGTTGCCAAAGCCATCAATCCGTCTGTGCGGCTCGTGTTTGAGAGAAACTTGCCTCCTGTAACGCTTCTATATGACCATTGGTCTATAGATGTCATATTTAGCAACTCTAAGCCACTATATGGATGTACCGGAGTACAAGAGATTGTGGCTAGGAAACCCCAGGCTCGACCATAGGCGCGTTCGCTTGCCTGTGGGCCAGAAAAAATGGTGATGCTTTCATTGACTGGGTTGGAGGTATTTTTCAGTAATGCCTGGTAAACACCTTGAATGCTGTCCTCAAAATAGGTGTCGCTCACTTCTGGAGTCCCATCAGGGGCGTACAGGATTGAAGCGCCATCAGGTGTCGTAGTCCAGCCTCGTCGCCAGCTCCCGGCAATCTGCTCAGCTAATGCGTTTGCTGACCTGAGATCAAATGTAGTCTGGTTGACTCCTGTTATCTCGACGCGTCTGCTCCCATTTCTCAATGCGCTTTCTTGCTCTAAAGAAAGACCTGACAAAGGGATGGCGATGTAAAGAAGCAGGCTACTGAGTGCCAAGTGAAACCATAGAGCAGATGGACCGGTCCATTCGGATGGTCCCCCTTGCGTAGCCTTATGGAAGAGGTAGCGGCTTGTTGTGATCACGGCCTTTGCCCAACCGGTCAATGAGCCCCAAGCGCGGTCGGTGTGCCACATGAGCTGCCGAGCACTCTTAGGAGCTATGGAAGGGTTCATCAGAGCGGCAGCTTCGAAGCCGGTGATTCCTGACTTTGCCCAGTCGAGGATAAAAATGTTGATGAGCCACCACGCGTAGAAAACAATTTGTGAATCTATGGGTCGAATTGGCATAACACCATTGACAGATGGTTTGTTGAGGTAGAATTCGACGATGAACAGATAGAATGTCAGAATGAATATTGGGCCAAATATATTCAGCAGCGTTCGTGGAATGTATCGCGAGAAGCGGTAATGCCCTTTTCGAGGATCAGAGATAACAACCAAAGGCTCTGAAATATGATCGTTGGCATCATATTGGCCTGGATACGAAATATAGGATTGCACGTCATTTGCTGTAAACAGTGAGCAAGTTGGTCATCATCCAGATAATTGCGCCGTTGTGCAACTGATAGCAGTGGGTGTTGAACATACAACTTTTTTGTGATTTCAGCGTAGTGCGAAGCGGTAAGTTTCTGGGTATGAAGGCAGTATCTTCATATGCAGCGCTCTTCGTGTCTGATTGAACGGATATATGAGCGTAGTTTCGATGCGAGTGGTTCGTGGGCATCATATTGAAGTGAAGCCCCTCATCATGCTGGAACTGGTTGGAATTGGCTTTGAAGCGTGCCATTTTCGAGTGAGATTTCGTTCTTAGGCGAGGCCGTGCCCGAGAAACAGTTGCTGACCGAAATAACTTTTTCTTTCTGGGCGGGGAGTGCTTTTATCTGCTCCAAGGTTGCGTAGAGCCTTTTCCAGATAGGCTCAGAGAAGATCATGCCGCGTTTCAGAACTAGGACAGACATGTTGGATTTCTCTGACTTGAGTTCAATCGGAGATACGTCTGTAAAAGGAACAGCGAAGTGCTTCAATCTTATTTTTGGATGCATTAGGCCACCATCAAGGGTCCAATTCGCCTCTTGGTGTGGGCTAGAGTGGATGTTGCTGCGATGTGGGTGGGTGCAATTCAATGGAAAGGAGTAGGAAAACCGTCGCTGCGAGCAAGATGGACGGGGAATTTTTCATTTCTGGAAGGAGGTTACGGACATGAAAATAAGCGCCCCTGGAAGCGGCTGAAAGGCTGAAGTGCATGATTACATCGGCTGTTGAACGGGCTGCTGACGGCCGGAACGTTGGAATGGGAGTTGGATTTTCAACGCTGAAAATAAACCTCTGTAGACGACACAGTCTTATGCCTGGCCGAATATTCTTCCTCTTTGGTTTATTTTAGTTTTTACCCTCTTCGTCTCCCAGAATTCAATGCAGTATCATAAAGCACTCATGTGTCGCTGCAGCCTTACGAACGAAGTGGCAAAAGAGTCATTCACCGAAGTTAGCCATTCATCCCGCTCTAGGATCGCGTCAACAAGGCTGTGGAAGCGCCCAGTTGAATGGGAGGGTGGGGGAGCACAGGAGGCAATACGACCGTCAGAATGACGGTAGTGCCCTGAAGGCATCCTTCTAGCCGGCGTGTCTTGTCTGGATGCCATCTGAGCCAGAGTGGGACGAGGCTGGTGATGATCTCCCAATGCCTCCCGGAGCATGCATCCTCGGCCCCCTTCCCTCCGCGCGGCGCTTCGACTATGGCCATGGCAAAACTCTCCAAAGGAAGCACATGTCGTGAAACCTGCATGTGAAGGATCCGGGAGCTAGATGCAGCAGACATAGGGTTCTCGTTCGAATGAAAATTAACTGGTCCCGTAAGTGGGAGAGTGGGAGGGCCAGAGTCAAGTCTTGTCATAGAGTCCCCATCGGTCAGGAAGACATTGATAATTTTGATACAGAATAAACGCACAAGAAAAAAATTCAGGTAAACCTCCTAAACAAGTTGAATAAATAACAGTATATGTCATGATTTATGAATCGCTCAAGGGGTAATTGACTTCGATCTGGAAGGGTTTTAAGTCAAGATATTTACTCTAGCTGCCCAGCAGTCCCGGACCTCACAACATGGCATAGATTGAGGCCAAAAATAATACTCGCATGAGACCAGCAAGCAAAATAATGGTGGTCTTGCTGAAAGAGCTGAAGCTGCCTCTTCTACCTAGCGCAGACAGTCACAAATATCTTAAGCACTGCAAATACAATTCTCTGTCAAACAAAGCAGGGAGCAGTTAAGGTCATGTCCCGGGTATGACTTTTCTTTATATTCTACCAAGTTTTTCTGCGTCAAGAACTAAATGATACAGACTTCACTAGTCTTTCCTTGAAGAAAGTCGGGCAGACCCGGCTCTTGGATACTCAAGGAGTACATATTGATGGCATTGTCCAGCGTCTTAGCAAGTGGCAATAAGCGTATTCTCAGCCATCTAATGTGGCGACAAAAAAACTGGCCGTATCCCATACAGTAATGTCGATAGACAATGTAGTTGATTCGCGTCCCTGCTGGGGTTTCTCATGCGCTTTTCTACCGAACTGCCGGTGGACAAGTCTGGTGCCTCTCTATGGGACATTGAATACAAAGTAGATGGGATCCTCTGCCAATCTAGGCTGACCTGAGGAGCTCAAGGGTGGCAAGTGGCCATTTTCCGGATACAGCTTTTTCAACCCCCTCCCCTCTCCCTTTGGCACAGCTCACTGGAGAAAATTCTCATTTCCACAATCAAGGAGAATAAGGTCCGGGCAGCCCCTCAGGTAAATAACATGTGAAGAGAGACTGACGAGTTGTGATATGCAAACTAACCTCATCGGCGTGGTGCAGGCCTATCACCGAGTTGTCACAGCATATTTACTGGTGGACGACGTGCAGTGACAAGTTGAAGATGAGAAGGCCCAAACTCTATTTTCCGGCAGCCTGAATACTCAGCTCGTTTTCATTTTGTTCAATTTCTAAAATGATGTGTCGATTCACTATGACAAGTGGTACCTCAATACTGGCTTTTGTTTGGCCACCGCTGCTGTGATGACCAGGATGAACCCACCAGATAACGTAAAAGTATTTCCCAGGGGCACAGAATATTGGCTCATGAAATTACAATATGCTTAATAAAACGTGCGATCTATATTTTTCTTTTCCTCTGGTGAATGGGTGGGCGATGCCTTCATGATCACGGAGGGCTGGCTGAAAGGACTCGTCCCAAATGTTGCCACAGGTTAACCCGCCAGGCTATTTCCCCAATCAGGCTCTTCTGGACTAGTGGCTAAATCTTCTATTCGTGGAAGGATAAATTACTGAAGAGGGTAATAGTTATGCTTTGGTATTAGGCGTCACCATCCTAAATTCCCTAGACTTGTTCTCTCGTGGAGGTGGGTGTGGGGGAATTTGAGGGAGTCGCTTGATAGATAGTGCCGACCCCTCTTGGAGTAGCTGTTGCAAAACTTATTGGCTTAATTATACAGTTGAATGCTGCCCAACCCCTCAGATACCACTCTACTCGCGAAAGCTATCCGAAAATTCGACCGAGACATGCATTCCTGAGGTGACTCTAAAAGCCATCCATCCACCCACGACGATGTTGGATTATGCTGTTACTATCAACATCTTCAATTAGAATTGAGTAGCATAGGAAAGAGTTGACTACTACCTCGGTGAGCGCGATGAGCTGGCTTGCAAGGGTGGATGGTTGGTCGAACGGATCGGTTCGTACAAGGCTAGAGCAAGATGCCTGCTCTTGCTGTCTCCTGTACCTAGGAACTACAGGTTCCGAGTAGACTTCGCTTGGAGACAGGCCCGGAGAGGTTAGGAAAGGATGGCCGACGGTCCACCTCACCACGTCAGGGAGGGCAGATGGAGGCCATGGCCTCACATGAAACAGACATTTTCGTGATGCATTGGCACGATCGTCGACTCCCAACACCCACTCTGGCTGAAAAGTATCTTATCAGTACATAGGGTGTCTTGCCAACACGCTTCTTGGCAAAGTCTGTGTGCATTCGAAAGTTGGTACATGCACGAGGCTCTGGCAATGTGACGATGATGGTATTGGCCAGTCTGGACCCAACTTGTGGCCACCCTGCCCTCAGCCAAGCAGGAGAGAACACTACTGTGGTCATCAATCCCCATATGCCGCTATCTTTCCCAAAGAGTCCAGCTGCGTCATGGCGACCCAGAATGTCGAGCAAATCCGCTGGCGTGCCGGCTCTGGTTGGCTGTGGAGGATCGCGGGCATTAAGCAACAACACGTCTGCATCCGAGTCGGATACCGGTAAGAGGGGCCTTCCAGGGTACTTCCGTCAATAGCAAGGGAGAGATGAGAGGCTCAATGCCGAACTATTCCCCAGCTGAAAAGTGGCCTTGCCTGCCTGCATGGGGGAGCATTGAAGGCAAAAACTTTTTGCTGCATGATACTCAGCTGGGCGGTTAGATGTGATCATTGCCTGCGAGGTGAGGTGGGGTTAGGTGATCCAAGCCCCCCATTGATGGACATTTGCTAGAGCCGCCGGAGCCACTCATTCGCCATCAGAACGATGTTTGTCCTGTCAAACGAGATGTCAACAAGGGCCAGCCATGTACCTCACGGCGCGGGAGCCGTGGAAGAGAAAGGTGACGTTGGCCCGGTGGGGGGCTAGTGGCGGCCCGCGTGAGGGCGCCAGCCATAGGCTGAGATGATATTAGAAGTAGGTGATACTCATTCAATCAGTGAATCAAGGCAGATCTCGAATTGAGTTGGCCTACCCCACACGGCCAAGGAAACGTCGCCCGGTACCTCTAGGGGCATGGGCTTCGGCTGCTCACGGGCTTGTCGCTCTACATCTGCACACGGGGCATACGTGTATTTGCTGCCATCTCGAAATTGACGAGACAGCACGGGTGCTGCCCTGCCACCATTGGGTACCTACTTGTTCGCTTTCGCATGGATCTCGCATCCTCGCGAAGCCATTGGATGCCAATGCATAGGCCCTGGCTACTTACCTTTGGTCCGAACGACACAACCTCACATTGGAGGGTGACATAGCAGACTTGTATGCTTGAATCATGCTCGGAAAATGCAGCAATGAGGCAAGTTGTATGCCACCTGGCGCCAGATAACGAACTGTTGCTACATTCCGGGTTTTTCTCTGCTACTCCGTGCCTGCCTTTCTCAGGAGATGATCCCAGGTAAGAAGGGAAACCCTTGGGGAGAACCCTTGGGTCAACCCCAGAGGTGTAGCCTTGACGACGAAGCATGGGGATGGGGAAGGTATCACTCCCGTTCGGTCAGCCCGTAGCCACAAGCGAGCGAGTGAGTGAAGACTTGGATATTTTTCAACTGAAACATGCCTGCCTGCCTCCGCACGCAGGTAAGAGACAAGACAAGCTGGCAGGAGCCGGGTCGGCAAGATGCCCGTCGATTGCGCACCCGGTTACATTTTGGAGGGAGTAGGGACTTCGATCCTGGTTTCCGCTACGCACCGCACAAGCTTGCGCCTGCACTAGTAGCAGACTCGCAGTTCTGCATGCAGCAGAGCAGGTAGGAGGTGGTATTGGTATCTACGCTGCAAATTGCCCCCACACGAAGAGGAGAGACGACAACCAACCCAAACCAGCCGCATGTATACACCACGCACACGATAGGGGATCCGCGACATTGCCAGCGGGCTCGACATGTTCAGTTCTAGTGTTTCCTTTCCTTTCTTTTTTTTGCCAATTTTCCTCCGCGCAACCGTATTCCACCTTACTCTTCCGGGCGGTGCCCCAGGATCTCTGCCACCCCATTTTGACTTGCATGTCCCGGCTGGCACATCCATCTGGGAAGGCCTCGTGTGATCTCTTAGCCGGCGTGGACAAGGGAGTCGGATGTCGACTCCTGCTCCCACAACAATCGCCCTTACCTCTGCTCGTTTGGGCCAGAGTGATCGGCCTCCCTAGATCTGGTGGAGGGACCATCACATTCGGGCCCAGACCAATCATGGCAGATAGGCCTTGGCGAGCGTGAGGGCAGCATCTGCGAGGTGCGGCCTCCTAGTCTTGAGTTCCTGCATGCGATACCTAGTGGCTGACTGACTGCCCTCCGTGATCAGCGTTTGGTTGGACAATCGGACCCATGTCATCTCTTCTCTCGTCTGGCAATCTGTCGACCGAGCAAACTCCTCAAACCTGGCTTACCGAGACCCTCCGCAATGCAGCAAAGTGGATGTGGTAGAAATGATGTTGCCTGGGGCAATCCGCCGTGCACAGCGAATGCCCCCGAACCTCATTGGCATTCGAGCAAGCGCTCTGGGCACATCACTAGGCCCGATATGCATACATACTGCACCGCAGCAGACGAGTGGCTTGGATATCACGCCAACCAAGCAAGCCAGTTGGAGCAATTGGTGGCAGAAATCCTTGGACAATCAGCACTGGGCGGTTCCATTTCTCGGCACGGGCTAATAGTAGGGCATCGCATCTGTGGAGCCCTCGGTCACGAATGGCGCTAACCGGCCCTGCTGTTGAGTCTTGACCCTCTTGACCAGGCGAGGCAGCTCCATATTAGCTGCTACTTACTGCTACTGATCCTAGGGACGACAATGTCTGTGCTATGTATAGAGGGAGTGATGCTAGCAGCTTACTGGAGGTTTGAGCTACCACTGGCTGGCCCACAAGGCGCCTATGTTTTGCCTCACATGCCCTCGCCAGATTCGCTAGCAGTTGCGAGACCAACCAGCGCGGCCGTTGCTGCTGCTCCGGCCTGGATCGTCGGCCTGTACGCGCCGGCCACGACGAGCAGTTCCTGACGGCCCAACCCGGACGTCGACAAGCACACGGCAATACACGACTGCAGGCGCCCACACTAGACTCGGCGTTAGGATACCTAGCGATGTCTCTCGAGTGTACACCATCGACTGGGGGGGCGATGAGGGGGGGATGGGAGGAGTAGGCACATCCCGCCACCCACACGCCCCTCCCCCCAGGAGCTACTTGTGAATACCTCGAACCCATGATTGCAAGCACGTACGATGGTCTCGCTACCTACATGCCTTCAGGCCTACCTAGCTACATATCCCCTCCCACCAAACATGCATACAGACGTGCTAGCTCCTGGGCAAGTGTGTATGTATGCGGTCGTTTCTCTCCACTTCATCGCACCGCATCCACAATCCACAATCACACACTATGTGCTTTAATACGGACTGGGTAAGTGTAGGCAGAGTTGCAGCCCTTTGGTGGGCGTCTAGGGAGCAGCCAGTATTTGCGCAGATGTTCCCTGTACCCTGATCGACCCTGGCACGGTCCCACCTCGGACAAGATCAATCTCGACATGCTGCGTGCATTACCTACACGGCACTACAGACTGCCTCGACAAAATCTCTGATACTGAGACTCCCTCCGAGTACACGCTCTTGTCTCTACTACAACGTTGGAGGCTCCATCTCGGCTCCCCGCCAATGCATGACATTTGACATGGACCATCTCAAGTCCGCAGGAAAAGACTCCGATCTGGCCTAGGCAGTCCACCACCCTAGCCCACATACTCACCCGCAACATGTTCCGCGTTACTTAAAACTTAACCACTCCCCTCTCCGGCCTGCTTCTTGATTTTTATATCTTCTCATGCCTCCGTCTTCCCTGTGTGCTTGTTTCTTCATTGCAATGGGCGCATCTGGGTGAAGTGATAACCAACTCTCCTCATCCTGTACTATTACCTGGGCCGTTCGTTTCCTGTCCTTTTCTCTTTTCCCCCAATCCTGCTCTCGGTTGTCTGTTCTGGCCTCATCACAGGGCCCTCTAGCGTCCTTTCCACTCGTATTTCAGATCCAAGTACCAGGAGATCCTGAGCTCTCATCTCACCTGCTGCTCACCTTTTTCTCACTTGACCCGACCCACCTGCCACTTCTCATATTTAATGAACTCGCACCGGTTCACGACGTAACGAAATTCCTTCTCCTTCACCTTCACAAGTGCTGAAAAAACACACTTGTGGAATCCTCCTCCACGGCAAGAGATCCATTGCTTCAAGAAAGCAATCGGAGAAGAATACCTTTCTCTGCGTCTCGATAGATGACCCATTGTCATCAATGAGTTTTGTTTGAAACAGCATCACCATCTATCTACCCAAGAAATCCCTGAACCAGCAGAGTAAAATCAGCACCCTTCCTCCCACTTGTCTATAATGGACTCGTTACAATGGATCCTGCCTTCTAGCGACTTCTGGCACTCAACCACCTTCTGGATCTATCTCTTCTGGGGCGTCTGGCAAGTTCCATCCTCTTCTACAACCTCCCACGTCTTTCAATGTCACACCTTCTAATACCATACTAGGATCCATCGCTACTTTCGTCTCATCGTCCATTGCATCAGCCATTGGACCTACAAGTCAAAGCCGATCCCGGCTAAACCCACCTTCACCAGCAAGGATGTCACAGTGGTGATTCCCACCATCCATAATGTGTTTGAGGAGCTCCGGCCCTCACTGGAGAGCATTCTTGCCTGCGACCCTTTTGAGATGATCCTTGTGACCACAGATGAGAAGCGGCAGGACCTTGAAGTCCTGGTTAACTCCATGGCTAGATCCAACATCCGAGTCCTCTCCACACCTATTGCCAACAAGCGACTCCAGGTCTGCGAGGCTCTTCCCAAGGTCAACACTCCCCTCACCATCATGGCAGACGACGACGTCACTTGGCCTTCCACCCTGATGCCTTGGATCCTGGCCCCCTTCGAAGACCCCAAGATTGGCGGCGTCGGAACCTGCCAACGAGTACGCCGTGAGTGGGATGCTCCATGGTCGACCCAGATCTGGAACTGGCTTGGTGCAGCTTACATTGAGCGACGTAACTTTGAAATCTCGGCAACTCACAACATCGACGGCGGCACTTCTTGCATGTCTGGACGCACTGGAGCCTACCGGTCAGAGATTCTTCGAAGCCACGAGTTCCTCCATGGTTTTAGGAATGAGAAATGGAGAACCTGGATTCTGAATGCCGACGATGACAACTTCGTCACCCGGTGGCTGGTGAGTCACCAGTGGAAGACCTGGATCCAGTACAACCGGGAGTGCGAGATTGAAACCACCCTTGAGAACGGGGTCAAGTTTCTGTACCAATGCTCCAGATGGGCCCGCAGCAACTGGCGTAGCAACTGGACGAGCATGGTCCGCGAGAGGTACATTTGGAAGTAAGTTGGACCCACTTATATTGGGGTGCAGCAGCCCACACGAAGCCATCATAGCTAACCCAGCATATAGACAGCAGCCATGGTGCACCTACGCTCTCCACATTGCAACCTTCACTTCGCTAGCCTTTATCTCGGATCCCCTGCTGCTTGTGTCCTGTTGGTATGCCACAGCCAATTGGGACCTGCAGAACCGCCAATATGCATTCTGGGCCCAATTCGTCTTCATGTTTGCTTTCACCAAGGTGGTGAAGCTGATGGGGTTGTTCATCAGAAACCCGAGCGACATCATCTTCTGGCCCGTGTCGGTTGTCTTCGGCTATTTCCATGGCCTCATCAAGCTCTATGCTCTAGTCACTCTTAACATGGTAAGCTCCCTTCTCTTTCCCCGCACATGCTCAACACGTTTTCTAACGAAGGCGCAGACATCCTGGGGCAGCCGTGAGGATGGTGACACCAACGACGACAAGCGTATGGCACCCCCGCCACAGCAATCCATTGTATTGAAGACCCCTCCTGGAACAACCTCGCTTGTGCGCTACAACATTCGCCAGAAGGGACGGCAGACGTTGCGCGAAGTGAAGGGTGGCGAACAGGAGAAGGAGAAGCATTATGCTACTTACGACTCGGGGACATCTTACATCCCCCACAGAATTCTGGAGAAGCCATGAATTTGTCCCGCGTGACTTGTCTATCTTAAGGCAAATTTCCACGATAGGAAGGGGACGCTAGAGGTTAAACAGAACTTTAAATTCGCTCTCCTCTAATCTTGTTTTTCTTTTTTTTTCCTTTGTTTTTTTTTCCTTAACCTGACGACGATATGACCAAAGGATTTTCATAGTTCATCCCATTGCAACGGGACACTTTTTTTTCACCATCTGGCCAATTAATGGAAAATTGATGCGAAGATGGTGGTGTTTCATTAGGAGAAACTGCCTGTATCACATGAGCCTTTTGGGGGTTACAGGCACAGTTTAGGAAGATATTCCGGTTGGGGGGAAATTAGAGTCTACAACGAGCTCTTGGAGAGACCTGTAGAGAGGTCATCCGGGAACGGACTGGAGGTTCAAAAAGTTAATGATTTCATGGATGGATGGACGGAATGAAGGAAACAACGGTACGGAACAAGGATAGGCGTTAGGGTCTACGATAATGAAAATAGGCAGGGCTGCCGATCACTACATGAGCCACCTGTGCCCGACGACGTCAGATAACCAGGGTTCGAAATCTACCGTGACATTAAGCAGGCAGTTGTTGGGTGGCTTTGGGTAACGTTGGGATCTCGATGCTGCGAGTACTTGTCACACGAGCATCCGGCAGACATCAGATCCACCTTGCTGGGATGTGTATTTCCTAATCGGTTATCCTGAGGAAACCCCATTACTCGATGCGTTGTCATTGAGGGCAACGACCTCTGTGGCCGTTTCGAAACCACTCTTAAACTTCGCACAGGCATATGGCCACATGCATTCCAGACCAATGGGGCCATTGTCTTGCATTGGTGGCATGCTGAGGACGATGGAACTCCGGTTTGTTTCGTAGCACCGGCTCTCGACATTCCGGTCCTCCTACGTCACTTGCTGCTGTTCTCCGGCGACTATCTCTCTTGATGGCTTAAGGGTTCAGGTCGACTGCAGGAGTCCCGGCCAGGGACCCCCTCGATGGTGGCTCCAGGTGGAACCCCAAGGTAAGCGGCCTAGTTCGACCTGGGGGACGGGCTTAGTATGCGGCTCGAACGAGTTAGCAGTGGCTCCAGGACGACCTGCTAGTGCTATGTAAGTGTGAAGATAGTGGGGAGCCGATTTCTGGTTGGATGGGATGCTTGTATGTTCTTGAGTGGTAAAGTTGAGGAGGGAGGGGGGCCTTTGAGAGGAGGACTCCACCCCGATGGATGGCATCAAGCGAACCCCGCATAGGTTCAAGGTCTGTTGTTCTGGCCGTTGGCATGCTGCATTTTCCCACAGGACGAAAACCACGTACATCGTAGGTGGGTAATAGTTCTGGGCGGTTGGCTCTCGGTGGTGCCATTGAATGCATGGGATGGATGTGGTGAAAGAAGGGAGGGAGGGGCCAACGAAGGAAAGGGAAGGGAGTTCGTTGGTTGGGGAAATTGGCAATCGGGATGATGCTATCGCCCCAGGGTGGTAACCGTGGAGGACCCTGGTTGGCGAAGGGTGTTGTTGTTGGGTTGAGAGAAGTTGACAGCAAAGAAAGAAAGAGGCAAAACTACATAACTGCTAAACGAACAAGCTTCGGGACTGCACTGCACAGTTCCAATGCATGAAGGCTGTGTGTTTGCTGGCCACCCCCTCCACTCCTCCTTGTTCTCGATGCGCCCTTGATAAAAAGCAAAGAAAGGAAAAAATAGGCCACACCTCGTGAGCGATTGAAACCTCGATGAGGTAGAACAGGCAGCTTGTTGTCGAATGGAACACCAATTCGATCGGTTTGTTTGGACGGGAAGAGATGGGGGAGGGGGGCGCTGTGGAAAGCTCCATTCTAGACGGCAGGGAATGAATGGAGCGGCCGGTGTCACGCCACAAGGAAAACACATGCATTATCTCTACATTTGCCTAGCGAGGAAAATTGACACGCACCTACCTAACCTAGGTATGTAAGGCATGTGTGTAGTATGTATGAATGCCCGCTACGCAAGGTAGGTCAGTCAATAATTTGCCCGTGGCGGTTGGGCGTGTTCAATGCTCCATGATACGATGCGACGCGATGATGATAGAGAGGGATCCGCTTCGCAAGCAAGCAGGAAGTATGCTTCGGAGTGTATTATTGGGAGAAAGCGTCCCCACATGTGAAGAGGAGAAAGACGCAACTGGCCTACTGCAGGCAGCAAGAAGCGTTATGTATGTGTGTAGCCATGTTGAGATAGAATTATGGAGGCGCGCGCCGCCCATGACATGACAATTGGCAGGAGGCGAACCAACCAAGCTCGTTGGCGCGTAATGGCATGTTTGGGTTGCTCTCAACTTGACGAACGAACGGGCAAGTCAGAAAATAGACGATGGAGATACCCGGCTCAGCCATCATCACACCCATCCATCTAGCCGTTCCATCCAACCAAACCTGCCCGGTTATCTGCTAAATGCGTGTGCGTACGTACGTCAGTCGCTTTTCCTCTCTTGCCTGGCTGGCCCGCTTGAAAATCAACATTGACCAAGGCAAGCCCTTCTCTGAGGGGGTTAGCGATGTAGATTTTTTGTGGCCCGTCGTAGCGGGTGCGTGATCTAACCGTTTCCTCTTAGACATGCATACAGCGACGCAGGTCCTCTGGGGCTAACCGCTTCCTACATGGCCCGTTTTGGCGGAGGCGTGGGCATAGCAATTGTTTGTTGTGTGTACAAGGCCAGTACTCGCCAGGTGAACTGGTAGTCGATTTCGGCCTGGTCGCAAAACACCTCTTATTTTCTTTCATTCACCACTTGGACTATGTTACCACCCGTAGTCGAGCGGAGCGAGGATCATACTTGTCTCTCTCCCCTCTTCAACTTCAAGCAACATATTGTTTTTTTCCACAATTGCATAACTCGTCAGGGAATCAGCATGTTGGCCAACTGGAGTACAGACGGGGAGTGAGGCCTCTCGCTTCCCCTGCGCTTCTCGGTCCCCAGAAGACGCATACTCACCTCGCCTCCTCCATGGTCAAACGACCAACACCACGCCCAGTACGCGTGTAAGGTGATTAGCTATGACATCTTCCAAGGCCCATCTGGAGGAGGGGGCTGAGCTGACAGAGCCTGGGCTGGGAAAAGAGCCCCACGGCACAGCTCGAGCGGCGGCGGGTAGTCACATAGGGCTCTCGTCACTTGACTTAGTTTCCATGGTGTAAGCCCGCCCAGTCGCGATCGGGACTTGAGGCTGGCGACGAGCTTATTCTCCTCCAGAGGGCAAGCACACACGTGCGCCACAGGGAGCAGGAGGTCACGATCCCCTCCCAATCGCTGACCCCCCCGCGCGCAAACCCATAGCTCGATGAGGCTGAGGCGGCCCTTGTGCGACATGATGTGCAAGCTAATATCCACATCCCTGGCCTTGTATGGACTTGTGCAAGAGGAGCGAAGGGGGAAAATGCCCGAGTTTAGAGTGGGAACACGATGGGAATATCAGGAGGATGGGCAGGGCAGGATGGGGAATGGGCTAGGATCAGGCCCTTTGAGCTTTTGGCTCCACACCCTACGGTCACTCGGATGGGGTTTGATCGGGTGGGAGAGGAGAGAGGCTAAGGGAGCCAGTCAGATCTTGGTGGATTGTGAGGAAGTGGTCAACTCATGGAGGCACAATTGGTTCGCGAGGTTCGCGTTGTACGTGAGGCGGAGTGAAGTGGGCATGAGGCCCTCCTCCTCCTTGCTCTGGCTCTCTCCATGTTTCCCACCCATTGGACGACAAGGTTGTGGAGAGGCAGGAAGGCGCTATTATTCAGACCGGGCCAAAGTGGCACCGTAGACACAGGCCATCTCCATAAAGGTAGAATCGTGCATGTAGGTCATTCGATCTTGCCGAGCGCATAGACTTGGTCTCGGCTGGATGACGGGCATTATGGTCGATTGACTAGTGCCACCTACCTACCTCGGGCAATATTGATTGATAGATTGCTGGCATCATGTCTCGGCTGGAGTTTCACCGGGGAAAAATTGAGAGAGAAAAAATTAAGAATGGAGGGCCAATCTGGCATCCCGGTGCTGCTGTGACATCTGGATGGAAGTGTATGATGTAAATGGCCAGTAAGCAGCGACGGAGCGCGAGAGAAGTAGGGTTCCATTGTTTACCATCGTTGTCATGTTCCTGAACCAATGCTACCTGTCCTCGAATGAGGGGGGGACAACAGGCCGGCCGCAGTTGGGGGGGCCTAGTTGTTGGTTACCTCGACTTGGGGCAAAGTGGCACTTGAGGCTAAAAAGGCAATGGGTAGACCGAAGGAGGAGGGCGATTGCCAGGCTCTGATCTGCAAATCCCCCACCACCAGCCAAACCGCTACCCTCATCCGGCTATCGTCCGAATTGCCCTCTACAGCATCGTGCAGCGGGAGGGAAGGACGGAGATGGGGCGAGGGAAGCAAAACCTGCGATGTCGCTCCAATCAGTGTGCCGTCCCTCCTCGAGCCTTGCTCGGCTGCCGCACGACGACGAGTTTGGGGTTGCGGGCGGCCAAGCCGGTGCAGTAGCACCCTGCAACCCCCACCCGCTGCTCGCCCGCCTGGCTTGCCATCATGTACGTCTGAACCGCTGCTGCGACATTCATGTATGTACGCATGTACGTGTGTGTATGTGTATGCATACACGCAGACAGGCCTCCATGGCAGGCTGGCAAGCGAGGAGACAAGGAGAGGAGGCGCTCCAGTTGTGCCATGGTCAAAACGGCCCTTCCTTGGGAAAGTGTTCCGGGACGCAGGGAGGTGCATGAGAAGTCGGCCGAATGCTGGCAGGCTGCGCTGGAACGGGCTAGGGATTGCCTCTTGCTCCTAGTCCTTGCTCGAGGTGCGTGTGCTCTGCAGCGTGATATTCATGGTCGCTACGACGGCGGCCCGAAGGCGAGCGCCTATCGAGCACGTATCATCAAGGATAATCTGGACTGGGTTGCTATTGGCCGGGCTTCCAGTTGTCATACCATGGCCTTACGATGAGACTTTCATGCACCGGAATGGCTCCCTTTCTGCCGAGGAGAACACATGCATGGCTGACCCGACTCTCACGCCTTCACGACCTCTGCTATCTTGCCCCGTTCGATCTGCTGTGCTGGCTCGTGCTTCCCGGCGTTTGATCCTCCAGGCAGCCGATGGGTGGCAACCTCTCCGGCCGTGATGTGTTCGAGCAATAGACTAGCGCCCGGCTGGTTGCGACTAGGAGGTCCATGTCGATGGCTGGTACCTCCTCCTAGTTCATATCAGGCTTGCCAGGGCCTTACAACGGCGACATGTCTAGCGCAGCTCTTGGCTTTGCTCGATCCACAACAACAACACAGCGTTCGCAAAAGCGCATCTCTATCCGTCTAGCTACATGATGAGGCAAATCACTCATGTGCAAAGCGACGATCCGGCGAGTCGTTCTGCCCTCTGCCAACGCATCATGATCCCGTCACTTGCGTAATCGAGAGCCCGGCTCGTCAGCCAGATTGTCCGCGGCCGTCGTATCTTGCTCCTACTCGGCACTTGACAAGCTACACGCCCCCACGTCCCTGAAGATCAACCGATGTATCACATCGCGCGTTTTGAGCCACCTTCAGTACACTCCACAAAGGACCAATACAACCCGGATCTCCAACGCTACCGATTGGCCTTCTTCCCCAGTCAAATGAGCTGTCTCTACCTGGCTACCTGTGCACCTGTACATAGACGGCAATGAGGCCGTTGAATCCTAAACTGCCCCTGGTCTGTTATCCCTTGAGGTTCTCTCTCCTCCCGGACCCCGTATCGATCATCACCTTTCTCACCGGAGGTGGCGTCGTTGTAGCAGCGGTAGTCGAGATCCTTGGCCCGCCTGGCTGCAGATGTGTGACCAACTTGCGTTATCCCAGAAGATTGCGATGCATTGGAAAGTACCGCTGATCCTTGGATGATGGAAGCTTGGTTTTGCAAAAGGGCAAGCTGGACGGCCACGACAAGAATAGTATGCAGGGCCGCGTCGGAAGCTAAATCTCCCCTCACTTATCAATATGGAGTCTCTTGGTCCGGGCGAGCCCTAGCCCGCCGACCTGGGGGGCCTGTCATCGATTTATGCAAGCATTTCGTGCAGCTATTTCACTAGTGAAAGACGAAGCATCAGGAGGAATATCGGTTCACTAAGCAGCCAGTGCGGATTGAACCGTCAGGAAAGGGCTGGCAAGCGTGATATTAGAACGGTGCTATAGTATCAGGTGAAGCCGTATCCAGTATAGCCAGGCGTGGGCTAGCAGTTGGCGGACTAGACTCTTTACGAAAGTGATGATGCTCCTGCCGAGTTGGGCAGGGAGCTCTACACAAAGAGAAGGAGAGAAAGGCAGAGAGCCGGGGAAAACCCCACTGCTCATAAAACCACAGAAGCACAAATTACACGTCTCTGTGATGGACAGGGCAGGGGGGGAGGAGAGGGAGGAGAGGGGGAGATGTGCCGCTTGTGCTTTTGTGCGACCTCGGCTGAGGTACATCTTCTCTAGGGGCATGCAGCCGTCCATTTGCATGCCTAGAGCCAGAGCCTACGTTGTGTCTGCATAGTTGGAGGATTTAATATGCATACACATATACATATACCGAGGAGTTGCTTGGTTCTTGTCCCGCAAACCCCTGTCTGTGATGTGCTTGCAGCCCCTCTCAGTTTCCGGCCTGCTCCCCACAGAAATCCCACCACCAACATTGTACTACGTGGGCTATCCCCCCATCCCCCTCACCATTCACCTTGCCTGTCCTACCAGGGACTTAATAACGACAGGGTTATCTGCTTAACCCTGCCCGCAAAGTACCGTTCGCGGTTCTTGCAAAGAGGAGCCAATACTGCCAATGCCCTGCCGCCCAAGACAGGGTCCGAGAAAAGGAGGGGGTACGCGGGGAGAGTACACGCTGGGGCATGCGGGAAAATCATGTACCTGCAATGTATCTTGGGTTCAACCTTGGGGCCAACCTGGTCAAGAACTTGGAGGTGGGGCGGGTGGGCGTGTGCATCAGAGAGGGCTGCTGGACAGGCAGTACTTGGAGGTACTTTGCCGGTGTGGGTAGCGTCCGTTGCAGCTTTAAACCTGCAGAGGTCGGGGGGGAGGCCACAAATCCACACATGAGAGAACCAATCAGTCCGGCGATGATGATTGAAGGACAAGGAATCACATGAAAGCAGAGGGTGCGCGGGTGCATTGCAGTGTCGTAATCTGGCTTTTTTTTGTTGGGCTCAAGGAAAACAAGATCTCGCGATCAGGAGGTCTAAGAAACTACATGTGATGATGATGTCGTTGTTTTTTTTCCCAGGTCCGTGCCGAAGAGAAAACGGAACGCGAGGGCGCCGCAAAGTGGCCCCCGACGCGGCCGCTGTGATCCCGGTCGGACAGCACCAGGGTTTTTGAGAAAGGAAAATCTGTCAAGCTGCAAATTGATGAAAAGTTAAATAGGCGGGTGTGTGTGTATTGGATATTGGCCCCCCGAACACAACGGCGACGGGAGAATGCCACAACGCAGGCTGCTTTGAGGACAGCAACTCGGCAGCCCTAAAGTGCAGAGTGTGCCATCAAAACCCTGCCACCCAGGTTGGAGATGTTGCATCGAACCGCCTCGGATAGGAAGTCGGGCTGGCCCGAAGATAAATATCGGACAGTCTCGGGCCATGCTCGAGGGTAGGGCATCGGGACAACGATCTTATCCCTCGGTCTGACCCTGCGTATTTCCTGTGTCAACGTCGCACCGAGGATTGGCAGCTTGGATGCCAGCTCACGGCCTGGGTCCTGTTTCAGCATTTCCGGTCGGTGAGTGTCGGGGTATAGGGGGGAAACTTACAGATTCTCTCGGCAGGGTAGTTGCTGGCAGACCGTCGAAGAGGGATGGGAGTGCAGCTAGACGCAGGAAGAAACGGTGAGTGAGTTGACGGGCTGCGTCGCGGGAACTCCGACGCAACGCTCCGGCCAGGGACTGGGAGGACAGCTCCCGGGCGCAATCCTCTCATGGTACGCGAGGATGGTTTGCCCGGGGAGTTTGACGCCGGCGACAGCTCTTGGCCAAACAAATGTCGAAGATTGAAGTATCTGACGAGCTCCTGGGCCGAAGAAGGCACGCTGGTACAGAGGTACACATGGACTCTGATGTCGCCCTTGCCATTCATCGGCCACCATAGCTCTTCTCCAGAGAGCAGTCTCGGAGGGCAAGTTGGTCGTGCGAGATGCATAGGTGCCACCTGCGCAACCTCTCTGTCTTCTCGTTCTACAATCGGGCTCAGGGCACTTGAAGCCAGACGTCCAGGAGTAGAGAAGCCCAAAGTGTTGCCATGATTGATCCGTCTTGAGCTGCCATGGTCTGTTGTTTTCGAGTTGAGTGCACCGTCGCGGCTTTCGTAGAAAGACTTGTCGTGTCTCCAAGACTGTGCTAATTCTGCGTCTGTCTTCATCTGATGGAAAGGTCTCAATTCCGCAAGGGCCAAGTCATCGACCTGCGACATTCTCTCCAACCCCATGTCTGGTATAACCGGTCGTATATATATGTGGTCTGAGGCTATTTCTAGAGAAGTGGGAGAGACAGACGATATATTCCAAGAGTGTCTTTGCGGAGGAGTCAGTAGAGCTGGGCTTCTTGGTGCAGTCTTGACCACGGAGGGTGATTTGGGATCAATGGGAGTAGCCATCATGTCCTAAATGCTAAGACAGAGGTAGATCATCAATATATTCCGGTATAGAAAGCACGTCCTCGCAGCTATGCAGGTAGGTAGGTCTAGCTCAGGGGCTAGATGAAGAGCTACTGCGTGACGGGATGAACATCTATTATTATATCTGCTGAAAATTCATCACAGGGCGGTCACATTGTTTCCCAGCGACTCATTTCCTAGAAAAAAAGCCACATTATCTAAATGGCAAAGAAAAGAAAATACACGGGCTATTGTCGTGGAAGATGTGGATCTGCGTGGGCATCACATCTTCTGATAGGCACCTAGGAAATTCACGATGTGGTGTGGCTAGAAGCTATCCCGGATTGGATGTGATGGGCGCCCTTTTCTCTCCGAATTACATGTCAGAATCAGGGCTGAGCTTCACAAATCCGCGTATGGACAGCCGGTGAGATTCACAGGGGTGTGGTTGAGATCACTTGATAGATCACTCGAGAGTTGACAGCGAAATGCATCGGTAGATGTCCTGGTTCAGCCGCCAGGAACAGTTGAGTCACGTGATTCAGCAACCTGCCTCCTATTGACCTTAGTCATCAGAGTCAAGGCCAGTGGCAGCGGCGCAGTGGGCCCACTACAGCTCTTTGAGAGACAATCACGGCTCCTGAAAGCCACGATTCCAGTACGGTATCCAAAGTAAAAGTTGACACTTGTCACTCTATTCCGGCGACATAACTACGAGGCTTCGCCTGCCTGACCCTCGGCGCAATTGCTTTCTTGTTTCTGTCCTCACATTCGTTTCCTATCTTTCATAATGTCTACCTACAAGCAACAAAAGGAGGATTTCGTATCCAACCTCACCGGTGGGACGGTTGGCGAGATTGTCCTCGTCTCAGTGGTCGGATATGTAAGGAAAACTCAATCTCTTTTTGAAATTTATCTGAAAAATCTGACAAGTGTTATATGGATATAGCTGTCTGTTGGTTTATGGTCAGCACTACAGGCGCGTCAAGCCTTCTTTCAACCTTATGGCCCCATCGCATTGGTCGTTGATTACTTCCTCAATGTCGTAGTCATGCTGCTTGCAATGACCCTCTACGCGAATTCACTCATCAAACTTTGTCTTCTTCTTGTTGCGCCCATAATTTTGATTTTGGTGCTTCCCCCAAAACGGCCTGCAACGAGACGGAGGCCCCGGGTTCCATCCAATGCTGATGCGAAGCGCATTTCAAAGCAACTGAATCCTTTGCCTTTGAAACCATTCTTAACCGTCTATCGATCCTTTATGATGACCATGACCTGTGTCGCGATTCTTGCCGTCGACTTTCCTCTCTTTCCGCGGCGTTTTGCCAAGGTCGAGACCTGGGGCACGTCTCTCATGGACATCGGAGTCGGTTCTTTTGTCTTCACAGCCGGTATGGTTGCCGCCAGACCTGTTCTGAAGGACCGCGCCTCCGGTCGTCAAACCGGATTGGTGTCTCGTGTTATGAGTTCATTCCGCCACTCTATCCCCTTACTTATTCTCGGGGTGATCCGGATGATAAGCGTCAAAGGTCTAGACTACGCAGAACATGTTTCTGAATACGGCATACATTGGAATTTCTTCTTCACCTTGGGCCTGCTCCCTCCTTTTGTGGCGGCATCTCAAGCCGCCTTGACCATTATTCCGTCATATGCCGCCTTAGCGCTCCTCATCAGCGGAACCTATCAACTACTCCTCGAAACAACAGAGTTAAAAGCCTTCGTGCTCACTGCACCACGGACCAATATTATCTCCATGAACAGAGAAGGAATTTTCAGCTTCCTCGGCTACCTGGCCATATTTCTTGCCGGCCAGGACCTGGGCATGTTCATCATTCCCAGGAAGTTGAACCCTAGAAGCAACGCCACGGCAGGTGTCCAGCGAAACACCCTTCTTCTGACTCTGGCGGTCTGGTTCTTCGTCTGGTCGGGGCTCTATTTGTTGTCTACCGGTTATTCTTTCGGCCTTGGACTGGGCGTCTCGCGCCGTCTGGCCAACCTACCCTACGTTTTGTGGGTGGCTTCATACAATACAGGCTCCGTCCTTGCCTTCTGCATCATCGACAGCATCTTCTTCCCGGCATTCTATAACGCCACGGATACGAGGACCGAGACCGACGCGTATCTCACAGCCACAAGTCGTGTGCTGCGAGCCTTCAACCGGAACGGATTGGCCATCTTCTTGGTCGCCAATCTCCTGACCGGGCTTGTCAACATGACTGTAAATACCCTAGAGGCGTCTCCTCTCAAGTCTGTTGGCATACTCATTGCCTACACTGCATCTATATCCGCATTCGCTCTCCTTCTTGATGAATGGGGAATCTCGATCAAACTTTAAGAAGATGTTGGGTGCCACCCTTGTGTGTTTCCCGGCGACATATCATCAATCTTCATCGATCTAAATACTACCAAATTGACCGCGACCTAGCAATGCTACCAACAATTTTCCCCTCGCACCTCTTCCTTTCAGCACCTGGGGATTGAAGAAATATAATTTATGCCTGCCGAGTTACGTCCCCTCTTCCTCTCCTCTTGTACTGTCAGGGCACGCTCCCTCTCGTTGCACTGTTCTGCAGGAGCTGCCGTACTTTGCATCCTTACATCTAGGGTAGGGCAGGTATTGAGCGCCTTATACAAAGTTGGCAACATCGTCGCTGATCTTGTCCTGTTTTTGCGCACGAAGCATCCAGCATCCAGCATCTTAGTAACCGGATATCGACTCCTAGGGGTCGGCTATCTCAAAATTGGCCATGATTTTGAGGGGACATGAGTTCCTATTACAACCGAGCCTATATAGCTCTTCATCAATAAGCCAGGTTTTATCACTTATAACTAATTCATTTTTCATATCTGATGCTTTAGAGGCTCAGAAACCTACTCTGGTATCAAGTCATCGAAATCCATCATGTATATAGCTAGATAAGGGCATTATATAATTTGTCGAAGTTAACTGACAACATATCATCATATGCTCTATCATATTTGTTTTTCTGAATAATGGTTGGCTGAACACTCTCCATCTTTCCAATTTGTGTTGCCAAGGTAGATAAAGATCGACCCTCATTTCTCAGCATTATTCTTGATTGTGCCTGCCCCCCCGGGTGACATAGCTTAGGACTCAAATTGAAGCCCATGAACTCACAACGCTGATGTGGAACCCTCCTTCAAGATTGTGTAGTATGGATACGCACATGAAGTATATGCTCTATACACTAATGCTACCATTACTCTGGCAACAAATTACAACAGTCAATAGTTTAGACAATGAAAGACATTATGTTTTCTCGTCAAAAACAGTACACACCACTAGCCGGTTTATTACTTACTTCCTGTTTTGGTTATTATTGCAATCGAGCAGCACCACTTACATGTCGCAGGTTGAGCGTGTCATTTTAGCGTCTCGTAGTTCATTTGACCACCTACTTAACGCGGTGCATGCCAAGATGAGCGTAAAGGATCCCATGGCGCCCGTTTTCTAATTGAAACCTGGAGAGATGGGTCAGCATATGACGTCTCAAACCTTTGGAGAAAGGCGGCCCTCAGACATCCTCCCGTCTTTGTGGGGAACCTGCAGCTAGACCACGTAACGCATGTGAGATTGGGACGATGCAGTGGCAATGGCATGACAGCTCGTGGCGGTTTATGCTCATCTCCGGTGTCAATGCTGGCTGGCCTAGGAATCCTGGTTCTGCCTCCCACGTATGATTCATAACTCCACCGGTTCACGATTGCCCAGCTGCAAACTCGCTTGGAGATGCTGAATGATGTTTAATTTGGTCTGGAAACGAGAGCTGCATATTGAAATGAAAATGGAAATAGTCTGGCATGTAGGGGAGGGGCACTCGTTGTCTCGGAAATGTGATTCAAACCAAAGAATGCGGATAGCCAATATTACGGGAACCTGAGCTCGTGGCTTGTGGGTAAATGCACATCATCCGTGTACTTCCATTAAGCACATCACATACCAAAATAAGAATCTTAGCGTGGGAAACGCTGGATCTGGATTGGCGATACACAGCCAGGCATATCCCGTCCATGTGTGCATGTGCGCGTGGTGCGCACTGGCCTCCATTGACACAATTCGACGTGTAAGAAATAAGGCCACGGTCATTTTAATGGGTGGAAATTTCTCTTTCCGAACATCAAGCCACCATGATGATTGAGTCTGGCAGGGGGGATGTCCTCGACCGAATTCTCGAAATAATAATAATCCAAGGGGAGGGAGGAGATCAGCTCAATCCCGGACTCGCCTCCCTCTTCCCGGAATATGACGCCGCCAAAACCGCGCCGGGAACAAAGAGATTTTCAAGAGATGATCTGTATAAGGGTGTGCATAAGTGCTGGCACGAAACTAAGTGGTACTCGACAAAGACGTGTGTGAGTCGCGTCATTTGCGCTTTGACACCAGAGGCGGTTCAGACATACGAAGTGCCAATTTGCGGCCAGAACGCGCCATACTCGAATCTGCTCTGGCTGCTCTCTTTTTTCTTCTCTCAAGAGCAAGCTCTTACATCCAACCGCAATATCTAACGTGCCTTCCTTCTATGCTGTCATTAATTCACGTGCAGTCACAATTTCGTTGCTCGTCATGTGAGTTTGGCGCGCTTCTGCGGGATCTTGACTGGATCCAGCCGAAGTTCGTTGGCCGTTCGGAGCCGACTGCCCAATGAGACAACGCTCCCGCCAATGAACAGGGCTGAAGTACATGTGGTAATCGCTGCTGGCTGAAAGCTGCTGACGCATGTTTTAGGCATGATGTCTCACAGCCGCGGGAATGGGGAGAGACATATCGGTTCAGCTCCTGGGCCTGCGCCAACCATATGCGCGACATGTGGGTTGAACGGCCGCTCTGCCATAGGCAGAGAGAGACACACATCATAACTTCATGCGATGAGGGCACAATGGGGGCGGGCGGTGATCATAAGAGGAGCTGGTATCATGCCCACGGCTACGACTAAGATCCAACCCTGCGATGACGGGGGTTACGTAGGTGCCCAGTGCTTGGGCACAAGCGGCTTCCAGCAAACCAAGTCTGCAATGATGGAATATTCTGAAGAAGCTTGGTGGGTTCTCTCGTGACGTGGATGCAATCACTTAAATATGCCTACCTGGGATGGTGGGATGGGAATCGCCTCGACGGGCCACGGACCACAGCTGAGAGTAGCGCCCAGGGGTCTGGTAAGATTACCTCGCTTCATGCACCGGCGGGCGGTTATGGTTTCGGGCTATCAGTTAGTGGTGGTTAGCATTGGCTGTAATTCTGAGGTTCGGTGCGGGCGACACCGATTCACCCTACTAAAAGCAAAGGCTGGCATCTAGATGCGACTACTGCTAGTTCGAGGTACCGGTGATTGGTGGCACGGTGCCGGATGGCAGATGGGGGCATGATGCGCCTCATGAGCTGGGAGGAAGGCAGGAAAAAATTGCTCGGCGCGATGTGTTGTCATGCATTGGGGATGCAATTTAACAGCACTGGCAGTCGACAGTGAGACTTGCTTCTGAAGCACCCATCACATCTGCATCCCGGTCAGCGGCCCACCGTGGTCGAGCGCTCCCAAAGTGAAGGAAAATACGTCGTAGCACCTTCGCTGGAGCACCCACTGAGCCCGACACGCCAGGCAAAAGTGAGGTACCTGGCGCACCGCCCAGGCCCAAGTACCCTCCGGACCCCAGCCTCCTGCTTTTCGAGGGCAGGAGCTGCGGCAGTGACCTGCATCAACTGGGCTCCTGCTGTAACTTGGAGGCAGGCAAAGGACGATACGGCCCCACCAAACAATCTCCCGGCGTCAATTTCGCCTGTTCCTGGCCTCCATTCCGCTTCCCAGCTCAGGCCAATCTCCCACCCCCCCAGACACGGCTGGGTCCATCCATCCATCCCTCTCCTGTTTGCTCTGCCCAAAACCCATGGTCGCCCATCCGTCTCATCCTACAATCAGCTCTCCCTCCTCCGTCGCCAACTTCCCGAGGCCCCTTCTAGCAGTCTCCCTCGATAGGGCTGGGCCATCTCGCGCCGGTGGACGACATCCAAACGGTCAAGCAAACCTCCCGACTTTTCGAACCCAAGCCATTGACTGGCGAGAGCAAGCAAAGGATCGCGCTAGCCACCCCGAACAGATCGACCAACTCCGTGGCCCAGCGCCAGCGCGCGTCCACGTCGCTCACCCATCGTCCAACCACTCAGGGGCCAGAGAGCAACACATCAGAACCACCAAATCCCACGCAACCCAACCCGACGTGGTGGTGTTGTTTACCGCCTTCTGCTTTCAACCGCTGCTGATTTCGATTATTTTACGCCTTGCGCCCCAGACACATTATGAAATAGCGCGTTTTTAAAGATTGATTATTGGTCTTTTTTTTTCGTGTTGTTTCCTGCTTTTGTTTTTTGCTGGTTGGTCCGCCAAGTCGATCCTCTTGACCGCCGTTTAATTCTCTAATTTTTTTTTCTTAAACGGTAGTCCCTTTCTCAAGGCTCGGCTGAAAGGATTGAAACATCTTCCGATAGCTAGGGTACCACAGCCCATTTCGTTGTGCTGGCCATAGGGGATTGGTTTTTACATCACCGCCAATCACACCTCCCGTGCACCGCTCTCGACAGCCTTCCTTCGCTCCTGTCTTGACTTCTCTGCAGGCCCGCCGCCCATCTCTCTCGACCAGTTGTAGACGACGTGCAGCGTCGCCTACTGCAGCTATCAGGCAGTGGATCCAGAGAAGATGTCGGCAGCTATCCAAACCGCTACCCATCAGTCTCCTGCTTTGGGATCACCGCCCTTGTCCACTTCATCGAACCGACACTATACGCCCTCCCAATCCTCCCCTGCCATCGAAGCGAACAATGCTTACCAGCGAGCCACATCTTCCCCATCATCCCGACGCCCCCCGTCCCGCAAGGCAAGCGGCAACGGTTCGCCAGCAGTTGATACGAACGCTGTAGCCTCTCGAAACGGTGGGCCGTACAGTTCCGGTACATATTCACCCCAGTCAGATCGCTCCTCCAAAATGCCTCCTGTGGCGCCTCCTAGAACATCGTCCAACCAGCAAAGTTCGAGCTCGCGAAGAAATCAATATCCGACCGAGAAGATGACAAACTCTCCGAAGCATGTTCAAAGCGACAGATCTCGCCCTAGCTCCAGATCCGATCCGAACGGTGCGTTTGAGAACGGACACAGGTCAAAACGGGCTCCCGATCAACACTACGCACATGATCCCGCAGCACGCCCGAGCGGTACGACGACTACAATTCCTATCCGAACACAGCAGCCATCGGCATCGCATCAGAGAGATGAGGAGGCCTCACCAGCGCCGGTAGTTGGCACAAGCCCCGGAAACGAGGAGCGCAGAGGTGGCCGCAGCCGACATGACTACAGTAATCGATCCCAGAGGGGCACTGCCAAGTTCGGTGATTTCATTTTGGGCAACACAATCGGCGAAGGAGAGTTCGGAAAGGTGAAACTTGGATGGAAACAAGATAGCAGCGTTCAGGTACGTCAAAGTGCACCTTCGAACCCCCCTGGTTGCATTGGCTAACATGTGGAAATAGGTGGCGATCAAACTAATTAAAAGGGATACTGTTGGTGGCAACCCATCCAGGTTGGCAAAAATCCACCGCGAAGTCACCATCTTGCGTGACCTGCAGCACCCAAACATTGTTCAATTAATTGATATGGTGGAGACGGACCGATACATCGGCATCATCCTCGAGTACGCGTCCGGCGGAGAGTTGTTCGATTTCATTCTTAATCACCGGTACCTCAAAGACCAGTCGGCCCGACGGTTATTTGCACAACTTGTTTCTGGTGTCGGCTATCTGCACAAGAAGGGCATTGTTCATCGAGATCTGAAGTTGGAGAATTTGCTTCTTGATCGCAACCGAAACATTATTATTACCGATTTTGGTTTTGCGAACACCTTTGATCCAGTTGAGGAACTCACGAATGAAGAGGAACTCAACTTGTCGGATCGGGACTACGTCAAGAGGATGGGGCTCGACAAGGTGAAGCCGAGTGGGATGAGAAAAGGTGATCTGATGCAAACTAGCTGTGGAAGTCCCTGCTACGCTGCTCCCGAACTAGTTGTCAGTGACTGCCTCTATACTGGGCGAAAAGTTGACGTTTGGAGTTGCGGTGTCATTTTGGTAAGCAAACATGAAGTCATTGGGGAGGAGCAAACAACATGCTAACTGGGGTTCAGTATGCCATGCTGGCTGGATATCTTCCATTCGACGACGACCCTGCCAATCCCGAAGGCGACAACATCAACCTTCTCTACAAATATATCGTGACCACCCCTCTCACCTTCCCCGAATACGTCACCCCTCACGCCCGCGACTTGCTCCGCCGCATCTTAGTCCCTAATCCACGAAAGCGAGCAGACCTCTTTGAGGTTGCCCGTCACAGCTGGTTGAGCGAATACGCACATGTTGTCGAGTTTATCACAAGCTCGACTACTCTACCACAAGACATCCAGAATGTCACACCCGCAGCGACGGAGGAGGCTGTTGAGACTCCTGTCGTCACTCGCAGCTCTTCTGTTCGTGAACAACACAAGCAGAAGGCCTACTCTCCCACTCCAGTTGGCGGTCTCGCGAAGGCACATGCCAAGATTGACACAGAAGCTGAGGCAGCCCAGCGGACGCCTAAGGATGCTAAACGGCGAACTGTGCAGGTTGAGTATGTTGCCCCCACAACACAAACACAGCGTGGTGCGGAGGCCAATTCGCAGAGCGAAAGAACTCGATCAGTTTCGCGGGGACGGGCAGAAGATCAACAGGCTATCCAACAAGAACGCCCCATTGCTCCAGATCCGCCGGTCACACAGGATACAGTGTCTCGGCCTCCACCAACGAAGCGTGTCTATCCTCCACAAAAGCCACAGACTGCTCCACGGGGTCCTCGAGATCCTCGGGATCTTCCTAGAGAGACACGCCCACCTACTGATAATACCTATATTCCTCAATCAAGCTCAGGGATGAGACCGCAAACAGGACACTCCCTCGCTTCAGCTGCCTCTATGGGGCTACAATCCGTTGGTCAATATGGTCAGCCTGCCCCCCCTGCTGTTGCCGACACCAATGCAGAGGGTCGTATTGAACAGCCGTCTCCCATTGGGACTCCTGAAGTGCAACCACCTACTGGAAACCCCCCTCCCAAATTTGCCCAGATCTCAGGTATGAATGAGACCCAGGGCCGTCCTACCCGTGGTCACAAGAGGTCTAGCACTCTGGGTGAAATTGGATCGAAGCTTCTAGGACGTAGCGGGTCTGTCTTCGGTCGCAGTAAGAAACGCCCAGAACAGCAGGCAGACAATTCTAGGAAATACCCTCCCATCAGCATGGCCAACGCCATGCCGGGCGGTGATCCAGGACCACGGCCATCGATGGAATCCAAGACTTCTCGACGGTCTTTCTCTCTAGGACTAGGAAAGAAGCGAAGTGGGAGCATTAATGGAGAAAAGGAGAAGGCTTCAGGCCGTCGTCGTTTCTCTTTGCTTCCTCCGTTCTCCATGAAGTCAACGCCCGGGCGTGAGGACACTGCAACCCCTCCTTCAGAGCTTGGCTCGCAACACAACCTTCCCATTCAAGACAACCGAATGGAACCCCCTCGGAGCTTTACTTCACACGGAGATGGCAGCCCAGTGTTCGAAACCGTATACGGCAGGGGACCTCCACCAACATCCAATGCCGGTGGTGCTCGCCACCAAAGATTCGCCTCGGCACAACTGGATCCAAGGTCACCCAACGCAATACCTCCTTACATGCAACAGGGGAGAGTCCAATATAACACAGGCTCCGAATCATCTATTGATATGCGTAGACCCCCCACAGAACCACAGATGGGAAGCTATCAAGGATTTTCAGGGTCAGAGGCTACCATTGGGCAGCGAGGCCAACGAGGCCAGCTGCACAAGAATGCCAAGAAGTTCACGGATGCCTATGACCAAGGCGATTTCCGAGGACCTGAAGCAAGCACCGGTGCCGCCAAGCGAGTAATGGACTTTTTTAGGAAAAGAGGCAAAGCTCGCGGCGGTGAGGAGCGATAATTGATATATATATATATATATAGGAGCTATCTGCGACCTTCGAATGGGCCAAAGACAGTCTGTTCTACGCTTTGATTGCATCCTTGAAACGGAGGGATCACGACCCCATGTTTATCTAGGCTTGATCCTCTTTTATTCACGCTGCTTCATTGATTTATTTTCTCGACCAGAGGAAGCCAACAAGGAATAAACGGACGGGTCCTTTCGGAGTCGTATTTCCTCTTAATATTCTGACGGTCGATGTTTCTACAAATCACTTCATGGCGCTGGGGAACTATACATATGATTTTTTAATGGTGCTGTATTTGTTGTTGTTGATTTTCTTTTTGTCCTGTGTTAAACATCGTTTTTGCGTGTGCCAGATAGTATGTTGTTCGAGTTACGATGGAGCAGTCTACCCTTTCCATGGCTGCCAACAATCAGGCAGCGTTAGTTGTTGACCTTTTTTCCACTCCCTTGTTCTATACACCCCTCTTTGTCTATTGTGAAATTGCATGTGAACATCAGCGATCGGAGCGAGTCGATTATGGGGTAGTGCTCATAGAAAGAGCGATTACACGGGAAGGATGCAAGAATGTTTCGATAGAATGGGCCAGAACCATACATAGTGGAAGCCGAAGGCTGAAGAAATACTTGACGGGATAAGTCTGAATACAATCTGATAGCTCAGTGTGCCTACTCATCTTGTCTCTCTTCTACTTGATGTGCTATCCCGTGCGTGAATCACGATGATCTACCAGTGCAAGACAACTCTCAGCGTAGCCCTTGAGCAATTTGGTGCAACTAGCAAGACAAGGGTTCTAGTTGAAGAAGCCATGTTATCACTCTGGATGCTCGGCACACAGAGTCGCACTTGAGTTCCAATGCCCCTTTTTCTTCCCGCCGTGGCGAAGTGAGACACGCATCAGACAAGGCCCCAAACAGGTCAAGACCTTGGAGTAGTGTGCCGTCGGGCCTGGCTTCAACGGCTTTCTAAGTGAAGATTGGGCAATCATGCCCGAGAGGCCGATGGTTGTCGCCAAACCTTGTCCTGTCCATAGAGTTACTCTGTTACTCTCCTGCGAATTGGTTGGGGGGTTTCTCAACAGCAGCCATCGATATAGGGATCTTTCTTTCTAGCATATGGTCGTGTATCATACAATACCCCTTCAGTCAACCTACTAATGCCATCGCCAACTTTAATCACCGGCATCTTTTATTTTCGATGCATCTGCCGGGCGCCATAGTGGCAAGGGGAGAGTAGATGGTTCAGCGGGTAAATGTACTGGCAAGCGCAATGTCTTAGAATGACAACAGAAACATTCTGGTGCAACTCCTTCTCGGGCTGGAGATGCCGAGTTTCACTACATGGGCCGTCCAACATGCCAAAGGGGAGAGCCGGGGTGGGGAGAGACTTTGAAAAGGAAGACGGTTGGCAACTTTCATAGTAGGACTTGTCTCCCTCCTTTCCGTCCTTTGGTCATATGGTATATGGTGCTACAGCCAGATCGAACTTCCTGGGCAGTATCTCTCCTCGTTTTGTTCGGATGGCTGTTTTCATCTTTCTTTTTTCACCATTCTGAGCTACTTGTACTGTCTTTGGTGTTGTATCTGTTTTGTTCGAATGAATAAGCCCCTTCGTGAGAATGAGTGTCAAGATGGCAGATTCCAAAGCTACTATAGCTTCAAGACGAGGAAACCAGCCGGAATCGAGGGGCTGGCTCGACACCCCTGTTTCAGCTGAGAAACCACAGGAGGAACAAGACTCACCGGCACCTCTATCAAATATTCCTACACTGGTACCCGGGGGTGGCGATGCAGAAGAAGAATCCAACAGGGACAAAACCAATAAGAGAACGAATATGAAGCTGTTCTTGCGGGCAGGCCAGCAAACCGCCTGGAGAATCCTAGCTCACAGCTGTGTCAATTTCCTCTTGGTGTTCGTCCCAGTTGGCATCATCGTTAGATTCGTGCCAGATATCCACGGTGGAGTGATCTTTGCGACCAACTGCGTGGCCATCATACCGCTCGCTGGGCTCATGGCCTTTGCGACTGAATCGGTGGCTCGTGAGGTCGGCGATGCGCTTGGGGCGCTGATGAATGTCACGTTGGGGAATTCGGTTGAGCTCATTATATTGTAAGTCTATAGCCGGGTTTCACTTTGTTGAAGGAAATAATCTACAAAATCTAACATGGTGTGATATAGCGTGTGGGTTTCAATGTCCCTATCTTGCTTCTGGGTAACTCTATGGGTCAGCACGACTAACATCTTCTCCTTTCCAATGCCAGTATTGCGCTGACAAAGGTTCTTTCACTCTCTTGGGATTAATTTTTTCGGAATAATCTACCAAGCTGACTAGTTATCAGAACAAGATTCGTATTGTCCAAGCCTCCATTCTCGGCTCTATCCTCGCCAATGTTCTGCTTATCCTAGGCATGGCGTTTTTCCTTGGTGGCATGAGATACAGAGAACAGGTGACTGGCTTCATCCCTGGAAAGGTTCCATTTGCCGGGCCATACTAAACCCCTGACTAGCTGTATAACAACACCGTGACCCAAATGAGTGCGTGTCTGCTCAGTTTGAGTGTCATCAGCCTGGTTCTTCCAGTGAGTTGCGTTAGGAACTGATTTAGTAAAGCCGCTCTCTTACTGTTAACAGACAGCATTCCACGCGGCTTTTCGAAACACACATGTCGCTGACGCACTATCGCTGAGAATCAGCCGCGGCACGAGTGTGGTGGGTGAAAGCATTCTCAAGCTCTCCTTTTCAAATTTCCCACCAGATCTGCTGACGCACCAACTAGATTCTACTCGTCGTCTATATCATCTTCCTGGTATTCCAGCTCAAATCCCACGCCTACCTTTACAAGTCGACGCCACGGCACATTGTAGATGCCGAGGCATTGCCTGGGCCTGCCGCCGCGTGGCTGGAAGTCGGGCACTCTGGTGGCAGCTCAGACTCGAGGTATGATTCTGGCGGGTCGGATCATTCCCTAGACTCTATTCGCGCCAAGGTCGGTAGGGGTATCCGCGACATGGCAGCCAAGCGAGCCAGCACGAGAAGGAAGGCTGCCTTGGCAAAGTCAAATGGGCCTCTTGGAAGTGATGTTCAGGATTTTGGGGTGGGTTCCTCGTCCAGAAAACCCCATTCACTTACCCACATGGACTCTATGGAGACGTGTGTGGATGGAAGGGATGGGGCAAAGGAGACGGCAAAGTTGGAGAAAGTTCGTCCGTCAGCAAGTTCCCGTGATGATAAGGGAAAGAAGAAAGTCGAAAATAACATAGACTCGGTTTTGATGAATGAGGGTGGATTTTCTTGGGAAAACAGCACGCATACCGGGAATGACAACGACAAGGCAGGACAAAATGCTGATGCAACCCGGCCAGAGGAGCCATATTCAACCAACAAGCAAGATGGAGAGAACCAGGAAAGCTACGATGCAAACCTTTCTCCTCCGATGGCGAAAAGAGCACTGAGGAGTCTGCGTGGTTCGGTTTCTCAAATCACACCGGTCTTGTTCCCCCCTGAGTCGTCGACTGGGGAACCAACTAAGATCCAAGCCGGTGGTGGTAGGAAAACGCGGGCAGTCTCTCTCCCTGCTCTACTAATAAACAGGAATAAGAATCCAGACTATGGTCCTCACGCTCCAAGAAGAACAGAAGTGACAATCGATGGTAGTGTCGATGACGAGGAAGACACGGTTGAAGAACAGAAAGCAGGCGAAGTGGACGAGGAGGACTATCTTACCCGAACACCCGCCATCGTCCTTCTTCTCGTGTCCACGGGGCTCGTAGCTCTGTGTGCCGAATTCCTCCTCGGCTCGATCGAGGAGGTGACCCAGTCTTCTCCCCTCAGCGAGGTCTTCATCGGGCTCATCGTGCTTCCCATCGTCGGCAATGCGGCGGAGCACATCACGTCCATCACGGTGGCCATGAAGAACAAGATGGACCTGGCGATCGGGGTCACGGTGGGCAGTTCCATCCAAATTGCGCTCTGCATCACGCCTCTGGTGGTCATGCTGGGGTGGGCACTGGGCAAGGACATGTCACTGTACTTTACGCTGTTCGAGACGGTGTGCCTGTTTGTGTCTACGTTCATGACCAACTTCCTGGTGCTGGATGGGCGCAGCAACTACATGGAGGGGGCCTTGCTCTGCACCGTGTATGTGCTCATTGCGCTGGTTGCTTTCTTCTATCCAGAGGCTCCCGCTGCCAATGATTGGGGAGGAGGAGGAGGAGGAACAGAAGCGATGGGTGTCCACTGACTGAAGATGGGATTCGAATTGGTTCTGAGCTGAGAGTGCGACATGGTCCTTGATCTGGGTTTGATTTCAGTGATGCTGCTATAGATGAGGTAGCAAATTGAGTTTGAGTCTTGTATGTCTCCCAAGGCACTACCTGGCATTTTCCCTATGGGGCAAGTCTACCTAGCAAGATTAACTTTGGGGAAAAAGCTCATGAGTTATGTTATCCGGCAATATCCAGGGCCAATTATTGAGGCTGTGCAACAGCTCTTCGGTCTCGTGGTGAAGATTCCTTGTTTGCCAAGCCTCATTATGGCATCGTCCAATTATTAGCGGTTACCCTGCAAGGCGCATTTTACTTCGCTTCACAACAACAAACACTCTGTCAAACACTCAGCCGTCATGTGCTTCGGAAGCAAGAAAGAGAGCAATGACGAACCGGCTCCTCGGCCTCGAAGTTCAACAGATAAGAAGGTAGCTGACACGGCTGATTCAAAGCAGCCAAGGGCAAGCTACGATCCCCCAAAGTCCAAGCCAGACGTCGCACCAACAATGGCAGGCCCCTCGCAGCCGCCCAGCAATGCCCCCCCATCATACGAAACCTCCAATCCTCAGCATGACTGGCAGGTTGCCGTCCCCGATACGTCTCTGTTTCCGCCTCCGCCAGACGTCTTCAGCAAACACATCTTCTCGCCAGGCGCCAATGCCACTGAAGCGGAGGCCGATGCTGGCGACGAGTGGTGCGAGCAGTACCCTCTGGTTGCGCCCACTGTCCTAGACGATGCCGGCAAGGGCGCATTGCATTTCAACAACATCCGCCTCATGGAGCCCGTTGGCTTCACTGGCAAGCTGAACTGGGTCGATACCGGTCACTGGCAGATCGAGACATCCAAGGACAGCCCCGACAGGTGTCTGATCAGCTACCCTCCTCTCTATCTCGTCACGGAGCATGACCCCAACAGGCTGGGGCGGCCCAAGACAATCTACTACGAGGTTAAAGTGCTGTCTTACCCACCTGACAAGTATGCCGGGATTGCCTTGGGTTTCACGGCCTTGCCGTACCCGTCCTTCCGCCTCCCGGGGTGGCAGAGGGGAAGCTTGGCAATCCACGGCGATGATGGTCACAAGTATGTCAACGATATAAACGGTGGCAAGGACTTCACTGAACCCTTCCGCGCGGGTGAAACCTATGGCTTGGGGATGACTCTGAGAGCCCACACCGGAGGCAATGTCCTCGTGGACATCTTCTTCACGCGCAACGGCGTTTTAACAGGCGGCTGGAATCTTCACGAGGAAAGGGATGCGGATGACCCGCCTCTCGATGGGCTCGAGGGATTCCATGATTTATGTGCTTCGATCGGCACTTATGATACGAGCTGCTTCGAGGTGATATTTGAGCCTACCAAGTGGATGTACCAGGATTTGGATTGAGTGAAAGTAGCGGAACATGGCTCTTTGTTTGTTGTATAGATTGCGGGAGGTTTCATCTCTGACGGCGTGTTTTTGTACATGAGGACTGATGGGTGGAGGGCAACTAGAGACACGTCATAAAGTGACTGTCCCAATCACTTATCCATATGTTGCTAATATAGAAGTACGACTTTGTTCGTGCTCTAAAATGCCCTTTGAGGTTCCATATTGGTCTAGTACTTACTTGCTTGCGGAATGAAGAGTAGCGTAGACGAGGAGGATGAGATGCTGCACTTCGACCAACACATCAAGTTGATGAGTCAGCGGAGAAGGTGCGCTCCCCACAGGAAACAACTGGGAGGATCACGTCCATTTCCTTAGACACGCGACTCAGGCAGCTTCTGTCACGGCACTTTAGTTAGCGCCGAGCACGTCGCAACAGGACCATCATGGACATGGACAGCGATAATGAGCTGCTTTCTCAGCTCGCCGCAGGTGATACCATCCCCAGGTAAGTCAAAGCCAAGCGCCAGATGGTCTTCTTTCAACGCCAGCGAAACCAGCTAACTGATGATGCTACAGAGCCGCCTGGCCAGAAGTACGGAGCGAGATATTGTCGCGACTAGACAAGGTAGGCGATTGCCACTGCGCCCTTCAAATCACAGTTGTGCATGGGCGAGGCCATACTCACCATGTGACTTGAAGATTGCGCACCAAGATTTCCCAATACCGAAACTTCCTCCACCCCCAAAGATACCCAGCCCAATTACCGATTCTGAGGGCCGCATCGTGTCGCCTCCGCTACCTTCGCAAGATGCCGACAAAGAGAACGACCCAGGGCAGCCGCGAGCTCCCGCCGTCCAAGAACTCGAACCGGGCCAGCTGCCGAAGCAGATCATCGACATGCTCCAAGTCATCTCCAACCACCTGAAGAAGTTCGAGACGAGCCCTCCCCACACCATCCAGCGAATGGCCGAGCTCATCTTGAGACCCCGAGCCCACTATAAGGCGCTCGCGCCCTACCTCCACGCCGTCGACAGAGTCGTCCTCGTCACCTCCAACACCGACGTCTACCCACTTCCCCCAGTCGCGCCCGACATCAACGGCAAGAGCAGTGACGGGGACGCTAACGACCCCGCCGCGCAAGTCGCCTGGAGCAACTCAACCTCTGCCGCCCTTGGCACAGATGAAGCTCTCGGAGGGGCCCTGCTGACGCCCATCCCGTGGCTCACCAAGGGCGGCTCGGACGGCGTCGGCGGTGGCGTCGACACCCCCGGGGCGCAGATCCACTGCGAGAGCACTGAGACCATTGACGGCCCCAATGGAGTTGGAAGCATAGAGACAGTCTCGGTAAGCTTCAATGGCATCCCCTCGATAGGCCGGGCCAGGGGTGTTACCCAAGGGGAACTCCTCCGCCAAGAGCAGCGCGCGGGAGTTGTCCCTGTCAGCCAACTCCCCCGGCAGCAGCAGGGACAGCAGCCGGGCAGCAACGTGGAGCGCAGTAGTACTGACGAGTCGGGGGAGCAGCACCCCCCCGAGCAGCAGGACCAAGAGGATGAGGAGCTCGAGGACGAGCTTGAGGAGCAGCCCCACGCCCGCGGGCCCGAGGAGATTGGCGTTGACGACCTGGGGCCCCAGAGCTCCAGCTCTGCCTACGTCGGCGGCGGCGGGCTGGAGACCCAGGACATCGACGTCGAGGCCGCGGTGGGGAGGAAGCACGAGGACCAGGACGCCTCCTCCGTCTCCGCGCCCAGGAGCCCCGGCGCCGAGAGCACGAGCTCCAAGCGTGAGGCGGAGTCAGGGCTGGAGGGCGAGCCTGCGAAGAAGCACGCCAAGAATGAGGCCAAGGACGACGATATTGAGCTGCCGAATGCTGAGGCTGAGGGTTCGGCCGCCGGCGAGAACGGCGCGAGTCATGCGGATTCGATGGAGACGGACAGTTAGCACTTTTCAACCAAGACCATTTCATGATACCAGTTTGGCGATGGGGTTCAGGTTATTACTGTATGACTGATTGGAGGGATCACGGGAACTTTTTTTAAGAGTGGTTTTTTGTTTGTTTCATGCTCAGGCGTCAAGGTGTACTGGGGTTTAGATCACCACGCTTTCTGTTGACATTCTTTTCTTTTTTTCTTTTATCACGACATCGATGGATTGATTACTTTTACAAGTTATCAGCAACTCCAATGCTCAAGCAGGAGAGCCATTATAGAAAAGCAACGCAAATGCATTTGAACCCTACTCCATGTAGCCTTGTGTCAAAATTATGTTGCTCCCAAAATACCATGCCGCTACCGGGAACAAAAAATAAAACTATCTGTAATGCTTTCAGATTTAAAAGATCTTGGTAATACTCTCTCTCGAAATGACGCTGTTCTGCCGCTCGTCTCTCTTGACCCGGAAGAAGCTGTCGCAAAAGTCGCTGCACCGCATGTGTCTAAGGAAGTCTTCGTCGTGGGTGATGACAATGAGCTGGAAGTTGCTCTGTGCCTGTCGGGTCTGAATGATCTTGTGCAGACTCTCTGCTAGGGATTTGATGTTGTCCCGATCAAGATTGGTCGTCGGCTCGTCAAGAGCGATGAGGCCGCAGTTGACACCGAATGACTCGGCCAGCGCCAGGCGGATGATGATGCTGGCAAGGACTTTTTGACCTGCAGAACAGCGGCCACGCATGTCCATCTCTGTATCTTGTTTCACCATGCAGAGCCGATAGTTGTAGTTGCGTTTCCCTGTCGAAGACTCGTTGTCCGAGCGGATGAGAATTGTATCAATATCGGTACCTTGGTATGTGCTCTGCCACAGCTCACCAGCAATCCGGTTGACTTCAGCCATCTTCATGGAGTGAAACTGCATGACTGCTTTGTCAACAGCAGATCCAAACTGTGCCAAATCTTCAATCGCCGCCTTGGTGGTCTCGACGCGGATGTGAGATTCCCTGTACTTGTGCTTGGCATCCTTGTAAAACGTCTCCCATTCCTCGAGCAGGCGACCAAGTTCCTCGTCCTTGGTTTTCATGGTGCCCATGACGGACCCACGCTCTGCAACAAGTCGATTTGAGCGGTTTTCAAGCTGTCGCGCATCCCCCTGCAGGCGTTCATAATCTTCGTGCGCATTCCGGTGCTCTAAGTTCTTGATCTCTTCCCGAAGAGTATCAAGGGCTCGGAGATGCTTCCGGTAATTAATATTATCAGAGATATTCTTTCTCTTCCTATCACCATTGTCGGTCTCCTCTCGTAGCTTATTAGCCCTCTTGGTGACATTATCCACCTCCTTCTTGGAGCTGTTGATGGCCGTCTCGAGGTTGGCAATGGCACGTTGATTGGACGCGAGGTTTCCAGGGCCACCGCGATCAATATAGCCCTGGATATCACTATCAATCATTCGCAACTCGCTGATTGAACTGGACACTTCATCTCGCTGGCCCACTACAACTTGTTCTTTGGCACGCCCTTGTCTGAGAGTCTCATCGCGTGCTGATTTGGCTTCGGCCATCTCTGGTTCGATAGTTTCCAGGTCGGCATCAGCTCGTTGGATGATCTCCCGTTGTTGAAGTTGATCATCTTTCAAGGATTGGATTTGTGTTTGGATATCCTTCTTCCGCTCGAGTTGTCCAGAAGCAGAATTGATCTGGTTCCTCAACTCACTTTTCTCAAGTTCCAGGGAGCTGATGTGGTCTCTGACTCGCTGTCTGTCCGTTGTGAGGGTGGCCACTCGGCTCTTGACACCTCTCAGCTGTTCACCAACGCTTGCCTGGAGCTCGTGGATCTCGTCCGCACTCCTCGCCACACCACCGGATGCTTGTTGGGAAGTGATGCGATCAACTTGATTCTCAGAGTCTTTGATATCCTTGACGACTTGTGAGATGTTCAGAACTGTCCTTGAAAGGTCATCCAAGTCTCGCTGCTTTTCCTCCTCAGTGGCCAAATTCGCTTCTTGTTCCTCTAATTGTCTCTCTAAAGTATCAAATTCGCTCTCGATAGACTTGACCTCTTCACGAAGCCCAGGAAGCTCATGGGTGAGCCTTTCGTAGGTATCGTAAGATGATCGCACTGATCGGAGTTTCTCGAGACTATCCGATGCCTCTTTGAGATCCTTCTCTGTCTCAACTTTGCCGTTGGGGTTGAGACTTTTCTCAATCTTCGCTTGGAGACGGTCGATACTAGCACGTTGGCTTTCCTCAAAGCCGCGATCGCAAAGAAGACACTTCTTTTTGGTCTCGAGCATGCGTTTGCATTTTTTGTAGTAATCGACGAGAGCATCGAAAAGGCTCAGCTCGTTTCGAAGCTCTTCCACATTGCTCTCCAAGGCACTAACTTCCTCGCTATAGTCCTCAATGATCGCGTTGTCGCGTACAACTGTCAGAGCATCCGTCACATCACGCTTACACTTGGTGCTCTCTTGTGTTTTTTGCTCCAGTGTGTCTTTGGCGTTCTTGAGACGGTATTCAACTTTTTGCTGCTTATGCCTTGATTGCTCGCGGTGTTTTCGCGCGTCTTCTACGCTCCTTGTCTGTTGTTTAACCACAGTCTGGAACTGGGACTCCAATGTATCCGGCTCCCAGTCACTACCAACAACCTTCGTGAGCTTGGGTTTCCAGGTATTCGTGAGCGTCTCCAACTTGCGCTTGCGATCTGCAAGTTCCTTTTTGCGATAATCCAGCTGTGCACGCTCAGATGCCAAGCGGGTACATTCAATAAGCTCACGTCCAAGCTTGTCGTTTTCCGCTTCAAGCTGCCACTGCTTCTCATTCTCCTCGGTTATTCGGCTGTCCCAATTCGCTTGCTCTGTTTCTTGGTGCAACCTTGCGAGTCTACCACCCAACTCCTCCAACTGCCCATCAAGAAGAGCTTTGGCGCCTTCGTCTACGCTGATAGCACTCGATTCGTTCTGAAGTACCGTGACGCGTTTATCAATTGCACTCATGCGCTGTTTGGCTGAAACACGATCTTGCGTTTTGGCAGCCTTGCGACCCTCAAGTTGCGTGATCACGTTCGTGGCCTTGTCCAAGTCGGCCGAGTTATCTTTCTGCAGGCGTCCGAGGTCTCGCTTCTTCTCTTCCAACAGCTTCTGCAAACGCTCATTAAACGCTTTCACCTGCTGTTCGCTCAGGTCCTCATCAAAACCGCGGAAGTTGTATTTGTCGGCAGTTTCGTGGATCAACTCGACTCGCGTTTGGAGTTGTCGCTCGTACTTGTCCTTGTCGGATTGATGTCTTCCTTGCTCAGCCAGTTTAACGTTCAACTGTTTCTGTGATTCGGCCAGCTCCTTCTGCAGTTCGTTATACTGCTGTCTGTTCTGCTCTGCTTCTTGTTGCAAACGCTTCATACTTTGATCGTATTGACCCAAGGAGTCTTCGAGAGCTTTGTCGTCCTCGTGTAATTCATCGATGGTCTGTTTCAGCTCGTTCACAGCGTCTTGGCGGTATTCCAGCTGCTCTCGTTTGTTTCCAAGGGATTGGACAATTTGCAGGAAACTATTGGCTTGCTCGTGTTTATCACGTATTCTTTCCTGTGTCTCCTCCATTTCGGCTGAGATTTCCTCACATTTCTGTCGTGCAGCCTCTATTTCATCCTGCAAGCTTCGCATCGTCTTCTCAGCCCGCTGTCCTCGGTCTTTGTTGGTTTTATTGTGTGCTTCATCGTTCTGCAGCTTGCCTAGTTCTTCAACATGCTTCTTTCTGATGACTTTCAGGTTGTCTATCGCCTTGGTGTATTTCAAAGCCTCGAATATTTCGTCGAATCGTTTTTTCAATGCTGCGGGCTCGCTAAGGGGCCATAGGGATTCATCCTGGTGACAGAAAATAACAGCGTCTAGGATTGCTCGAGAGACACCAAGTCGCTCTGGTATCATCTCATCGAGCTGAGCCTGTCTAGTCGATGTGGTGGTTCGTTCCCCATTGTTGACTACAACGAGCGAACAGTCGAGGGTCTTTTGTGAGCGAGTCGTTTTCTTCGCAGTGAGCTGGATGCTTCTGGTCGCAACATGCTGTCGGTCGTTTATCGATCGGAATTGAAGCTTGACCTGAGCAAGCACTTCTTTCTCGCCGCACAGCTATCAAGCGTGAGCTTTCATTCTCCGAAAATGCAAGGCAGTACTCTGAAATCACCTTTGGGTCATGTATGAAAGCACCGCCTTTACTGTTGGGCGGCAGCTCTCCTGTCGTCGCATACTTTAAACATTCAATGATGGTCGTTTTACCAGACCCGTTATATCCGACAATGAGAGTGAGCGGGCTGTAGAACTGGATGGCCTCTCGCGCGCCAGGACTGAACGACCGCACACCAGATATCGAAAGCTTGTCAATTCGAGACATGGTGATAAAATTGGAAATCGGCCTCCTGACGTCACATCCACCTCCCTCCAAGGGTTAATGCCTTGATGTGGTTGATAATTAGGGTGGGAGGCATGCGAACCAACGCGACTCCATCAGCGGCCAGATTTAGGCAGTGGAGTGCCGGACGCGTGATCACGTGACTACACGATCTTGGCAAGTGCAAGAATTCCTTGGCTCTGGTTAAATATTCAAGCAGGTGCCGAGATATAATCATGTACCTATTTCTGGCACCTTTGCATATATTGTTTTTATGGCTGAGGTGAGAGTAAGGCGTAAGGCGCCTTATCCGCCTCATTGTGCAAGAGTTGTGCTAATAATTGCTTTTTGTATTATGTGTAGTATTAAGCTTCTTAGTTGGTACTTATCTCAGGTACTAACGTATCATCCGCACATCACAGTCAATCCACGTCATACCTTTCTTGGGAGGATGAGTGCAGCTGATCTTCTGCTAACGAGGCGGCACAAATATCAGCCAGTTAATGATGTGACAATACCTTCAACACCGACAGCGTCAGGCACTGCGGGATATGAGATAGAAACTCCATAAGCTCATTGTTAGCGTCTCGGGGTAGCTCCCGGCAACCTATCCGCATCCACAGTCCCAGTCCTTTGGGTTCTTCATTGCACACAAGACCCGTCCCCTTCCAGGGCGGATGTTACGTCACGAAAGTAGCTGTGAAGTACCTGCAGACCTAAATGCAAAATGGGGGACCATTGTGCCAACTTCCAAGCATGACAGGCGTGCCTATCCAACGGTCGGGAGACGATCTTGAGAAGGAAAGTCCCTTTCTTTTCCTGGATCGCACGACTCGGAGGCAAGACTTCATCATGAGATCGGGTTTAGTTATGTCGATCACACATCCTGAGTTTCTTAGCTTGCCTTGTCTAGCCTCTAAGCGGGCTAGCATCCAGGATTCCTGATAGCGCAGGTCGCAAAGCAAGCCTGAGGTAGGGGAATCCCTAGAACCCCAACAGATGCACCCATTCAGACGCTTGCAATCAGCAGGCTGCCCGCTTTTCACGGAGCATTCCCTCCGTCATCTGCTTGCCTGCGCCGTGCAGCGCCTACTGGAGCGGGGTCTCTCAGAATGCGATTCTGGCAGAATTCGCATTCCTGGCAGATGCAGCTTTGATGGTGTCACTGGCAGCCCACTTTGGCATGTGCTGCCACACTCTCGCGTGTACATTCGCTCTACCTGGCCCATCGAAGTCTGAGGGAATAGCACTGTAGTCCATGGTAGTCCAGCAACTATGGGATCGATATCCTTATTTCCTTTTCCTGCCTCTACCTACGTATGAGTTTTTGTCAGCAAGGTACCACACCTCCCTTGTCTATTGCGTCCTGCCCAAGGGTGCGAGGTAGCTTGCTCCTAGAACTTGCACCATCTCCAGCTTCTTGAATGCTTCACCACCAGTCCTTTCGTTGTGCGTTTTGATACCAACTGCTCTGTTTGGCGTTGCTCGCTTTCAGCCGCCCACGGCCCACTCCCACCAAAGCCTGGCACCCTTAGTCCTGCGTCGGGGCCCGGTCCCCTCCATTCATTCCTCCGTTGCCGTCGCCTCGCCAGATGCAATTACTAGATTGTCATCGGGAATGCGAAGACCGCAGCCATGGCTCACAGACCACCCCACCACCAACAACCCCCACCTGCGGGCAATGTCTTCAATTTCAATGACTTCGGATTCAACCACCTATCTAATATGAACAACGAGCAGCCTGTTTCGAATGGACTGGTCAGTTCGGGACCCGATGCCTTTTCCATGGCCAGCGATGGCCAATTGGGCAATGGCCTTTTACTCGACGGCAGCATGCTGGACTCGTTTGGCCCTATACCCATGAACCTTGACCCCACCGACGATACAGGCACCATCGCACAGGGCTTCAGCTCCAACAAAGATGGCCCCAGCGTCGAGAGCGCAGCTGTCGCACAGCTTGAAAACCAATTCAACACCGCCCACAACAATGTTCCCGGCGCAGGGCCTCTGCCTCTCGGGGCCTTTTCGCAGGGGGCTGCGGGAGGTGCCAACAGCAACCTGACCGAGTTCACAAAACGAAGAAACTGGGCGGCGAAAGTGGTGGAGGAGCTTCGGGACCTGTTCCACATACTCGATTCGCATGGGAGGATCAAGTATGCATCCCCGAGCGCGCTCGAGGTGACAGGCTACGCTGCCGAAGAGCTTCAAGACGTGTTCCTCAAAGACATGATCCACCCTGATGATCAAGGCGTGTTCGTGGCTGAACTCAACGAGTCGATTGCATCCGGCAATCCCCTACGCATGTTCTACCGCTTCAAAAAGAAGGACAACGAGTATGCAATCTTCGAGGCTATTGGCCATGCACACATCGCCGCCGCCAAGTTTGCCCCCAATCCAAGCAATCAATCTCCGTTCTGCCAAGCCGTGTTCGTCATGGCCCGACCATACCCGACGAAAAATGCAGGTTTGCTAGATTCCTTCCTTGAACACAAAATCGAAAACGAACGTCTGAGACGAAGAATCGCCGAGTTACGTCGGGAGGAGGAGGCCGAGAACGATGAAGCACAACGACAGTGGATCCAGAGCCAGGAAGCGCGATCAGACATCACACCGACCGAGGATACCAATTCGACGCCATACCATCGAACGAATCCTACCGAACGAACTGGCAGCGCTCCAGAGGTCCACATAATAAATCAGACTCTCAATTCGGCCCTCACCAGGGAGAATTTAGAAGGTGCAGCCGTGGGGAACCGACCAGACTCGCTCAAGGATAAGATGGCACGATACGAGGGGGTATACACGGATACCATTGAGATGCTTACAGGGTTGAGATACCTGGAAGGCGAGCGAAGCAAGGGTATCACCACAGGCAATGCCAGTCCTACACTGATTAAGGGCGATGCAGGCATCGCCATTCCTGTGGACCGAGATCCCAGGACGGGAGAGAAGAAAAAGAAACTCAAGACATCAGAAGAATATGTGTGTACAGATTGCGGTAAGTACATGATCCGACACAGCTGGTGTCGATGTCTTTCATCTAATCTAGCCGCCAGGTACACTCGACTCTCCCGAATGGCGCAAGGGACCAAATGGACCAAAAACTCTCTGCAATGCCTGTGGTCTACGATGGGCTAAGAAGGAAAAGAAGAGGCAAAATAGCAATCACACGATGGCAGCAAAGCATACTACTTTTGCCGGAGACTCGGGTGCGGTTTCATAACAACCAGGAGATGACGAATTCATTCGTCTATTTTCCATTCTCCCGTTTCATTTTGGGCATTATCAAGGTACCCTGAGTGCAATTTGAACCCAGAGATGTGTCAACTTGGGGGAACAATATCATTGCATTACACTGGCGTCATAAACTTTTGGAGGTGGCCAGGTACCCAGCTGATAGCCATGGCCAGAGGCGGGAGAAAGCATCGATGCTAAGCTCAGGAATGGATGTTTTTTAAGAGAAGATAGTATGTTTTATGTCTTGGAGTTTATTTCATTTTCAAGTAGACGAATACGGCTGGACTTGGCACTTTTGGGGAGGGTTTCTGTTGTGAATCATATACCTGGGGACACAAGAATACGAATGTGTATACATAGGCAACAACATTAGCAATGACTTTTATGAATCGAAAATGGCAAGCGATCAAGGATCAGACCGGAACTAGATTAGGATGGACTACTCACTGAGGCTGCAAGCTGAGGCATTCAGCGTCTTGACTTCTCGTTGTATCACGGCAACGACCTGTGCGCCTGTTCCACAAGTTGGTTCAAGATTCAAGGTTGGTGCACCCATGCAACAGCTCCATCATGCTCGCTTTACTCAGTAGTACCCCAGTGCGACGTACTAAAGGACTGTGCTGAGCTCATTATTCCCCTAGTTTCATTTTCACTGACTTTGTGCCAGACAGATTCAGGCTTAGCATTAAGAAGAGAGCTCTGATACCTCCTTCTAGCATGCGCATCATGAAACCAAAGGTGGGCTGTTAAGCAATGGCGGGGGCATTGGTAGGCCTCCGATTCGCGTAGCCATACATCATGCTGCGTCTATAGGTGCAACCTAGCCGAGAGTATGAAGCTAATCAGGGTACTTAGGCGAGGGGAAGTGGCCTGAATCTTGTCCCGCATTCTTCCCTCTCGTGAGCATTGTCCCGCCTTTGCCAAACACTCCTCTAAATGAAACAACCTCTTACGGTTTTTCTTCCTGTTGCATAGAACAGTCCCAAGCTAGATAGAGAGCATCATGGACAAGCTCATCAGTGTTGGAAAGGATTTCCTCGAGGACCGTAACCAGGACAAACAAGGGAGTAGTAGGTGATCTCATATCAATCTACCCCACCATCCATAACTTTCATCCCTCGTCGCTCAGATTCAAATCTACGCCTAATATAGCGCCATTCTACATTCATACATCCTACTTCTCCCCTCGATTCTTGTTTCATTTAAGGGATGCAACCTGACATTTTGCTTGCACTATCGGATAGACAGCCAAGGCGGCGGATTCTTCGACCGGGATGACGATGACGATTTCCGCACCGCCAAACACGAGGCGTCCCAGCGAGCTGGCTCGTCTGGGAATTCCGAACTATTCCACAGCATCATCAGCTCCATAGGCCAGAAGCAGGGCAAGCTCGCCGACGAGGACATTGATGAACAAGGTAAGTGCTGCGTGCTTCATCACCCATATGATGCACGGCTAATTCAGCGTGCCAGATGCTATCAAGAAGTACAAGAAGTCATACGTCGACAAGGATGAGGACGAAGAAGATGAGAAGAGCCTGGGCACTGCGGCGGCCATGCACGCCCTGAAGCTCTTCAACAACGGTGAGACGGGTGACAAGCAGGGCAAAGGCGCCTTCCTCGGCCTTGCGCTGTCCGAGGCCAGCAAGGTATGCATGAGTTCATATCACATTTGGCGAATCAAACCTTTGCGACAACCCACGTGTTTTCGTCGGTGCGACGGCTGACATGTATGTTGCGAATAGCTGTTCGAAGACAAGGCCTCTGCGGGCAAGGTAGCCTCGGGCACAAGTAAAGAGAGTGTCATTCAACAGGCCGGTGAGGTCGCCATGAAGATGTATCTCAAGAGCCAAGGCCAGCAGCAGGGCGGTATCCTGGGATTTGCATCCAAGTTCATGAATTAGAGATGGAGAAATACTCCGAAAGGAAGCAGCCGAGCTCTTGGGACGGCTGAGGTCTGAGCTTAGAGGTGCCAAAAGAAAACCAACAATAACTGATGCGTTCTTGATGATGAGTGACATGCCGAGTGTTCCATGAATTAAGCCATCTCGTGAGCTTAACGCGATAAGAGGTGGCGTTGATACTCATACTCGATCGGATCCAGAAACCCCAAACACCTTGAGAGTCTATTCGTTATGATCATGCTAAGCAGTAATACTGCATGAAACAGACGTATTTATTCTCAGAAGTAAGTGGAGCTAGCCAAGGTGTCAAATCCTATTGCTCGTCGATCTTGCATGTGAAGATAGACTGTGAGAGCTGTGTTGGATGGAATTTGGTTATTCTTAGACCCAATTACCACAGAAGCACCACAAAAGGACCCGTAGTTGGTCGAGTAAATGTCACCTTCCCTCCCAACAAGACCGCCAATGATGATACCTGAAGTTAATATAGGAGCTATCTAATTAATGTCCTCTCTTCGCGCAGCCTCGGCGTTGCCCCACTCCAATTCAGCTCGAACCAACCCCTGCTTCTGGTGACGTTTAATCGCTTTCGTCTCAGGATTCCCTACCTCATGTTGTATCCCTCCTTCGCATTATCCTCAATATCAGCATTGCTGCGTGCTTTTGTTCACAATGGCGCCCCCGAAAGCTTTTGCCAACTATCCCACACCCGTGGAGGGGCCTAAGGCCAAGTTTGAATCTTACGCAGAGCAGAACCCAGAGCTCCGGGGCATCCCTTTGTACATAGGAGCTAACGTGTATGCTACTCGCTCCCGTCACGTCGCCGTTGCCAAACCACAGGAAAGCTGACGAACCGTTCGGATTAGCATCGCTTCCGTCAATCTCATCCAGAAATATCTCTGGAAAAATGCTGGATTCGGCCAATTGAAAGACATGCCAGAGCTGGATGATGTGGACTACCGCACACATGCAAGTCTCACATGGGCCCCAAAGGGGACGCTAGGGAACCTTTGCTAACAGCTATATGCGCAGCCAACCGTGGTGCCTCTCGGCGAGAACGGACCTGGCATGTTGCCCTGGGAGCCTGAGCTTCAAGCTACTCACAATGGCGGTACTTCGGACAAGCCCCGGTATTATACCGCTGCAGACTACCATGAAATGTACAAGGCTGGCAAGGTCACTCCGCTACAGGTTGCTGAGACCCTCTTGGCCCTGACTGGGGAAGGCCAGAAACAAGCCAGTATATACGCTGATGCTTGGGCCGAGTCTCACGGCAAGGACTTCCTCGCCCTGGAGGCAGCCAAGGCGTCTACGGAGCGTTACGCCGCAGGCAAACCTTTGGGCATCCTTGATGGTGTTCCTGTTGGTATCAAAGATGATATTGATGTCAAGGGCTACGTGTCCCACTATGGAATGAAATATAGACCTGATATCGACTTCTTCAAGGAGCAGGCAGAGTCTGTCTGGCCCGTCAAGAAGCTCCAGGAAGCCGGTGCCGTTGTCATTGGAAAGAACCGAATGCATGAATGTGGCTGCGGTACGTCAGAGTTGCTTTATCCTGAAACCCATCACCTTTCCTACGAGACAACAAGCTAACACGAAATCGCAGAGCCCAGCGGTGCCAACGTAGGGCTTCTTTTCCAAATACCATGATAACAACACTAACCATTGTGTTGCAGGTTGCTCAAGGAACGCCAACAAACCACTTCAATTCCTCTTATTATCCGGGCGGTTCAACCTCTGGCGGATGTTCAGCCCTGGGTGCAGGAGTTGTTCCCATCGTTCTCGGAACTGATGCCGGAGGTAGCGTTCGTGTCCCGGCAAGTTTCAACGGCGTCTTCGGACTCAAGCCAACCCACCACCGCACCATGGAGATCAAGATGTCTACATGTGTCCTCGGGCCAATCGCAGCGACTGCTGCTGATCTCGCCATTGCCTACAGGCACATCGCTCAGCCAGACCCAGATTCCCCCGCCGGCAGACTGTTTGCTGCATCTCAGCCTCCGCCCCCAGGTGCAAAGAAATTCATGGGTGTCTGGCGCGACTGGTGGGCCGTTGCTGACCCTCGAGTCCAAGACGTCTGTAACAAAGCTCTAAACTACTTTGCAGCCAAGCACGGCTATGAGATTGTCGACATCTCTATTCCCTGGCTGGCTGAATCCCGTGTGGCGCACTCTCTCATCTGCGTTACGGAGATGACTGAAAAGGCTCGCCGCCGTACGCCCAACCCAGCCGACTGGCTTTCCCTCGTCTCCTCACCTACCAAACTCCTCATGAGCGTCTCGTCCAATACCCCTGCGGCCGACTATCTCAAGGCCAATGGGCTGCGCGAGCTCATGATGCAGCATATGGCATTCTTGTTCCAAAAATACCCCGGCCTGCTCATCATGACCCCCACAACTCCCTTGGTCGGCTGGGCCCGCTCTCCTGGTGATGATTCGTATGGTTTCAGTGACACCAACACCACCATCAAGAGCATGATGTACATTTACTTGTCCAACCTTGTGGGAACACCGTCTCTATCAGCGCCCGTTGGATACGTTGATCCAGACCAAGGCAAAGGCAAGCTCCCCATTGGAATCCTGGCCATGGGCGAGTGGGGAGCAGAGGAGCAGCTGCTGGTGTTCGCAAGAGAGGCCGAGGAGTATCTTCATGAAGCATATGAGGGCGGTAGGAAGAGACCGGATACCTGGTTGGATGTTCTCGGCGAGGCGTCCAAGGAAGCGACTGCGTGAGCGTAAAAGGCAGATTACGGGTTACCCTCGCCAATGTACTATCATACCGGCCTGTCTGTCTGCTTGAGCAAGCGTTGAAGTTGATTTCAAACCATTTTCATCCACAACCATAAGGACATGTCCGCGGTTAGCCTTCCGCTGCTTCCAATAGCAGAATCATATCAGTATCCCGGTTAGGTCATTTCTTGCGGATTACATAGTCGAACACAATATTTAAAGCTATCACTCCCCCAACAACTGACTGCTTCCAAATATAAAGTAATAACCTAAGCTGAGCTCAGCACCAGGGCCTTGGTAATCTTTAGACCCACATGTCCTCAGAATCTACCCGTGAAAGCCGGGGAGCTGTGGAAACTCCCATGCGCGAGACGATGCCCTCCTGCACCCTGGCCCCATGAGAGGATATAATTTGTGGGGCGCCTCCGAGTTTTAATCGTCGCCGTTATCCGTCTTCAGTCCTACGTATTACTGCGTGATTCCTGCCGGCACGCGTAATGGTGCGAAAATCTCACCTCGACGCTCTAGCCTCTGCATAAGAGTGCATTCTCGCTAAGGAGACCTAGAGAGTACCATTCCCTTCGGTTTTCCCTTCGTAATGGTTGGCCAAGGCCGGATCATCCGCTCTCTGTCAATCCAAGATTTCGCCACGTCAGCTCTCGCATCATATACGATGAAAAGTCGATCATAACTGCCCCAGTATGGCCGTTTCCCGGGTTTCGAGAAAAAAAAACTCTAATTAAATACGAAGGTGTCTTATTCTTGACCATACAAAAAACAAAATGCCGATGGAAGATCGGACGATCAGCCATCAGGAACTTAGGTTTTAATTCCGGCGCCGCGGAGGCCTACATCACACAGCACGCAGACCTTTGCTGTCCTTGCATGTTGGTTCCTGGTCTTGCGGAAGCCAATCTAGACCGGTCTGGCAAATGAGGATTGGCGAAATACGGGCTTGGCTGTTACCCACAAAATTAGCTGCAAATGTACTAGTGACATAAGATCCTGCGACATTGTTGCGACGGCACTTCCAACAGTCCTAAGGAAAACCTGTCCAGCTGACCCCCAAGGTCATTGGGAGGGCAGCGATGCCGAATTTAACCATCCTGTGCACGCTCAATACAATCGGACCGGGGCTTGACTAACTGGCCCCAGGATATTGGTGATAATTTGGTCTGGGCTGTCGCGTGCACTACTGGCAAGCCGGCTGCCTCCCACAAGCCAACTAAGGTACCTTACCTAGCAGTACTTACTAGCCACATTCTTTGCCAAGGCAGAGTTTGTGTTTCAAATGAATGCCTCTGCAAAATTGCAATGGCGCCTCGACGACTCGGCCACCTGCGACAATAGTAGAACAAAAATGCACGCATGAAATGTAGCAGCACCGCAACGATACGTCACAGAGCTCCCCTTCGTATGCTACATAGGTCATAGGTGTCGAGGCATTGCTGCATCTCCACATCGAACAGGTGGTGAGGCTGATTGGTGGTGTGTGGCTTAGTCTCCCTTTCCTCAGCCCACCAACCAAGACCGGGAGTGCCTGTCCTCCACCAGCCATCCCGCCCCTGTGTCAACTTAGCAAGTGGTGCCTGCCTTATGTACAAGTCCTAACCTGCCATGGACGTTATCTTCGTCTCGTCTGTTTCAGGGTCATAAAGGAAGGCACAGCGTTTTCTGCGCTCTTCAGCATTCCACTAGTGTTCATCAACCATCATCGGCCCATCGAGTCCATCGAGGACCAGTCTCTCGCTCATCTCATCGCCATTCTCATTTTGTATAGAGTCCACTCTGCTTATTCCATTGTTTTCATTGTCGTCTCACCAGCGCTGCGCGCCTGGTCCTCCCTTGTCCCCGACCCGGACCCCTACAGCCACCTGCCACACCCCCGACCAATCTAATACCAACAGAAAAAGCTCACCTTTCTTTCGTCGCAACAATCCGCGGCTCTCGGCTAGAGTCAACATCATCATCTATGTCGACGTCGAGGATAGACTCTCGCAAGTCGCTGACGGGCAGCGATCCTGTATTCTCTCAATCACACACGCCGGCATACACGAGGTCATACGACCCCATCGACTACAACCACAATCATCCGGCCGACTACAACCACCAGCCCGTCTACGCAGAGCCCAGTCCCGATCTTCATCCTCCTCCGCCTACGTACCCTCCGACCAACATGAACAATTCGAAACCAGACGAAGGCTATAATCAAGGCTATGCCCATCGCCAGGGCTTGGCGCCTTCTTCCCCCCAGGCGAAGTCGGCTCCAAAGAGATGGTGCGCCTTTATGAGCAACAAGTGGGCTGCCATGTTCTTTGGCGTCACGGTCCTCCAGGCTATCATTTGCTTGTGCTTTGAATCGTAGGTTTTGGTCCTGACATTTTCATGCGCATTTCGTTGCAGGCACTCACCATGTTCACAGCTACATTTTTGCGAAATTCCAGTCACAAATCAGCCCCAATCTTCCCAGCGTTCTGGCACCCGAAGTGAAGAAGGAAATCGAAGCAAACATGAAGACGATTCCTACTTTCCTGACCCTGTTCATCTTCGGTTTCTTGTATGAGTTCATTATTGTCTGGGATGCTTTGCGCGCCAAGAACACCATTCAGGTTATTGGAGTGTGCTTTGCCAACCTTGCACTCGTTGTGTATACAGCCATCCAGGTCGATCAGATGAAGTGGGCGCTTGATGAGCTGTTCAAGACTGGACAGGTGAAGGACGTTATTAGCGCCGACATCGTTTTCGAGTGGTTGCGACCATCCCTCATCGTCATTCCGTGTATCATCGGATTCGTCACTATTCTGATGGGCTTCATAACATGGAAGCTCTACCAAGAATTTGCCTGGGACATTCTTAAGATTATCGGTGCCGACTACAGAATGAAAAAGCGATTCCTTCACTATCAGGTCAGCCTTCAGACCCTCGGTTTTTTTTCCTCGGCCAACGCATTACTAACATTTTATAGATCTACATCGCTCTTCTCAAGTTCGATTTCTTCTTCTTCCTTGGATTCATCATTCAGCTCGTTGTCATTGTTACGGATACACAGGATGTCGAATTTGCCCTGACGATCGTCACCATTCCGATTACCATCCTCATTCTTGTTGCCGCCGCATTCTTCACCCGAAGGGAGAACAAATGGGGAATGGGTGGTGTCTTTATCCTCTACATCGGTGGTCTTACCTATTTCATCTATAAGCTCGCCCGTATTCACTCGACGGACCCCAAGTGGCAGGAGTACTACAAGACTGTCCGGAGATCCTTGACAGCCTTTGCCGCCATTACAATTTTCTTCATTCTGCTCACGATGACCAACTGCATTGTCTGCGTGCTCAACTTCAATAAGGGTCTCAAGCAGCATCTTCTTTCCAAGAAGAAGAAGAAGGGCCTGGAAAGCCAAGAAGGCAATGATGTCAACCTCAACGACGTGAAGCCACAGTCAAGCAGGATGACAATCGATTAAGTCATCCAGGTGAAGGATCGACCAATGAACGTACGAAAATCCAGAAAAGAAGAAAAAGAGGTCGTGCGGGGAGATTTCGCGACGCGGGGTGGTGTATAAAGACACGAAGTTATGATCATTGGAGCAGGTACCGGGCGGTGTACTGCGGGAACAGCAAGTGCTGGCTGGACACACAACTTTTTCCTCACTGTTCCCCCGTACCGCGCTGCCTTGTTCTCAACAGTTTTGGGCGTCATTCTTATACCAGGCATCAGGTCGCCATAAAATCGTTCTCAAGGGCCCAACGGGCCGGAGTTTGCGGTACATGTCTCATTATTTTGTTGCCATTTTCCTTTATGTTGCTATCTTCTGCCGAATTGTGTTTTGGATGATGTTGGTCAAAGGGCCAGCGAAACCTGGGGCAGCTATATACTGTCAATTCTACCAGAGGGATCTTCCAGGTTTGAAGGAGGGTAGGGGCAGGTTAGTTGCATGGGAAAATGTGCCAGTTGCTTTGCCTCCGAGTTAGATGGGGGTTATATCTAGGCTCGCTCTTTTTTTTTCTCAGATTCTAATATTTTTTCCGTATATACATATATTAAAACCAAGAAGCCATGATTTCCCTCGAGTGACTTCTACGTGTGCGAAAGCTGAGTGGTGTTTTGTATGATATATTCTTGATAAAAACTTGGCAAGTATACAATGAAACCTAAAGTCCTCATTCCCATGCGCCTGAACCCCTAATGTCAAACACATATTCGCTTAGTCTGCGTCTCATCAATCCCAAGTACCTTTCCGCTTATGACTCCAACTCGATGGCTAGTAAATACCTATCGGAGCTCGAGTAGGAAAGAAAAACAAATGACCAACACCCAATGAGCATCGTGATGAATAGAAAAAGGCCGTTCCAAGTAATGCAAGTAGTAGACAAACCTTGACACGCCCAGCATGCTTCGTACCCTAAACCAAAGGGCTAATCACAAAAATATCTCTACTGTGTCCGATGTCGCTCCCTCCTGTGGGCAGTAGGGGCACTTATACCGAGAGCCCTTGGCGATGTTATGCAGACTGTCTCGCGAGATGACATGCCCGCAGATCAGCATCATCGGGGGGTTCAACTCCGTGGTCTGCTCCTTGCTGACTGGGCAGACGAAGATGGGATGATAGATCATCGATGGAGGGAGCGGGGTCTCGAATGCCAGCTCATTCACCGTCGACCACTCCGTCTTCTTCTCCTTCATGTATGTGGTGTATTTCAAGAGCCGCGGGAGGGCTATGGACCCTGCCGTGACGGCCACATAGAGGGGCGATTCCGCTGAGAGGCCCAGGAGAGAGCAGAACTCGCGAGTGAAGCTGAGCGCGACTTCATCGAAAGCAGTGTCGGTCTGGAAGAGGTAGTTATAGGGCGACTCCTCGAGATTTGGGGCGTAGACCATTGCGGTGCAGAGCTGGGCAATCTCGCGGAGGTGGCGTCGCTGGAAGCGAGCAAAGTGCTGTCGTCCGTACTCGAATGCGCTGGTCTGGCCAGCGTACTCTGATTTCCTCGTCTCCGAGGCACCCTTGAACAACCAGATAAACTGTAGCTTGCTCAGTTCGAACTCCAAGGTGCTCCCTCTCGCTTCCAATCTTCTGCTGTTTTCCCGAGCCCATTCAATAGCGGGTATTAGGTTGGAAGCCTTGAGTTCAGCGAGGATCTCGTACATTTTGGCGAACTGGTGTTGCAGGTCCTCCTTTGACCGAGAGTCCATGCCATTATCCTCGGTCGCATCTAGGGGGTTTACCATGAAGGATTCACCCCGAGTTATGTGTTCGGTCTCGCCGACGAACGTCGACGCAACGGAGAACTGGCCCTCGCGGAGCAGATGCATTCCGATTGCGCGGACGACATGTTCCGGGTATTCTGCCATGGCATCTGTTTCCATTGGCAAGTCTCTAAGCGGCATGGCCTATGGGGCGATATAAATCAGCATACATTTCCATCATCCAGCTATCGGAAGGGAAGGTTATCCCCATACCTTATCTAGGGCTTTCCCAAACGCCCTCTGCGCCTTCGTCACTTCTTTGAGGTCGCTGGTGATTGCATCGCATTTTTCCTTTATTGGATTCTGTAACCTTGTCATGGCCATGGATATCTTGTGTGATTCAGATTCTGGGTAACGGTCAGACCTAGTGCCTCATATATATGAGCTCAAAGGATGAGCGGGCCCTCCAGTGAGCACTCACCTTGAGCAACTTGTTCTCTGGTCCGTTCAAGCATTTCTAATATCTTATCGACATCTCCTATGGCGGCATTTAGATTGGACTTCTTCATGCGAGCCAGATCCGCCTGCAGAGGCGCAAACGGCGACGCGGGGGCATTATCTGCGCCAGTCATCGTGGGTGGTGTGTTCGAGCTCGAGCTCGATCTCAGAGAAGCTAATGTCGATCTCCCCACTGGAAGGTCATACAAGGCACAGGAATACACCTATGCCTCGCTTTTTTTTGGCCCTTTGTAAACGGATGTTGGTCCGGAGTTCGTCTCGCCGCGGTTGAGCTGTAAAGTCGGCAGTTGCTGGGTTTGTCCAATGACGAGATCACTCTAAGTGGTGGTGTTGAAGCAGTCGAGCCGTTATCGATAACAGCCGAGCATGCGGTCTGGATCCCCCAGATTCATGCAAGTGGTGCCGCCATGCATCAAACCCATATAGTCATATAACCGTGCATGGAGCCACAATTACGTAGTCGGGAGGATTATCACATGTGTGGACCCGCCGACCGAATGAATGGGATAGCTTTCCAGGCTGCAGTTGGCATACAGATGCATCGCGCCTCTGAAACATTGGCTTCTTCCATAACCGAATAGGAAATCCCATGCGCGCAATCCTGCTTCCCAACGCCACCCCGACTGCATAGTCCTCAAGAATGCCCTTCTGCCGCCGGCGGGGAGCCTCAGGGGCCGACGACATCTCGACACCATGAGCTTCTTCACCTCCCCTGTAGAAGCGCGGCTACTTGCACCTCACCGCGAAGACGACTTGATACCAGTCGCGAGCAGATCACAAGCCCAACGCAATGCGCGAGGGCCATCGGGAGATATGACGGATACATTTGGGGAACCGCTCTCCCACAACGGCTCTGGGGACCTAGGAGCTCGCAAGAACATCGTTTTCCCTGACCCAATAGCCTTCAGGTAAGGCATACAGTCCTGCGAATCAGTTTTGAGCTTATTTATTCTAACCATGTATTTTTTAATTCGTAGATACCTCGAAGATGATCCTTGTGTGCGAGTCGTCGAACGTCGTGCAACCTTGCGTGGGTACGAACTATACCTCGTCGAACAATGGGCTTGTTCCAGACAATCCCCCACGCTGGTCATTGTCACATATACCGGCGACGAAAAACACTCTGTTGTGGTCGGGGTTTTGTCTGTACCGGCCGATGAAAACTTATGGTCCATCCGATTGCGTGTGTATTTCAAGGCCACCGGGCAATACCTAGCTCGCCCAAAGGACACAGAATTGGGAGAGCTCATGGTCACCAATCTGAGCAGCTTCCCTTCCTCGTTGACAGTTATACCGGTTCCCGACGGCGACATCAAAGCCCACCGAATGAATTTCATCGTAAATGAGAACCTCAAGCGCCTGGGCTGCTCTGGTCGCTCAGCCCTGACACTGACCCCACCAGCCGAGGCAACCAAAGCCAAGTTTCTGTCCCTATACAAGGTGTCTGACAAGATCAATTTCACCACAGCTGTAATTGAACTAGTCAAGCTGTGTCAGGTTGCTCTCTATATGTTTGCGAAGCTTCAACATGAATACATTGACGGTCTACTGTGCGATGTTACCGAGAAAGCTATTGGGGACTGGTGGACAGAAGTTGGAGCTGAGCACTTCAACTTCGAACCAAATGACGGGATCCTTGGGCCCGCAACTGTCGCAGCCCTTCTCGGTATGTTCATGGGTGCCCGAAACAGGTTATACTCGTATGGCGCACCGGTCGCCAAGGATGTGTTCGACGTCGAGAATACAAAGAGGGGGATCTACTATTTCCAAAAGTCAGTCAAGCTAGAACGGACTCGGCGGCTTGACCGGCCAACTCTGCTCAAACTCCACAACGTCACGGCCAAAGCGGCAGCTGGTGAGGGCTGGGGGGTTCAGAAAGCCATGAAATCGAGAATGACTGAAATCGGAGGCAAGAGAGGAGAAATTGTCATGGGAATAGTGTCCGGCAAGGATAAAGGTGGACTTGCGGATGTGGAGACATTGGATATGGACACATTCGTCACGTTTGCATACGGAGAACGTGCAAAATGGCTTTGGTATGGCAAGCCGAGACGTAGCCCGGCAGAGAGCAACAATCCCGAACCTGGCCCATCTGCGCTCGCTTTTGGAAAACACGAGGAATCGGCTCAAGCTCTTTATCGACCGCCGACAGCCCAGAATAATGAAGAGCCCGAGTTCAAACGAAGAGAGGAGTTTCATCACAGCTTCCCCGAGATATCTCCAAGCTCAACCGCAAACTTCATGGAGAGTCCTGGAGAAAAGGAGGCCTCGCGGAGGAATGTCCTCAAGAGTGTGGCCGGCAAGATGAGCGACGCAAAATCCGGCTTTGGCCGATTTAAAGATGTCGTTGGAGGCTCAAGACGCGGCCATGTCAGTCGTCCATCGATAACGACCAAGGAAGAGATAGTCCAAGCCAAAAACGGTCAACCCGTTCTCTCAAGTGCCAGTGATATCTCGAGTATTGCAAGCCCTGGGATAATGCCAATTGGAAGGGCATTTACGTGGAAAAACAAACCAGAGGAGTATCTGGCAGCCATGAAGCGTGGAGAGGACGCATTTACAGTTCCGCCTCCAATTATGGAGTCAAGAGACCCCTCAACTTCAACCTCTGACTCAAAGAATGCCAAAAGACCGGCCGATTCTGACCCGGAATTGAGCAACCTCGTTTCAGATTTACGGAAGGAGGTCCTTAATGCAGACGTATCAACCGGCGGTTCTGCCGTGGATGAGCAAGACTTTCAAGGCTCTGCAGCGGAAGCAGAGCGAAAAGAATTTATGCATCAACTAGAGCTGGCGCGACGTAATAGTTTTGAAGTTGGGCAGCTCTACGTAAAACACGAGTTTAACGAGAACAGGTGGCCTCGGCGAACTTCTTTTGGCGATGCAGAGGAGGCCATCTTAACTTGGGAGGAGATCATTGATATCGAGGGATACACAGAGAGTCTCAAAGATGTAAAGGCCGTTGCCGAAGTGGTACGCAACCTCAGCCTCAGCATCGACGACATCACGTACAATGTTGAACCGTGGGTTGAGGACAAATTAAGATCAGTTGCAGTTCTGGACGAGCGCCTAGCCAGGGACAAGGAAGATATCCAAGCTTTGTACCAGCAACTCAGCGAAGCATGCTACCGTGTTCGATATAGCTCGGAGCAAGTCATAGGGGATGAGAGGTCCAGTCTCACTCAGAGTGTGAAAGATATTGAGGAGCTGCTTACAAGGCTGGAATATGAGATCAACTCGGTGTCACAGAAGGTTGATGACGTGGAAGAAGGGGTGCAGAATTTCCAGCGGCAAGTCGAGGATGTCGAGAAGAAAGCTGAAGAGCTGAAAGCCCAGCTGGAGACCGAGACATGGCTTCACTGGGTTGTTCGGAAAGTGACCGGTATCGGGATGGGTGCAAACATCATCGAAGACCGCCGCTGATATCTTTTCGATTCTTTTGTACAAAAATGGTATGCTTGGTGTGTCTTTAGGGAGATGGATTTGAGCAAAGATTTAAGCACTTCAGCGTGAGATACCCTCATATATAGGCACATGGCGTTTCCAAACAGTCACCTCGACTCCAATAGAGGAGATTTTATGCGATTATCATGATATTATACATACATATTCAAACACTGACTACCAGCTTGTCTGGAATCTATCCAGCAGTGCCAATGCTCCCTCTTGTGCCCAGGTATAACCAGTGTTCCCAAACGTAGGATACCGACAGTTTATTCGTCCAACTCGTACAAAGTTCCATCCTTTTTTCCTCGGTAATCTTCTATGATGCAAGAAAAATGGCAAATCTAGAAGAGCCCACCGCCTCCCTGATTGCCGGCGGCTTGACCCTCCGCTTGCATGATCTCGCTGACCTTGATGCTCGTGTCGAGGAATTTAGCAGTGCAGCGGTCGAGGCAGACGGATTCGCCCTTGTTGAGCTCGCCCTCGCGGTAGTCTGTGGGGATGCACTTCTTCTGGCACATGGCCTGGAGTCTATAGCCGCAAAATTAGCAAAATGGCCCCCGTTCGTCGTGATGTGACAAGAGTGTTTGTTACCGGTTGTATGTGTCGGCCATCATTCGCATCTCGCCCTCGACAGCAGCGATCTTCTGCTCTGAGGTGGGTTGGGGGCGTCCGAGTCCGAGGAAAGACATTTTGCCGGTAATTGAGATTGAGTCGGTATGTAGATGAAGTAGACTGGTGATGATTCGTATGAGGTTTGAAGATGGTTACTACCAGCCGAAGGTTGATTCTATGAGAGCTAGTAGTTATCGCAATTTTTGCTTATCGAGGTTTGGTTATCGAATCGGGTCCAGAGCGCTGGGCTTGTAAATGGAAAACGGGATAACTCAAGTCATGGTTTCGTGGTCTAGTTGGTCATGATTTCTCGCTAACATATCTTGTTAATTCCGAGACGGTCCCCGGTTCGAGCCCGGGCGAAACCACGTTTCATTCTCTTTTTTTGGCCTTTTTTTTTTGGCTAAGGTCTATTACTCAAAGTGGCTATTTCCTAAATTGGTTGTTCCGGTGTGGCTGGCTGAATTATGAATGGCTACAGGTGCTATGTTTGTTCTTCAACCAAGTTTATACATTGCCATGGATCGGTTTTCCATGTTGGGCGCATGCAGTAGGATTGTGAACAAGACCACCTCTACTTCAGAAGGGCTCTACTCGCTGATTGCTAATACAGTGTTGAATTACTCGTCTTTAACCCCGTGTTTCGTACGGATATCCTCATCTGGCTAGCAACTTATTCGTTCTTGGAGGGCGCCTTATTCCTGGGCCCCCTCTTCTAGCGCGTCGCTGCGAGTTGCCTCATTGTGTTCCTCGCTCGGGAATTGTCCCAATTCGATAGCAACCCCCAGAGAAAAAGAAATTACCAAAGTAAGGCTATTGGCTGCTTCCAACAAATGCCTATCTCTACTCCACACCGGTAAGTGTAACTAGGTGTACACTAGATGTTGTTGCGTCTACTGCTGTGATACCTATTACTTTTGGGGTTACATCCCAACTCCCTCACGAATCAGCACATGCCCAAAGTGCTGACATTTCAAGTCGATTTCGTCAGAATTTCTGGGTCGAGAAAAGGCTGCGGAGTAGCAGTAGTATCAATGAGAACTTCCTCTACCAGACCATATGTTAACAACACGGACTGACTCACGCAAGAGCCTACGCACCAGGTTCGGGCTTGGTCCCGGGTAGCATGAATTTTAGTTCGGAACTGGGTTTGGGACAGTGAGTATGAGAGCTGGGCTTCGGCGCAGGCTTGAACGTCAGCTTGACTGGTCGTTTGGTTGCGCCAGGATCAGGCATGGTGTGAAAAGCAGGAGACGGCGAAAACAGAAGTTTCTCTGCAGGATCAACTGAAACGATTGGATGCAAGTAATATGCTTGTTTTCTCGCTGCTTTCTGTGACGGGGAATTTCCTACAATGGCCTAGCAAAGACTAAGTGGGCGTCAGAATAACAGGGACTGCTAAAAAGCACGTGCAGTGATGATCAGCTGCTGCGTTCCACGCCACGCAGTTGCTTGACTAATTCTGCAGAGGTGCCTTTGCAGTACCTCTTTTTCTGTCATATTTGCAAAGGCGTTCTTCAGAAGGTGCCCCACTTCTTATCCATGCTCCGCTTTCGCACGTGATAGCAGCTCGTAGCCAATGGCTGTGCAGGACTTGAGCCACTAGTCGGGTTGCTCTCACCTCTCTGTGCGGGGCAATGGCACTCCAATGGCGAATCAGCTCCTGCGATTATTTTGCTTCTTTCCTTTCCCCGCTCGTTCCACACCGTTGAAAATCAATCAAAACCCTCTCATTTCCATGCCACCTCCGCATTCGGCCTCTATGTCTCTCCATAATCTTTTTTCATCCCGCCCAACATTGCGACACCGGCCACCGCTATTGTTCCCAATTAGCGTCCAGGTATTAGCAAACGCTTCATATAGCCTGGAACCTCGTTCGCCCCATTCCTCTGTATAGCTTCCTGGGCAATTTGCCCTGTGACGCTGCCCTGGGCAGCTGGGCTGTTTGATGGACAGCGCGTCCATCATGGCTATTGGTGGGGCGAACTCGATGAGCCCAACAAGCCCCGTCAGTTCGCGCCATGGCGGTGCGACAAAGCGCAAGCGAAGCGCTGGGTTCGGGGGGCTCGAGAGCAGTCCGGGCAGTTTGATCGACCACGACGAAGATCATGCAGACAATGAGAAAAAGAGGCAACCTGGTGTCAAAAGAGCTTGTAACGAGTGTCGCCAACAGAAGGTAGGTTCCATCTTACGCTTCCTGCCTAGCCTGGGAGCGCGCTGGCCATGTAAAATATAAAATGCTGATTCAAGTGCCTGGTGATAGCTTCGCTGTGACGTGGTCCAGGACCCTTTCCAAAGTTGTTCGCGCTGTCGACGCCTCAAGCTAGAATGCAAGATCGAGTCCAACTTCAAACGTGTCGGAAAGCGTAGCAAGCACGCCGAGATGGAAAAGGAGATTGAGCGCCTGCGACGAAACGTTTCAAACGCACAGGCCCAGGGGTTCATCGCGGACGAGGACGACGACCAAATCAATTCCCCAATCACACACACCACGCAGTACACACACGTTCGCAACCCGTCTCTAATGGGGTCTGACGAAGCCGTTTCGTCGTTACTCCATCTGAAGAGGGGTGGCTCGTACAATGTACCACACTATTCCCACGAACTAGGCGCAGTGCGCCTGACGGACGAGGATGTAACCCAACTTTTTGCAGAATACTTTGACGTATATCATCCTTTCCTCCCCTTCCTCAACCCGCAACAGACGCCGGCGCAATATCACCAACAGCATCCCCTGCTGTTTTGGACGATTGTCGCCGTCGCAGCGAGGCGTTTCTCTCCACCGAATGCTCCTAATTTGTTAAGCAATATCTCTACAGCTCTGACGAGTTTCCTTTGGACAACCATAGGCGAGGTGCCTAGTAGCTATTATGTTGTCAAGGCCATGTGCTTGCTCTGCGCTTGGCCCCTACCTACAAGCACTACCGCATCAGATCCAACCCATATTCTTTGTGGAGTCATGATGAAGACGGCTACGGGTATTGGCCTGCACCGGCCAAACCACATCCAGGATTTCTCACGTATCTCAGTTGAGCTTAACCAGGATCAACTCCGAGATCGTGTGACCACCTGGGCCGTGTGCAATATTGTGGCGCAAAACGTCGGTACTGGATATGGTCAGCCGTCGTCCACCTTGTATGACTGGACGCTGGCGATGAGGCCTGGGGACGACAACGCACTTCAGCTGAGCCCCGAGTTGGAGGCTCGACTCCAAATTGAGAGATTTTGCGACAAAGTCTCCAAGGAAATGTACAGCAACGCAAGCGACCCCAGAGGTGTTGCCGGTGATGAGCACCGGGCTATGCTCATGAGAGTGTATCGACGTGACTATGCTGAGTTGCATGCCAACATCATGTCTCAGCGGTTGGGTCCGATCGTTAACCTCCACCTCCGCGCAGCTTGCTTACACATGAGGCTTGCTGGATTCTTCGATTCAAGCACTACGCCTGGCTACATGGACGATTTGATGGGGCTTTGGAGATCTGCGACCAACTTCCTAGACGACGTCCTGGAACAAGGCCAGGCCAAGTCTCCAGGAGCCAAGAGCAGCCTTCCGATGTTATCATACTGTACCAATTACATTCAACAAATGCTGGTGGCCGCAGGTTTCACTATCCTGAAGCTGATGAGATCGTTCTTCTCTAAGACAATTGAGTTTGCGAGAGCCCGCTCCTTGTTTCAGCAAACCGTCCACGCAATACGGACGACCAGTGTTGTGCACAACGACCTGCAGTGGCGTTTAGCTGAGTTGATGTTGCAGATGTGGAACGGCGCCCGTATGGACAGCAATAACCACGCCCTTGATCCCCACGATGATTCGCCAGTACAAGTTGACGATAGCTTACAACTCAAGGTTCGGTGTCGTCACAGCATGAGTCTTGTCTTTGATTCCGTTTGGCGTTGGAGAGAAGAGTATCAGTCTCAAGGAAGAGGGACTCTAGAGAGTAAGGTTCCCCTGCGCTGCCAGAGCAGGATTCATCTTTCGCTATGTAATGTGCTAATGACGGTATTGCTGCAGGCATCAAGCAGACACCTCAGCCGGAACCAGCAAACGATTCTTCAGCCTCGTCGACCCATCTGGACAGCACCTTGATGCCATCGCACAGCCTCGGGGCCTCCAGCATGCTCTCAACTAATGGTGCCCTAACTCCCGGCGCAACTGGCCTCTCCGCCCCTTCCTCCGCTCCTAACAGTCTCATAGGGGCGATGAACTACGGCGATTCTATCGACTTTTTCGACCCGCAAAACTGGATGCTCGACGGTTTGCTCGATTTTAATTATTCGTTCGTTACGCCGCTCGAGGGTGGTGTCTAGTCTGGCTTGTTAGTGTTTTGCTTCTCAGATGAACCAGGGAGAGAATGTTGCCTGAAACTTACCTATATGCCTTTTGAAAGTTAGTCTGCGTTTTGCTTTTCCCTATCCCTTCCCCGAAGAAGTTTGAAAAAGGGGGAGTTGTTGTCGAAGCGTTGATCGGAAGGCGAAGTCGATTGGGAGGAAGAAGAAGCTTCCTCTCAACTATGAAAATCGGAAGGTAAGGCACCGCAATTGCCGATGCTCTTACCAAGGCCCATGTTTTCCTGGGCCTAGTAAAGTTTGCTATTCAGATAACTCGTTATGTAGCTCGAGCCTTCTAGTTTGTCTTACCCCCTAGGCTGGCTACAAAGTATTGATATGATTTAGTGTTAGGATACGGTTGATGGGATGACGAACATTCGGTAATCTAGACAGAGCTGCGTTCATGGGATGCGCATATGGGATGCACACGAATGTAATGATGTATAAAATTCGTAGATGAATTGAATCGTTTCGTCAGTTGGAATGTTGGATGAAGAGTGAATGGTTTCGATCGTGACATGGGACACAACGTAGACTGGACTAGTGAGTCTGTGGAAGCCATCACTCTGCCTAGTCAGAGTATGCCCGTGACCTCTACTGTTCTCGTCGTGATCTTGTTCGATTGGATTCTCTGGCGTTCTCGTCTAGCTTGTATCTACAACGTTCTCGTTTAGCCAGGTCCCCCCGGGTTCGTCACCATCACCTGGATGACTGAGTCATAAGGCGAGGACGACAGCCAAGAGCGATTGCAATTCAACTATACAGGGAGGAGGGCGTGTATCATTCACGATGACGATTTAACATTGTGGCGCCGGAGAGCGAGGCTCCCCGGTAAGATCTTGTAGGCAGAAGCCTCCATGTGACGATGAACTTTGTCCGTTTCCCGGTCTCAGTTGAGCCTCATCGTCGCATCTTCCCCCGTGTTCCCCGAGAACTTGCTTCTCGTAATCTGACCGCACCCAAAACCAGAACACCGGAAGTCTGCTTGAGAATTGTCATTCATACGAGGCCCAAGGTCCAGCAGCAGGGCTGTGTACAGTCGTGGGTTAGCGACAACCCACATTTGGACTTTCCACTTGGAACGTGGACAGGACAAATTTGGAAGATCAACGAGGCTGAGCAATGATTATTCCGGTGCATAGAAAATCCAGAACAACTTAACTCGATGCGGCTCTCCGGAGGGCCATTATCGCGAGTCTGCCTTTTGCGTTGAGGGCCTCATCCCCTCCCTCCTCCGTGGGTCGGGGGGCAGGCCCCGTTTCATGCGACCGCGCTCGTCTTTTGCACGGCCACACTCCGCGTTTAAAAAAGGGAATTCTGCCGCAGAATACGCCTAACGCACGTTGAACAAGCGCTGGAATTCCGAAAGATCGTGGGAAAAAAGAGACTTCATGGATTCCATCACCAGAGTGCTCGCGGAGGAGAGGCAGTGAGTGGCCTGGTCGATGCTCAGCGGGTCGGTCATGGGCCTGCCACCGACCGGTCAAGCATCAACCACACCCCCTTTCTTCTTCCCCCTTGCGCCACATCGATCTATACCCGACTGGCTCATGTCAAGCAAGCCGCGGGAAAAATAGCCATTGTTCATCTTGTTGGTCGGTGAGTTAGGCGGGTAGGGCGAGTCATGGTTGGGGGTTTCCGTCGAGTCCCGCGTGATGGGCTTCAACGGCAAAGGAGGGGGGCGTGGCCTGAACCTCCCGGAGGTTGGGCAAAGTACCAGTACACGATATCAACACACGTATACACAAACCCACTTGGGCCGAGATGTCAAGAAAGTTTACTGTGCTGGTGTTCCCCTTGAGACCCCCAAATCCAGGGGGGAATGAGGGAGGGAGGTGTGGGTAGGCGGCGGCAAACCAAGGAACCAAGTAACCAACGCACGCTCGGCACTCTGTATCGAA